GAAGCACCTCGGCTGGCACGACGTGTTCAGTGACGACTTCTACACCGAGTTTGCGATCCTCGAAGCCGTACATTCCCTCTTCTGGAACACGCTCTAAGTCTCCCCACTGGCGGCCTGGAAGCAATTAATTACACAAAAATGTAGACTCAAAGAGCCAAAAGTTCTGCCGCATTCCCCATCCCCCGATAAAGAACGAGCAACAAAATGTATTCTTACAGAAAAATGATTCTTACACCGTGGAGCTGTCCTGATCCGACGTCGGCGTCGCTCCATAGACAACAAAAGCGGCAGGCGGAATTGCTATAAAAGAGCAGAAAAACACTTATATGGTTACGACATCTTCTAGCTAGCATGTGTGTTTGTTTCTGAATTCTGGGTATTAAACCTTTGTGCATATTATATCGGTGCTAAATCAGGAAAACAGTTTATGTAAGGCGACAAATTTTCAACGTAGGAAGGTAGAGACCGTAAATAGCATCAGAGCATTGCAATTTTCTGCGGGACTCGAATTGTTGGGATTGTAAGGCTATTTGGTGGTGGAATTCACCGCATCAGCGCGAGATCGTACAACGGAAAGGACGAATAAATAAGCGGAACAACGTGAATAAATTACACAACCAATGAACGGGGGGGGGGGGATAGTGGCAGACGGTCACAGCATTGTAGGACACAGAGAGTATATAAAAATAAGAAGGAATTAGGCGATGGATACTTCAAAGTTGATTGGCCAGCTGTTGACACTGATCCCAGTAGAAGTTGGCGTTGTAGCGACTGTTCGGTGCGTCACCTAAAAAAATGGTATAGATAGAGAAAAGAGCAAGGGTACCTGGTTGCGGGAACGCGGGTTGGCAGAGGGAGAGGTAGTACTTCTCCATCATTTGCTGCATCCGCTCCTGCGGGGTGATTTGAGGGGCGGCTGGGGTGGCGGGCTGTTGGTAGGGAGCCTGAAAAAAAAGTAAATTTTCAAAATCCTTAGAAGACATAAGCATGCAAAATCAAAAAACTGCCAAGGATAGGGGAAATGCTGAAAAAGCCTACCGGTCGCTGTCCATTCGCCTGGGGGCGTACTCCCAGCGCTTGGCCCAACGTCTGGCTGCCTCCATTCGCCGTTGGGCGCCAGTTGCTGACCGGGGTGCGCATTGGGCCGCCGCCGTTTGTTTGAGAGGGGTTGACAAGCACTAAAAACATAAATCAAATAGGACGAGCAAATTTCAATTAACCGATGCCTTTTCTATATTATTTTTTGCTACCAGAACAAGAAAACAAAACGAAAATTACGTACTGGGCACTGGGCGTCCTCCAGCCGCAGGCGTTGCGGGCGCCTGGGCCGTTTCCACGGGCTTCTTGACCTTGACCGGCTTGAAGACGAGATGCGGATTCGCCTCCATCATCTGAAAAAAATAGAATTATACAGCGTGCGATGGAACGCAAGTTTGATAGCCAAAAGCCAAAGAATCACCCACCAATTTATGGGCCTCACGGCTTTTGGCAGATTGTTCGAAGAACGGCTTGCGCTCCGCGTCGCTCATCTGGCGCCACAGGTTGCCGAGCTGCAAAAGAAAATAAAAAAGCTTGCGAAAACAGTATACCGCGACATTCACATCGTTCATCTTGAGCTGCGGGTTGTTTCGGATCACCTCCTCGCGCTTCGTCATCACCCAGCAGAGGTACGGGTTCAACGGCCGCTTGATGAAAGTTTTGCCTACTTGCAAAAAGTTGGAATTAGAAAAAAATTGGATACCTGGAGTTCTCCCATCGTTTGAGGGCGCTGGAGATGGAGTGGGTCGGGATAGCGCATCGTCGCTAAAAAACAATGATTTTTTACTAATAAGACTCGCTAGCTAAACGGTAACAATACCAAAAGCCAATCTAAAAAGGGTAAAAACTGGCAATGGTGACGTGCGATCCGACAGCGATGGTGAAGAAGAGTCCCGGGAATTGGAGCTCATCTTCGGAACCTGAAAGGCAAGCAATATTTTGAGAAAAGCGAGATGAGAAAGAGGAAAGGGAAAGGGAGAGATCAATGGAAGGAAACGGAAAGGCTTGTCCAAGCATCGGCCGGCAAATTCGAGCCATTAGGGCCTGGGTTTTAGAAGTTTTCTTTTAAGAAAATACAATTTAATCTACAAAAAAGGAATTAGAAAATTGTGCAGCGAAAGGTCAAATAGGGCAACCCAAATATTCGGGCGTGCTGACCTCGAGCGCCGAAGGGGGCTACGCGTCGCACCTAGCAACGAGGGATCGTCTGGGAATTCAAAATTGGCATAGTTATTCAAGGTTTTAGAAAACTTGAAAATTATTACAAAAATCGGAAATAAATAACTGTTTGAATTCGATAACTAACAAAGAGGATTGAGCGGTGGCCGGAGACTTTGCATCCCAACTCTGGTTGCCGCTACGCATCTGTAAAGTACAAGAAAATGTCTAAAAGTCCTAGGGGACGAACGAAAAATAAAATATTTTCAACGAAAACACTAACAATACCTTTGAAAACGCACAAAAAACATAGTTCACATCCCGGATTTCGGAGTGGAGGGCAATATGCACTGTAGAGCGTATCCTTCAATTATTCATACTTACGGTAGCGAAATTAAAATAACGCTGATGATAGACTGACAAAACGGGATTAACATTTTATTAAAAATTTATTGGTGCCTATAATAAGCAGCTGTAAGACGCAAACGGAGCCGTTTGCTTCGAAACAGCTTTAGTTTTCAGGTGCCCTGTCTTCAATAAGATTCCTAACAAAATTTTAGAGTCTAAAATCCAAATTCCAAAGCAGATTCGCCCGGTATTCAACCGTTGAAAGGCGGGCTGAAAGTGAAATTGATGGCCGGCAAATTGCTATTTTATTCGCAGCGACCTTCCATTTGGATTTTGGAGGACAATTCAGCGCACCGCGGCGCGACGGACTAATTCGGCGGGCGCTGAAAGCGTTTTTCGCCCCGCGGGCGTGCGGTTTTATTATGATTTTGCGATTTGTTTGAATAATGTATTTATTGGTGGGCTTTATATTAGAAAAAATCAGAAAAGGGTTTTTAGAGATTGGCTTTTTTCCAATAGGTGTTCTAATTAGCAAAAATTCTGGATCTTGGCCATATTTTTTTCCGAAAAATTTAATTTTTTTACGCTTACGGAATTGGAATTTTTAGCTAGTTGTCTAGTTTTTAAGGAAATCAATTTTCCGCAATTTTCCGTAATTTTCCGCCGTGCCACACCCCGGATTACATTCCGCACGGGGATCTCTCTCGGCGAGTTTCTCCTAAAAACAGTTACTTCGTTTTTTTGCGGTCACCCCACGGCTTACGACGTGAAAAATGGATTGGTATTTCTTCGTATTTGTCTTGTTACCGGAATCTCGTTGAAATCGGGGTGGAAATGATGGGTCGATGGGGTTGATGGCATCCCGCTGCGAACGCCCCCCGACTCGACTGATAAACTTTCTTGACCTTGCCGCGGAGGATTTTGTCTTGTCGATTTCCTCTGGGAATTTAGCGAATTGTTTTATTTAGCATTTAGCGGATTTCGATCCTTTTAGAGAGTGCTTTTTACAAACCGCAAAGTGCTGACTTTCATTCTTTAGATCTTGCTTTTTAAAGGCACGGGCATGGTTATGGATTTTGTTGTCTATGCGACTCCTGTAGGTTGGCGACGCGCAACGTACGCGCTCGTTGCTTCCGTTGCGTGCGCTTTGCGTGTCGCGGCACGGCTAAATCAATGGGAAAAAAGTAAGAAAATTTAATCGAAAACTTAACAAACATCTCAAATTACGGCAAATTTTTGCTACTTGGAATTTCTAAAGTATGTATATAACTTTTAATGAAGGAAAATAGTTTAGCAATATGACTTTATTTTATAATACGATTTGATGATTTAATTGCCGCATTTTTTGAAAGCAACATTCCTCGAATTTCCCCCCTTTGCTCGCCACTCTCGATCTCGCGATGTGCCCAGTCAGCCATGTGGTGTCAATTTGGCAATTTGATAAATGTCGCCCCGTCGCGAACAGTCTTTCCACAACACACCGATATACAGACAAGCAAATAGCGACGTTCTTTCGATTTTTTTTGTATGATTTTTTAACTCCAAACTTCAATATCGAGCCAACAAACCGTCTCCCTCGCCCGGAACACTTTTTGATCGGCCTGCTTTCTTTCTACATCAGCGTGATTTTGAGCCTCAGAATTGGAAAAAAAGGTTATTTCAGGTTGTAGCGGATGTGAAAGATGCCGTTGCTGTGGATTTTGGCGTTATTCTCATGCTCCTATGCACTTCCATCACCCGGCTGCCAAACGGATGCCGAGATTTATGAGCATTTATTTGGGCACGGGAAGAAGACGGGGGAGAATAAACCGGGTAAGTAAGGTAAAAGCCGTAATTACAAAGGTTTTTTTATCGAAAAAAGAATGAGAAAACGACGCGATAATATTTGAAAACTAACGGTATTCAAGCCCTACTCAATGGCGAGACCCAAAAAATCAGGACTAGACCTCGAAGCTCAGCCATTTTTCGAAATATTAAATTCTTCCGGGATTTTTGCCTTGTGAATACCTTTAATATAATGTACCGTATCCGTTTCCAGCCACCAATGACCCGCTAGAAGTTCAAATCGGCTTTCACATCCAGCAGCTCACCCAGGTCCCGAATTCCAATGCTATCCACGTCGATGGGTTCTTGACCCGGAAGTGGAATGTGGGTGCATGGGAGACAAAAATTTAGAGCATATTATAATACTACGAAGCATACCTTTTAGGACGCTGCATTCCAATTTACATCTCTACAACCTTGCAGCGAAGAGGTATCGCTGATTCGGCGAAAGGATCGGTTGTGGGTCCCCGAGATTTGTGAGTTTAACAGAGAGAGAGAGAGAGAGAGAGAGAGAGAGAGAGAGAGAGAGAAAGAGAGAGAGCGAGAGAGGAGAGAGAGACGGAGAGAGAGAGACGGAGAAAGAGGGAGACAGATAGACGGAGAGAGAGATAGAGAGAAAGAAAGAGAGAGCGAGAGAAAGAAAGAGAGAGCGAGAGAGGAGAGAGATAGAGAGATAGAGAGAGCGAGAGAGGAGAGAGATAGAGAGAGAGAGAGAGAGAAAGAGAGAGAGAGCGAGAGAGGAGAGAGATAGAGAGAGAGAGAGAGAGAGCGAGAGCTTAGAGCGAGGGAGAGCAATTTTCAGCATTCACCAATGGTGAAGGCCTGATCCATCACCGTCATTCGCTGTCTTTTTCGGCAACTAGGAATGGGACGGTCACGCATCGACAGAGGTATTTTAAAAAATATAATACCCTTAAAAAGGTTCTGAATATAGTTTTTCGGACAAAATTTTGACTTTTTAGGATCGAGCTGAACATCCCGTGCAGCAGCGAGCCAAGCGAATACCCCTGGGGCAACGCTACATGTCAAATTCTGTGGCGTAGTGAGCATAGGTGCGTAGCGTAGTCGCAGGCGAAAATTCACGCGATTTTCAGTCAAGAATCCATGAGATTAGTGTGGGACGATACGACATATGGACAATTTGGCACCGGGGAAAGATTGGTGAGTTTTAAAGGGCCGTTAAAGCTAAGGAAATTACAGCGAAAAACAACGAAAAAGACGAAAAATGCTAAATTTTAGGTCGGTGATCTCCGAATGGTCCAAGTCGACTTCACCGCCCATGAGCATCAGAAGGATTTTTCGAGCTACGATGAGCTGACGATAAGCTTTACTTTTAAGGTATCTGGTCCCAATTTTTTGTGATAATTTTTATTCTAGCGTTCTCTCAACAAAACCGTCTACCTCTTCTTCTTCCCCTCAATTTTGTTCATCGGGATTAGGTATACATCTGAATCAACATATTTAAAGTCGTTTAAAGTTGGCTGTCCTTCCTGCTCGGTCCGATGGCAATTACGCGAGCTATATTGGTCATGAGCTCATTTATATTGTTGTATTTGCATTATTACTTTAATATGGCCGGGTTGCCGGAGACGTCTGGAATTACTTCACTCGGTAGGTTATCTAAACTATTTATCGACATTGTTACATTAATATTATTAATATAAATTATACAAATTCAGACATATGGAAATTATTCTCGTTGCTTTTCGTTTTTGGCGTACTCGTTGAGCTCGTTTCGGTCAGCTGCATGGCGTCTATAGGAAGGTATGGAATTTCATAGAGTTCTCTCTCTCTCTCTCTCTCTCTCCCCCTCTCTCCCATACAACAATCTTTAGATCGCGTTCAATCCAAGCCTGTTGCCGCTCAAAAAAGAAGAAGGGTAAGTACGAGATGGAGCCGCTATATGAGGAGCTGAATGATTTGAGGCAAAGAAAAACCAGGTTGGCGCTACCCGCAATTTCTAATTAGAAAATTATGTTTTAGAAGAACCTGTCGGTGTTGTCGATATTCTGCCCTGGCCCTCGATACGATATGCTTTTTCTTGTTTGCCCTGATTTTTGTGGCTTTTTTTTATGTTTTCTGGACGCGAGGCCCGGAAATTGTACGTCATGCCTCGAATTTTAGCGCTGATCGGTTGGATTTGAATAATTAGAAGCGAAAGAGTCAGAGAGAGAAATAGAGAAAGCGAGAGAGAAAAACAGGTTTAAAAACCCGGTGTAAATAAAGATACTGGTTACATCCTTCGAGGCACGAATAAAATATCGCTAAAAATCAGCGAAACGTAAGAAATCAATAAGGGTACTATTAATGCATGCTCGAAGAAGGTCATGGATGAAAATATATGACCTAATTACAGTTACCCGAGGGTATCGTAATCATAGGCGCCTGATAAGGTCTTATAACCACAGGAAAACGACACCATTTTTAAAAAGCAGCTGCCCAAACGTTCCTCCTCCGAAATGGGAGGCTCAGCTTCGTCTTGCGCTCCCGAAATCATCGCGAACAACGATTTGACCGTATCCGCCCGTGTCAATTGCTGCCCGGAATGTCGTGAGCAAATTGAGAGTTTTTACACCCAATTTCATAGCTGCGATCCGGCGCTGCACCACCATTGCTCGATGAGATGGGCTACGGTAATTAATTTCAAAGTTATATAAATTTAAAGCTGCCAAAATACGATTAATAGAGATTCATAAAAGTCGTATAAAAATGTATTACACCTAATATACCTAATTTTAGGGAGTATTCCACTGCGAAACCTGCCGGCAAACCGTCAATTTTGTGGATATGTTCGAGAAAGAAAACCGATATCTGGATCGTTTTGAATTGGAGGTATATTATCGCTTTTTATTGATTTTAATTATTCACTAATGATTTTTCTCAATTCCACAAAAAATACTTTTAGATCCAAAATGATGACCCTTATTCAAGCACCGAAGAGGCGAAGATGCTTAGAAAGCGCCGTAAGTCATTCCTAAACCTTGCATTTAACAGCTTTAATTTTCATATATAATGAAGCTTAAGTTTCAGCTCGACTCTGCAAAAGATGCGGGATAACCCGATACCCCAAATTCAACCGGCTAGTGGATTGTCTGGGCTGTAAGGGGTGAGTTATAGGATTAACTCGATCGTTTTATAACTTTCATAACGGTTGTAAAGCTTAAAAGGTTAAAAACTCTTTTTAAAAGCTAAAACATACCCATTCCAGCTTCATCCACCTCACCTGCCTCTCCGCAAACGAACAAATGACGCAAAAAGTGAACGCCGTGTGGAAGTGTGATGATTGCCGGCCCGAGGCAAAAACACCCACCTTCGCCGATCTCGGTGTATAAATGTTGTTTTTTTTCCTTTTAACGATTTCTGCTGCTGTTTTTCAATAAAATATTGCGAGCTTTATAACGCATAGCATTTAGCTTTATTTAAAATTAATCTTCTGCAAGGTCTAGGAATCTTAGTGCCCGGTAATTGAGTCCCGCGTGTGGTGGAATCATAACAAAGCGGCTATTAATTCTAGGAGCACCTGTCGGCAGGGCTTTTTCTTGTGTTCCGCCTTTCAGGGTCATTTTCCAGGTTTTAGAGAAGAAATTTACTGTTTAGTTTTATTGTGGGTTGCAAAGCATTGTTTACAACCTCAAAAATGCTCAGGAAAGCGAAGAAATTGAGAGTAGAAAGCTATTTTTATAGAGTTTTGCCGTATCATTTTTAATTTTTGCGCGATTATTGAGTGTTTTTTTATCTCGGTTAACCCGATTTTCTTATCAAAAAAATATATTCATGACTAGGCAATCGATAGATTAATGTATTTCCTTTGAGAATTTTAAAGGGGCTAGTAAGTCGAAACGATGTAGGTTTCTTTCTCCTTCTCTCTCTCTCACTCTCTCTCTCTCACTCTCTCTCTCTCTTCTGCCTTCTAACATCTAGTGCCCACTCCCTAACCGCATCCTAAAAATTGCCCTTTCCCGCCCCTTCCCCTTTTGGCGACACTACCCGAAAACAGATCGGCTTTTCCTGGCGCGGCTCCAATTTGCATGCTCAGACCAATCGATCGGATCATGCGTGCCCGAACATTGCCGTTTTTCGCATGGCCCGTCGATGAGGAGGAGAAGGAGGAGGAGGGCCGGGGCTTGATTCAGCCACACAACCACTTTTTCTGCCAACCCCAGACACCCATTTCTGTACGCCCGCAGCGCGCAAACATCCCGCGTCTTTTTCCGGCCATCCTCCAATGTGTTAGCACTACGTATAGCCATTAGTTTTTAACTTTTTTTTGCAACTGGTAACAGTAACTTACAACAAAAAGAAGAACCTGAAAATGCGGTCTGTTCTGGTGGCGTGAGCTTCTTGCAAACAGTGGTTTTAGGGGTGGATTTTTAGAGGCTTTAGGCCGCCTTCTTACCTTATAGCGTAATAGCTCACGGTTTTTTGAAATATGGGATTTGTTAGGAATTTTGATGTTCTGTCGAATGAGCTATATCAAATAGAAAAACCCCAAAAGCCTAAAACCGCACCTTTTTAGCAGACATCCGGACGAAGCCTAAAAAGATTACATTTCTCATAAGAAGCCAGGTTCCGCCTAATGCGCTCAAATAGACAATTTTTCGACTAAAACCGATATTTTTCTAAATTGGTTTCGATTCGCGGTGCCAAATATAGAAAACAAATTCGATTCCCCGCACCTTTTTGAGCTGGTCCACACAGGTGCAAAAGACGAGTGTTGCGATGAGCTTATAAACCTCTAGATCTTCCATTTTTAGTCTTTTGAATTGCTCAAATTTGCTCAATAATAAACTATTTATTCAAAAATTCGTATCTTTCTCACAATCCAGCGGTCGAACAACAATTTTTTTGCCACTAAATCTTTGTCAAACTATTGATTTCACGGCGCTAAAAAGGTCGAAAAGCTATATTTTGTACTTCTTTGTTTATTAATTATATCTTTCAAAGAATATGATATGCATTCATTAATGCAGAAATTTGCTATGCGTTGCACTCACCTGCACTTTTAGCTAATCACCTCCTATTAATGCTCCCACAATCACCAGATTCCTCATGTAGTTTGTATAAAACGTAGCCACTTCCAGGCGCGTTCATCATTTTTTCACTTTGTGCCATACACCAAAACGATGGGCGCCATCTTCTCCGAGCCCCTCCGCCGTGCCCTGCCCAAAGTCGAACAGCTCGACGACGACCCGCCTGCCACCACAACCACCTCATCCGACCAATTCGTGACGTGCACGTTTTGCCTCGACGACATCGATAGCGGGCACAAGTTTGTCACCAACTGCCGCCACGAATTCCACCACCAGTGCGCCGAGCCGTGGTTTATTGTGGGTTTTCTTTTCGGTTTTTTTCAATTAAAATTCACTTGCAGTTGTTAGCTATTACTTTTTTATTCTTTTACTATCTACATTCTTTTACTATCTATAAGTTTTTCTTCCCTTTTATAGGTTGTTAAACGAAACGATGCTTTTCTCTGAGCGTTTTATCCATGAAAACCAGTGCCACAACCTTGTTTAGGCTGAAAGTTTGTAAATTCTTCGCTCGCTCGTCGGCTATTTTTTGTTTATTCCTTTGTCCTGAAACCTGTTTCCTTTAAGTTTTCTTATTTTTTTTAGGAAGGAATGATTAGTTTTAATAAGAATTTCCCATCGGAGAAATCGGTTTTCAGAAATTTGGATGAAAGTTATCAAAACAAGTTTCTTTAAGTATGGATGCTTTAATTTTGACTTTAGCTCGTTTTGTAATGGGTTTTGACAACACGCTTTCTAAAAATCTTTGAAGAAACCGCTCTAGCTTGTTATGGAACCTTATCATACTTTTTCCTGCTATATTGTCTATTTTCAGCGAGCCAGCACGTGCCCAAACTGCCGGCAAAAGGTGAAATACGTCGACCTACTCACCTGGGACCCGTTCGAGGACGGCGCGCGCGGTCCCTGGAAAAAGGTTCACCACATCCCATTGCCGGTAAGGAATTTAGGCTTTTAAAAATTATTAAATTTAGACGTACGAGACCTCCGAAGAGAGCGACGAAGAAGAGGACGAGGAGGAGGGCGTGCCCGCGCCGTGCGCTCGATGCGGCCATGAACTTGACGAGGATCTGGAGGAGGCGGCCGTTTGTTTATGCTGTGAAGCGTGGGTTTTTCGGGTTTTGTTTTTGTCAGTTATATTTAGCCTTTATTGGTTTTTATAGTGAAACCTCGGCAACTTGTAAAGCTCGAGCGTTCGGGAATTCAAGAAAGTATATAAAGCTCGAGCGTTCAAGCAAATTTTTAAAGTTCGAGCAGCCTTATAGCGCCCTTTTTGAACGGGATCGCATGTAATCAGCCTTGTAATGTGCTCTGATTGAATTTAGGCATGTTATATACAAAACGCGCGATGATTGGGAGCTTTTTATGGTTTTTGAAGATTTATCTTATTAGTTTTAGCCCGATAGGACGTTAATAAATAAGTATAAGATAATGATCTTTAGTTTTCTGCGCTTTCTATCCCTGAAATAGCTGATGTGACTGCGAAAACCGCTATCCTGGCTAGATTTTTGCTGATTTTTGCTACTTTTTTACCAGGTTTTTACTTGATGCTCGAATTTTATTGTTTTTTTTCTGCTTGAACGCTCGAGCAACATAAGTGACCTTGTATTTCTACAGTTTCCAAACCTGGTTTTTTACTTATTTTACCTTGTATTTTCTATTTTCAGGCTTTTCCACCACCAATGCCTGTCCGACTCGGAGAAGGCTCAGCTCGACGGCGCCACCCTGAACCGGTGCAACGACTGCGAGCAGCACGAAGATGAATAATACAAATCCCTTAATTTCTACAGTTTGTTTGTGTATACCTCAGATTTTATCAGCGCCCTGTGAATTGTGTTGTCCGCGTAATAATTTCCCTATATTTCTATATTACTAAACTTTTAGAAGCGAGTGTAATTCGTGTGTAGCTAATAATATACCTTGGATGTCAGACACTTCTCTATCGACCCACCATTATCTTATTTCGTCGGCCTCGTCTTGTCGCCTGAATTTTAATCTCAACCCCGTGAGCTATTCCTGCCGTAATCGTTTAAACTTACATTCCCCGTCCTCGACTGCCCGTTTCTCTTGTGTAATGAGATTTCGCCGGTGCTGTAAAACATCTTGGCCTCGTATTTTTCTCTTGATTAGAACCCAAAACTCGTGCTGTATTTTGTGAATCGTTTTTCTAAAGAACCGTATTTTCTTTGTGTGAATGATCTGTAATAAAAGTTTGTAATAGTGAGAGCATTTTGCAAAGATGCACCAAGTATGAAAATGCGATTGGGTAAAATTTTAGAGACATCGAGGAATGGATATCGTAGCTTTATAAAAAGTAGGAGAAAGGCGGCAAGTTTTTGATCAATTAGCCCTAAAAACATTTCGCGCATTATTTTCACCTGTTGAATGAAGTCATTATCACGTTTTCTCTGATTGAAAGTATTAGAAAATACTGGGAATAACGCGTAATTCCTATTCTTTTACACTATTCGATTAGGATACCTTGAAGAAGCTAACTTTTTCGGTTATTTCCACATTCCCGCAGCTCCATTTCCTCAATTTTCGATCACAGTGTCCCCCAATTTGCTCCGCTCAACATTACCACAAAATATAATTTACGGCCCACCGCCGCCCGCGAGGTAAATTAATATTTTTATGGGCCACTTGTGGCGGCAGATTTTGTTCTCCCGGCTCCGGAACGTACAGAAAAGGTTTAGACGTTCAACAACTATCCAGCCGATTTCGCCACGCAACGCCTGAATGTCGTCGAAAATTCGCATTTTATTCCCCCGGAACCCCCCGGACGTTTTTGACGACTGTAAGGAGTTTCCGACATATGCGCCAACGATTGAATGTCTGTTTCCGGGGTGGACGTTGGAGGTAAGAACCCACGTTATTTTCCGGTAAATCTTGACAACCGAGTATAACGAGTTTTTATTCTTCTTAGTGAATTTTAGCCAATTTGAAGTCGGAAAATTTCAAAAAAGGCTAGAAAAGTGTCTAAAAATCGGAAATTTGAGAATTTTGGGCCTGAAAAAAAATCAATTTTTTGCGTTAAACTTAGTTTTTAATTAAAATTTGTAAAGTTGTGATGCTCAGGAATCGCTAAAAATAATGTGCAGACGCATGCGCAAATTATAAAACAGAGTTTGGTCTCAGCAAACACTTATAATTTTGCACGAATAAAAATCAAGACTTTACATCTATTTAGAGAGGGACATCTCCGTTTTAGCAAAAAATCAAATTTTTTCGCTTATTGCTGTAATCGCCAATTTTTAGATAATTATGACAATTTCGCAAGCCCTTCAGCTTACTGTAGAGCCGGTTTTTATGGAGGGCGCCGTCGGTGAGGTGAACTGGGGAACTTTGGTACGTCAGAAACTCTAAAAGGGGCATAGGGACTACAAAAACTAATCTAAAACAGTAGGATTACTGTAGACGATGCACTTTTTAGGCGAACGGAAGCTGGGAGGGTGCATTACAATACCTACAACAAGATAAAGTTGACGTGATCGCACTGCTTTTTCAACAAACCGACGTGCGGGCGCAGTATTTCGATTATTCGTATCCGGTTACTTATGTAAGGGTTTAAGAAAATACTTTAAACCGCGTTAGATACCGTAAGGCGATCAAAAATGTTATTTTATCAACCTCTTATTATTAAATCCCCTTTTTTCAGATCCAACAAGTCTTAAACGTCCGCGAAATCGATGCCACCGGTGAAATCTCCATTTGGGACGCGATGAAGCCGTAATTTGGAGTGATATGGAAATTGAACATTTTTAGGTATCAAAACCCGGTGTGGGGCATATTCCTTGCCTCGCTGGCCCTCCAGGCTGTAGCGTTAATTTTTGTAAAAAAGGTGGAAAATCGGCTCGACGGGATCCAGGGAGATAGCTGCTGGGAGGTACGGTATTTTGGGTGTTTTTAAGAAATCGATTATTTATTTTTTTCAGACAGTCTGGAATTTAATCGCCTACCAATTAATGCAATACCAGGAATCGCTGAATTTTTTTACAAATGCTGGTAAGGAAAAAAGTTAGTTAGGATTTTTATGGGCTAATTTTGTGGGTGAGTTTTTGTCGTATCAATCTGATTTCATAATCAATAAATTTAAAACATCAAACTTTCAAGTTTTTAGGCCGTTTCCTGTTGATAATCTTCGGCGTGGGCCATCTCCTTCTATTCCTCGGCCTATATCAAAGCTATTTAATTTCCGCGTTGCTCCAAGATACAGTAACCCTACCATTTAAGGTATATAAAGGTGTATTTAAGAAAAAACCATTTTAGGACCTAAACGAAATGATCCAATCAGTCAGTGACGGTCACTACCAGGCTGTGAAGATACAGAATGGGAATTGGTCAGTTGGAAAACGTTTTTTTAACAAAATTTCGGGATGTGGAGGAGCGTACTATCGACGTACAGTAGCGGAAATTTTCAGGGGATCTAAACATAGTAAAATGCAGTATCTCAGGATTTTCTCGGACATCGAAGTGAGCCCATTTTTCGAGTCGATGCGCTCGGCACTAAAGTTGAATCCCTGGGCGATTGTCAAGGACAGTTTTGCCGGGATCGATCTGTTAGAAACGGGTAAGATTACAAATTTTATAAATTAATTTTGTAATTATAAAGGCATCGTAACGTACATGACCGTAGTTTAGGAAAATACGTAATGTTTAACCAAATCGACGCCTATTCCGCACTGTACGTCAGCCAAAGATGCGATTTGCTGACGATTAGCGAAGGTACGATAAAGGACTTTTGTGATTTTTATGATCTTTTCATTGAATTTTTAAATGGTTGAAAATGAGCGTACGGTAATTTAAGCGATCTTTAAAACCTTTAATTTTTAGTCCCTTGTTTCAGGTCTTCCACAAAAATCGGCTCATTTTCTCTTCCAGCGTGGCTCCGAATTTCTGAGCAAATTTAATAAGTAAGAAATTTTATGTATTTTCTTATAGAATTCAGGCAAATTATCATGCAACAATCCTTCATCCTACGCACCTACAACAAATACTTTGACTCGGGCTTCAAGCTGTCCCGGCCGAGCGATTGCCACGAGTCCTCAGGACCTACTGGCGATTTTAAAGTTTTGGGTGATTTTCCAGGCGTTTTTGCGTCTTCTAAGCCCATTGAAAATTTTATAAAAACAAGTGAAGCGCTAGAAAATTACTATAAATGAAAATTAATTTCCAAAAAGTGGCTAGATCGTCAAAATTCGCGATTTTCAAAGCTAAAAAAGTTTTGTAAAGGATTATAAGACTGGCAAAACGGCTCTAAATTTCAGAGCGTTCAAGGGGCTTTAAATTATTTCAATTTGCTGAGCTTTCGGTTTAAAAAACTGATTAAAAATGCCAAGCAATCTATTTTAGGCGTCATGGACTGCATCGGGCTGTTCGTGGTTTTGCTGATCGGCTGGGCTGCGGCCCCATTCGTCTTCATTGCCGAAATCTTTGTTTTTAAGATCGTTGCCCGGAAAGTGACCGGAAGGCCGAAATTATAGGAGGAAATTGAATCGATTTGAGAAAAATATAGACATATCGCAATAAAACAGACAAGTTGCTATCGACGTATTTTTGGTTTTGACATCCGGAATTTCGTCGTTTTGCTGATCGGCCGGGCTGCAGCTCCCTTCATCTTTTGTCGTCGACATTTTTGTGTTCAAGGTCATCGCCAGGAAGGTGACCGCGGAAAGCCAAGATTATGAGAGAAAATTGATTAAATATGGAATTTTTTCACAATAGAATTTATCAGCTTTATGAGACCCACCAACCCTTGGAAAAGCCTAGATCTCGTCAGATACGCGACACTTCAAAAGCCACCAGAAATCGGAATTCAAATTCTAAAGTTCAGCTTCTCAATCTCGCCAGTTTCGAAAGTTCAAACCAGATTTGATGCGCTATGTCACGAGGCAAAGTTACGCGAGGAGTCAAACTTAGTTTACGCGAGGAGTCGATCCCGGCAGTTCCGAATCTTTTTAAATCGCATATAAAGTTGATATCTCAAAGTTTTTTACGTCGTTTTATAAAAATTATCCTTCTTTGCAACTTTTTTCTCAATAACCCTGTATTTTTGCGTCATAATAATTTATCAAAAACGTATTTGAGTGCCATTTTCTATGTAATTTCAGGCTATACCCAGTGTACAGTCGTTTTTTCTCACGTTCTCACTTGATTTTATATAGATTTCTGTCATATACCACTTGTTATATATACAATTTATTTTTTCTAAAAATCTGTATTTTTCCGCTAGAATAAGTTATCAAAAAAGCATTTGAGCGTCGGCTTTTTATTAAATTTTCAGTCTCTCCTCACCACTTCACCGTTCCGGGGATATATTTGTCGATGAGGCCTTGGTAGTACGACTTGAGCTCCTGGACATTTGGGCGGTCATCGCTCTTCGAGTACAGGTCGCAGGCGCTGCAAAAGATACGATAGTACTTCACTGTACACTTTACGCTGGTGTAACACGGATTTTTTGTACTAGTTTCTCGCCTTTTTCCGAGAAACTCTCCCCGGTTTTCCCGGACATTCTCCCTGCGATAAACAAATTTTGGAACAGGGGATTAGAAGAAAATTTGGCCAGGAAAACAGCAGCAACTACAAACTACAGGAAATGAAATTGAGAACTTGAAAAGAGTTTTGTGAATTTCTTACTTGAGCTCCATGATAGCATCGTGAAGTTGACGATCGCGCTCACTTTCGAACCTGAAAAATACGATTAAATGGCTCATTTTTGTATAAAGCGTTATAAGCATTTTTCGGTTCCTAAGCTACAGTATGCCATAGTGACCCACTGCTTATAGGCGCCATGGGAATGTGCGGGGTAGAAGGAGTGGAATCGGATGGCGTAGAGAGCTTCTTCAGGGAGCGTGGTGCCATGGTTTTTCAGTACCTAAAATGTTTAGCATATCAATCCCTCCCTCTCGCTCCCTCGCTCTTCTCTCTCTCCCTCTCTCTTTCTCTCCATCTCTCCTTACCTGATACAAATATTCGTCGTGTGTCCAGCACATCAGCAGATTCTCAAAACCACATCCCCGCTCGTACATGCCGAGTTCGGTGCTGAAAAATTAGGTTAGCGAGAGAGAGAAAGAGAGAGAGAGAGAGCCAGAGCTATGGTTTTTAAATGTCTCAAAAAGCCATTTTTAAACAGTTTTATATCTCACGTGTACTGCTCGTTTTCCTGATCCGGATTTCCGGCAAAGCTCTCGACACCGTAGACGATAGAAGGGTCTGGACGGCATCCAACCGGATAGGTATCCCCCGTCACGGCCCACTGCTCCTCCCCCCACACGCTCATGATCTAAAGGGTAGGGTAGATCAGCCAAATTTTGGACTTTTTGAATCATCACAAGAAAAAGCTTCTGACCTTGCCCAAGTCGTGGACGAGACCGGCCAAGTGCATCCACGGCTTATCTGGATGATTTTCGCGTAGTTTTTCTGCCGTTTGGTAGGCGTGGTACAGGTTAGCTTCATCTACCTCAAAATGGGGGAAATTTATTGAAATTGATAACACTGAAAGTTTAGCGAAGTCAAGAATGATAGTTCGGTATTGCTCGAGATTCCCATGGGTATAAGGCAGAATTACCCGTTTTACACTTACATCTGGATCGCTCTCATCCAAAAACCCGGCCAACAAGTCCAAGCAGTCCAGGATCGGCATCTGAGCATGGCTGAAGGAGAGCCATTTCTTTTGCTATAACAGAAATCCATTTTTTTTGGAAAAATTGATTGCCATTGCGCTGACAAAATCGACAGTCTGGTGGAGGTGCTGGTTACGGTAGTGGCTTTTCACGCGGGCCTAAAATTAGGATAAATTTAACAAAAACAATGTGGAAATACCTGAATCGGGTCGGCTGGCTCTTCCTCGTATTTCCTGTAGCTCTTCCCATTTTCCTCATAGACGACGATCGGGGCAGCGATGTCGACTTTCATTACCTAAAAACAATTTTGGATTTTCCAAACGTCAGTCTCTCGAGAAAGAAAGAGAGAGGGAGAGAGAGCGAGAGAGAGAACGAGATAAGAGATAGACATAGAGACAAAGAAATCGAGAGAGAGAGAGAGATATTTCTCGAATTCTCGAATTACGAGAAAACTAAGTTTTTGATTTATCAAGTTACCGTATGAAAATAAGAAAATTCAGAACACAAAAATGCGCAAAGTTTATCAAGGCATAAAAATTTGAATTTTACCGAAACCCTTGTTAAAAAGAGCCAAGAAACAACAAAAAATGGTCTTTTTAGGAAAATGTTGGTGAAATCGTTATTTCACGATTTTACACGGCTGCAACCTATTGAATACATAAAATTCGAAGGTGAATTAATTTTCGAAGCTAAGTGAAACCTGATTTAAAATTTAATAAAATTTAGATGGGTTCTTCAGTCTTAAAACACCGTGGGTGCGGACAGTTTCCCGGCACGATTCGCCACGTGAGAATGAAAATGGGGGTGGAGAGTGCGCGGGTTCGACCGAACCCGCTTTATAAGGGGGAAATTGATGGTGTCATCAATCAAACCCACTCTGGATCCACCCCCAATACCCGCCCCGCCTTTTTTGTCGCGTCGAATATCGAATCGGCCACGGTTTCTTATCACATGATCACTACTGAACGAGTATCGTTCTATGTGGAAAGAGTATAGTCCTGGAAATCGTGTTTCCACACCCGAAATGTAGGTATTTCCACATGAATTTCGTAATTTTTCAAAGCGACGGTCCCGTGTTCTGGAAAATGACAATAAGTGCAAAAAGCAATTATTGTTTTTAGTAATTGTTTTTAGTAAATTTTGTTCTGTCTCAAGTCCAAAAACTTTTAAAAAGTTAGCAAAGAGTTTGAAAATTTCGAAATTTGCTCATTTTTGCTCGGAAAAAATCGAATTTTTTTACCAAAAATAGTTTATTAATAATAATTTGTAAAGTTATTGGGCTCAAGGATAACTAAAATAATGTAAAAACACACCGGTATTTATAAAAAAAGATCCAGATTTGCGCCGAAGTTTTCCCTGATTTTCGATTGATTAATGCCGGCAAAACGCTTTGGTTGTCTGTAGAAAATTTTCTACCCTTAATAATCATTAATGCGTGTTAAAGTAAACCTTTCGATGCTCTGATCCCCTAATATGCCAATTTTTGACCCAAAACCAAATACTCACGCATCAAAGCCGGCCGCCTGCCATTCCGAACCTGGGCATTTATGTGCTTCCCCGGGTTTGATAAGAAACATTCACCTTTTTGACGGATTTTTCTCGTATTCTCAGCGCCATGGCCCTCGAATTTAACCCAAAACTATTGGAAGAAATCGCTGAAAACCATGGCACACCCACTTGGGTTTATTCAGCCGAGAAAATCCGGGAAAAGATTGCGCAGCTGAAGCGGTTTGACGTCATCAGATTTGCGCAGAAAGCCTCGTCAAACTTGAATATTTTGAAGTTGATGAAGGATGCTGGAGTACTTGTGGATGCCGTGTCGCTTGGGGAATTTAGGAGGTCGCTCAAGGTTGGCTACGAGCCGAAAAGTAAGTATGCCGTTTTTAAGTCTACGCTTGGGCATAATCTAACTAGGCCTACGCTGAGCCTAAACTAAACCTAAGCTACGCCTAAGCTAAGCCCAAGCAAAACCTAAGCCAAGCGGAAAACGGAGCTGAGTCGAAGCTAAATTTGTAAGCCCGTGGAATTAAATTTTTCAAGCCATAGAATATCACATTTTAGCAAAGCCTGGCCAAGCTGAAGAAGTCGTCTATACGGCAGATCTCGTAGATTTGGATACCTTGAACTTTTTGAAGGATCATAAAGCTACCATTAATGCGGGTATACAATTTTGGCACCATTTGGATACCTTAAATTCTTAGGTTCTCTTGACATGTTACGCCGAATTGGGAAGAATGCACCGGGGAACCGAGTCTGGGTTCGCATCAATCCGGGTAAGTAGACATCGAAAAAAAACATTTAAAAACGCGAATTAATTTCTGTATTCATTTTAATTGTTCTACGTTTTTTAATTTTTTTCAGGCTTTGGCCACGGACACAGCCAAAAACCAACACTGGCGGCCCGCAGAGCAAGCACGGCATCTGGGTCACGGATTTTCCGGAAGTTCTGAGTATAGTCGCGGAATTCGGGCTAAAACTCGTCGGAATCCATATGCACATCGGCTCCGGCGTCGATTATTCGCACTTGAAAGAGGTGAGGAAGTCGACAATTGTCAAAATCTGGACTTCTGGCCCCTGTAAAAAGGCGGTAAAGTGCGAGAATATATCGACTAGGTCTTGACAGTTACGTGTTATGCGTTATCCAATAATATACAGGTATGGAACTACGCGTTACGGCTCATCTTCGAGTTGCCGAGACGTAGCTTAACGAGGAGTCGATTCTAGCGTTTACCTAACCTTTAAGTGTCTTTTTAGGTCTGCAACGCAATGACCGAGCTGATAAAGTCAGTCGACCTTGCCCAACTCGCCGATTTGGAGGCCATTTCGGCTGGAGGGGGCCTAACAGTACCGTATAAAGCCGGAGATGCCACCATCAATGTTGATAACTATTTCTCTATCTGGGATGAGGCCAGACAGCACATTGAAGAAATTCTGAACAGGAAAATTCGCCTGGAAATTGAACCTGGACGATTTTTGGTGGCTGAATCGGGAGTGCTGATTGCGAGGGTTCAGGTAAGAAGTTTATTGTTAGTTAATTAAAGCGACAGGTAGGGCAAGGGTCATCGCAAAACCATAGCGAATAGGATCTATGGCAAGCCATGCCCGTCCCTCTAAAAAACTAATCCGGCATTTAGGCAATTCAAAAACGCCCGGGCAGCTATGATTTCCTGTTAATTGACGCCGGCTTCAGTGATCTGATGCGCCCAGCGCTCTACGGAAGCTATCACGAAATCTCGATCCTAAATTCGGATCAGAATGGAAAAATGGTTGAAGTAAAATAGCTTCTTCTCGAATTTATACTACCTCGAATTTCAGTACGCCATCGCCGGCCCGTTATGTGAGTCCGGGGATGTCTATACTCAAGAAGAGGGCGGTCTAGTGACGACAAGAAGCCTACCAGAAGCCAAGGTAAAGGAAAAATGACAAAGTGCCAAAAAGCAAAAAGTTTCTCCCCGGCCGGGAATTGAACCCGGGTCTCGCATGTGACAGACGCGGATACCCACCACTATACTACCGAGGACACGGGGTGCGGTCCGTGGGGAGGGTCTATGAGGCTTCGCCCCTTCTCCCCCCTGCCAGTGTCAAGGGCGCACGAGTGTGAAATGGCAGTTCTCAATCGCGTCACGCCAAATTTTGAGACAAAAATAAAATTGAAAAATTGTAATTTTTAGATACTTGATTTCTGCTTTTGCACATAGGACTATTGCTAGGACTAATGTTTATGAATTGACGGGTGGTCTTAGGGAACGTTCGTCCTATACAAGACACCAAAGCAAATTGAAAAATGAATAATAAAGTGGCGGATTTTTCAGATTGGTGACCTATTAATCATCCATACCACCGGTGCCTACGGAGCGTCAATGTCGTCAAATTACAATACTCGACCACTGGCTGCGGAGGTACTCGTCGAAAACAGCGTGCCCCGCCTAATCCGCCGACGCCAGACCGTTGAGGAATTGTTGGGGCTCGACGTTTTCTAGGAAACAAAATCTAATCAAAATTGTTTGGATAAATTGTGGCTGCAAAATGATCCTCTCTATGAATTGAAACTTTATTTCGATTTTCTCTAGTCCTCAGAACCATGCAATCATGACTACAACGTAGGGGCTCAATGAAGCGTGTGAATGTTGTATAACCCGCGTGACTTTACGGGTGTAAGCAGGTGCTAAACGGCTCCCAAACCGCTAGAAAACCGGCCTCCGTCCTGGCAGAAATTAGCTGGTTTCTGATCAACTCTGATGAGTGTAGAACTCTCGGAAATAAGTTTAGCAGTTTTTTTCCTAAAATCAGCTTCAAAAAAATAAAAAAGATTTTAAGACTAGCACAAAAGTAAAACTAGCTTTAAAGCCTAATTTTCGTTAATTTCCGCCCGAAAAACAGCTTCACTATCGGGGCGGACTCTCGTAATCGATGGGGCAGTAGTGTAGTGTCTGGGTATATGAATATCATACTGTTAAAAACTAAATGCATCACTCACCTCTGCGCGCTGGAAACCCCAAAAACATAGTTCCGATACGATGGGGTGAGCAAGAAAATTGCGATCGAGGCGAGCGTACTGTGCGCCGCGTGGAAACCGACCAGAAGATTGTTTACGCCTGGAAAACCAGGTTAAACGGCTAGCACTGAAGTGATTACCTTGTGGAAATATTACACCAAAATTTAAAATATATTCCAAAGCGACGTAAGGCACGCCTAGAGATGCCGCCGGGATGGACATCTAAAGTTTTTAGTTTTTAGAAACTAGACGAGTTTTCGCCGCAAGCCTCAAAAAATTCAAAACATTTTCTTTTAGGGCGAAATTTCTTTTTGACCTAAAATTACCAAACTTTCGAGTTTTTCAAACATTTTTGCAACCTTTTTTGAAAGCTTATAGTTAGTAGTTTATAGTTAATATAGTTAAAACTTACTAAAAGCAATGTAAAAACATTTTATATCTGTTTATACCAGGACAACCGGGACTGCTAGGAAAAAATAGATAGAATAAAATAATAATGTATAAAATCTCTTTACTATTAATAAAACGAACAAAATCGGCATAGCTTTTTTGATTAACCTTATCGATATTTTTATAAGTTTTATTCATATTCTCTATACCCTATTTATATGGTAAGGTTAAAACCAAACACCCACTCCGATATACAAAACCTTAAAGTATTGCTTATGCATCATCCGTGTCTTCTCGCTCATAGAATTATTGCTGTGTCGCAGGAGGGACAGTGTGTGCCAGATTCCATACAGACACTAAAAACATGTAAAAAATACATTAAAAATTCATGTTATGGTTCGTTCGGGGAATTAGGGGCTGGGATCGCTGGAAAATCCAGACCCCCCGATAAGGAACCAGACCCAAAATTCATACCACTGTTGCAACATAACAAATCATACACGCGGCCAACGTTAAACCTGTGAAAATCCCGGAAAACTGGATATACGGTGGCCACATCGGGGCAGCCCCTGTCACGCAAACGTCCGGAATTTGAGTGAGGAATGAGAAGTTGGGGAACTTCTAGAATGCTATCAAAATGTAAAAATCAATTTGTTGGTACTGCAATAATTCTTACTTACTTACCCCGATAATACTTTTGATCATCAACGAATCAGGGGTGCACTCGATGGGTAGCGAATATATAACACACTGTATCACCGTATTTATGGAAACGTAGTGGAAAATCGCCAGCCAAATCATCGTTTTTCGAGACCATCTTAAAAAAACCGGTAAGCCTAAACCCAGGTCCAAGCCTAGGCCCTACGAATTCCACCTACTTCCATCGCTTGTGCACCTCCAAAGCAGCCAATGCCGGTAGGAGAAAACATTGCGCAGTTGCGTGTAGCATCGAAATCACAAAAATCGCGCCGATTGCCTAACGTATCGAAACCCTTAATATGAATGAATTGGTTAAACGTTACCAACAATGCTCTAACGCTAAAGATTCTGTATAAAAATCCGTGAAGCCGACCAGAGAGCGAGGGAACAAATAGCTCGGGTAGCGCGGCTTGGAAGAGAAATTCCATACCGATTGCCCAGATCTAAGCAGCAATACTTGTTCCCAATCAAAAACGGGAAAAATTATACCGCAACTTAAGGTATTATCATCAACATACTTGATACCACGCCAAATGCCACCGATATACATTAGCCTTTTCAGCAGTCTGGGTGATAATCAAAAACAGTAGTGCCAAATTTATCGGAAACCCAAATATAAGCATTCCGACAGAGTATGCCTTAAAAATATAGGGCTCCTCATAACCATCAACCATTCTGCCCGAAAGTATGCATAAATGGGAATGAAAGTTGTTTTGGCCGCCGGTTTCCGGTTTTCACCTGGCGACAGGTGAAAATGGTGGCAGGGATGCCGGTGGAGAACGCGGAGACGATTATTTTAGCTCGACTTGATAGCGTTGATGTGGCGCGCTCCTTCTTCGACCCCCCCTCTCTCTCTCTCTCTCTCTCTCTCTCACTCCAGCACTCTCCAATGTAGAATAGCGCAATTTTTGGTTATTTTTGTTCTTAAATTTAGTCATCATGGTTTCCCGGGCAAGAACCCTTTATTCATTGACCAGCTTGTATAAAATTTCTAATTATTCCTTGGGTATCACTTTTTGGGAGGTGTGTCAGAAGAGGTGTTGTGATTTCAAGTCGCGTCCAGTGGTGTGCAGTCTTCTGCGATAAGATGAGAACTTGTCCATCATTGCGCTTGATCCGGTAGAAGCTCCGCCCTAGCCTCGGCACGTCGAGTGTCGGATATTGTTGGAAAAATGCAAGTTGGGCACCTCCAGCCGGAGCGTCTCGAGAATCTACGCCAATCGAATGGACTGGGCGCTCGCCACGTAGCCATTCTTCCACAATCATCTGAATGCATTTTTTTTTTTATCGGACTGTCATAATTCACTGTGGAATTCTTGGAAACTGTTCGAAATTCATAGTGCCGAAAGTGTTCCAATCCCCGATTTCGAAATGTCGAATTTCTGCCATAATCAATTAATAGTGCCAAAAAGACCAAAATATCGGACCAAAGATGCTATGTTGTATGTTGACATTACGAGATTTTGCCGTTTCGATACGCTGAATTTCGACATTATCAATTCACCGTGATTGTCGTCTCAATTTCGATGTAATGAAATTTCGGCATTTTGAATTTGAATGCTATAAATTTCGACATCATGAACTTCGAATGAATTATGCTGATCCTGATTTTCGATGTTATAAACTTCGTCATTATGCAATCTCGACCTCATGAATGTCGTCTGAAGTTCTATGCTTTGAATTTTGATGTTATCAGTGTCTTATCGAATTTCGATATTATCAAACTATGCCAATCTTGATTTTCGATAGTATGACTTACGCTATTATAAAATGTCGACATTCTGAATTCCGTTAGGATGAAATTTTAACGTTATAAACCCCTACATATGTCTACATTCCAAAATCTAGACATAAAAACGAACCTGCGCGTATGCTGGAGCAGATACACCACGGAACCGGTCCACGCTTATCGACATATTTGGCACCTTGAGCTGTAGATATTCCTTTTCAACGGGAGAAAACCAAATGTCTACAGAATTCACCGATTCATTCAACCAGTCCACCAAGGCAGGCAGGCTTGGATCTGCAGAATTGAAAAACGACACCTTCTCGTACTTTCCGGTCGGTTTAAAGCGGGTTAGAAGAGCGCGTGTGATGTTGTCGTACTCAACGTGCAACTTATCGCACCGGATATCGATGTCGACGGGGATGTCGTACAAAAGAGTGAGTTGTTTAATGGTAGCATTATGAAAGAGACACTTGAACGTGTCCAGATTATCGATGTAGAATTGGTCCCCCCGGTACGGGTAGCGAGAAAAAGTATAATATGAACGTGCGCGGCGATAGCAGAGCTTGCCATCCCATCGCTTGTCAGGACAGCCCATGACCACTTGCCACATCTTCCGGCTCGTGATGGCCGTCTTGAAGAAGCCGATAATGTCCATGTTGCGGAGGATGTGGTGCTGGATAATGAGGGGAAACGCGGTGAAATCCATCATCTGAAAAATGGGGGATTTGAATGGAATTGGACGCAGAAACATGACAAAAAATCGTAAACTTAGCAGCAGAAAGGTAAATGGCTATGAGAGAGAGCGAGAGAGAGAGAGAGAGAGAGAGAGAGTGGGAGAGAGAGAGACTGCTGGACAAATATAAATATTTGACCTGACCGCATCTATCGGATCCGAAATCGGGTGCTTCGTCATCGAATGTATCTGCCTGCCCTGCAGCTAACCTTCATGACCTGCTGCGTCCCAAACTCCGCCTATCCTGACCCGTTCTTGGGGTATCTATTTGCCGCGCAGATGTTTTATAAGGATTCTTTGTAAATACAATGTAGGGGTTCCGCCAAGGGGAACATGACGATTTGCGAGTAAGTAACCCTTAAAGAGAGTGCCGAGAGAGAGAGGCAGAGAGAGAGAGGGAGAGAGAGAAAGAGATGCCAAGTAACACACCAGATTTTGTGGAATTCTGTGGTAGAATGTACGTAATATTGAGAGTGGATAGGCATCTGTTCAAAAACTTTATTCATTTAAGACCCTGCGCAAAATCCCTGATACGATTCTTGACATAATCACGTGTAAATGGCATATACTCGGGGGCATAGATTTTGATTCGACGGTGCCACGCGAGGTTATGATAGTCTACTAGAAGCACCTCTCCATCGTTCCTTCGGATCCGGTACAACGTCCTTCTATATTTCATTTCGAGCTTGTCGTGCCTTTCGAAGAAATCAAAGTGGACGCCTCCAGTCAGTTCCGCTTCCGAGCGAAAAGCGATCGAGCGTATTTCACGATCACCCTGCAGCCATTGTTCCACGACGAGTTGTGCGTATTCATCAGGCGGTAGACTAATTTTCAGGCTCATCTCCGGCGCCTTCAGCTTTGCCGGCGCCATTTTTGGAGACCAGGACCAAGCCGCTGATGAATTCCACGGAATTATTCAGCCATTCCAGCAATTCCGGCCTTTCTGCATCAAGGGTGTTGCGGAGCGAGAGTTCGCGATATTTCTTGCCGATCGGTTTGTGGCGCTTGAGCAGCGACAGAGTGGCGACTTGGCCAGCAAGGTACAAACATCCACAGCGCAAATCGATGTCGTCGGGAATGGCCTTACATGTATCCAAAACCCGCACTGTTGAATTGTGGAACAGCAATTTCAAGACGGCTGCACCTTCTTTGATTTTGCGAAAGGTTGATGTTGCGGTGTGGATGATCACCATATACAGGGTGCGTCAAAAAAAAAGAACGAAGTTTGCACTGAAATATCTCCTGAACGGAAACGAATCGGACCATGGTTACCTTGCCAGAATGCTTAAATATGCTGGGCATGAAGAAATAACACAAGTTGTTTTTTAAGATTTTTGACGACCGTTAAAAAGTTTTGAACATTTTTGAAAAAGTAAAAAACTTCGAAGCGATAAAGTATGGAACTTTTTATTAGTTAGGGGGATGTTAAGGGTATCAAAATGAAGCTCTTGGAGTGCGCTATCGAAACAGTGGTAAAGGAGTTTGATCGGTTTAACTAGCCGTCAATAGGAGCATTCGGAAAATCCGGACTTTTTGAAGAAAAAATTCCAGATAAAATTTTCTTACCATCCGATCTTTCTGATAATTTGCAGCTAGCAATATATAAATAAATACTAACTTTTGGCATCAAGATTTTCAAAATCCCGATCAAAAATTTTTTTGGCAGCCTGCCAAGTCGGTCGAAACTGCAAGTTTTACTTTAATATAGTTAAAATCATAGCATGATTAGCTTTGGCAAACAGCATTAAATTTAATCAACACAAAAAGTTATGAGGGCGATAGGCTTTTTATGGTCAACTCGGAATCGCTGATTCCCGAAAAGTCCGGATTTTCCGAATGCTCCTATTGACGGCTAGTTAAACCGATCAAACTCCTTTACCACTGTTTCGATAGCGCACTCCAAGAGCTTCATTTTGATACCCTTAACATCCCCCTAACTAATAAAAAGTTCCATACTTTATCGCTTCGAAGTTTTTTACTTTTTCAAAAATGTTCAAAACTTTTTAACGGTCGTCAAAAATCTTAAAAAACAACTTGTGTTATTTCTTCATGCCCAGCATATTTAAGCATTCTGGCAAGGTAACCATGGTCCGATTCGTTTCCGTTCAGGAGATATTTCAGTGCAAACTTCGTTCTTTTTTTTTGACGCACCCTGTAAGGTTCTAAAGACGACCACTGAAGAGACACAACTTCTACCTCCCAATACTTGTCCCGACATTCCCTCGCCACTTTTAGGATAGCTTTGCTGGTGATGGCGGTCTTGAAGAAGCTTTGGATATCCAGGTTTCGGAGAATTTGGTGTTGAACAATGAGGGGCAACGCGGGGAAGTCCATTAACTGAAATGGAAAGGTATTTTGATAGAAATTGTCGCGCGAATGAGACAGAGAGAGAGGGGGAGAGAGAAGAAAGAGACATGCATAGAGAGAGAGACGGCATAAGAGAGCGTTGACAGGTGCTAAGTCATCCCTGATAAAAAAAATCAGAAAATGTTAAGGAAAAAAGCACTATCAAAAACACCTGTCTTTCTTTATTAAATCCATTATTAATTACCTTGTACATTATTAAATTAAAACAAAAACTTAAAAATTATACAAAATTAAATTAGTGTAAAAAAACCGACATAAGTTTAAATAAATTAAAATCTTGAAATTAAATTGTATTGAACACGCAGAAGTGCGCTATCTGCCACTGACGCAGAGGTATCTGCCTTTGACCTCCCATATGCCCCGAGGCTTAATTCAGGTTTCATTCCGCTGCATAATTTTATTGATACATCCCGAACGAATCCAACGCAAGATTGTAACTTCTTGTAGCCCATAGTTTTTATGCAAATTATCACATAGCAATGTGGGACGCACACTGAAGTAACTGCGTGCAATTTTGCTCGGAAACAGCGTTAATTTGGGGGTATCACTCAGTGGCCACGCACGAACAACAAAATTGGATGGTGCCAACTGGAAATGGCAAGAAACCGTAAGGGGAAAATGTTCCAGAAATTTGTCCCAATTTTTGTTTAACTTCCAGATTTCCAAAAAAAAATATAAATTGCATATTCAATTTGGTAATAGAAATGTTTTATTATTCTCATTTTATATCCTAGAAAATAAATGATTTTCATGTAATTGCCGACGGGATGACGGGTCGTATGTTGTTTGCGACAAGTGGCGAGATGTAGCGACTAAATGTATATAGAAATATTTGGGTTAAAGGAACGGCTACGGACGCTGAACTTTACCGCGACGCACACAAAACGCAAAAACTTGCATTTTGATGGCGTAATGGATTTAGAAAGAAAACGGCCGTTAAATTGCCATTTTTAGCTTCTTAGAATCAATTTTCCATGGGGAATACATAACAATTGACCTTAAAAAACTTACTTTCTCCGCTTAAAACATCGTAGGAAGACATTACGGTAAGACGGGGTGAGCATCATAATGCTAATTGACGCAACGGTTGTGTGGGCCGCGTGGCATCCAATGGCAAGGTTGATAAGAGCTTAAAAATGTCATACAGGCAGTATTTGCTTACAGGGGCGTAGCCAGAAAAAAATTTCGGGGGGGGGGCCCCGAAAAATTTTTTTCGAAAAACTCAAAAAATTAAGAAGAAAACAGCGCCGCAGGCGAAAATTTTTGGAAAAAAAGGCTTTATAGCTCTACAAATAGCAGTAAAAACGTGACAAAATAGCGCCGCAGGCAGCAAAATTTTTGAGAAAATAAAAATCATAAGGGTCCCCCCTTATGAAATTTTCGGGCCCCGGCCGATTTCGGGGCGGGCCCGGGGCCCACCTTACGCTACGTCCCTGTTTGCTTACTCAGCCCATTAAAACTAAATAAAACATTCTTTTAAATGGCGATAGGCAATGGCTTACCCTGTGGAAACCGAAAATTAAAACATAGACTAAACTCCAGCCCAAGATAAGGCACGCCAAGGGAGAGTATCGGTACTGTCATCTGAATTATTGTGGGTTGTGGCTTGGTTTGTAGTTTATAGTTTAATTTGAGCCAAGCTTACCCCAATAAATAAAATCCTAAAATATCGCCGATGGATGTCCCGGGTCACCTCGCTCATGTGGCTTTTCGAGTTGCCGAGGAGTTGGAAGGCGTGCCAAGTGCCGATTATTGTCTGAAACCTCGAATATATAGATTTTAGGAGGATAAACAGTCACTACAACGTTTACTACAACCTCTACAACGACTAGGTCCAGATGACTTGGTTACGCCGTCGAGAAAACTATCCTAAAGCTACTTTTTTGTTAATTAGAGTGGCGCCTAGTAGACCGTAGCCCGGACCTAGTTGAAAGCCGGATCGATTCGCACATTTTCTAGTTCTAACCAAGCGACTAACTAAAAAACGCGCACTGTTTGCTTAGCGCTGCGTATCGCGGCTCCAACTTGGCCATTTAAGGCATTAAAACCTACCACTGGCGTAATATAACACATATAGCTAACGATTACTGTCAATAGAATGTAAATTCCAGAAAAATCTATATAATTCGGCAGTATGGGGGCAATCTCCGTGGCGCAGACGTCTGAGAGTTCGGTAATGAACGAGAAATCGGGGAATCTCTGAAATTGTGGTTTTAACAAAAGAGAGATAAGAGAAAATACCTTTCTCTCTCCTTCTCTCTCTCTCTCTCTCTCTCTCTCTCTCTTTCTCGGTCTCCACATACCCTAATCGTCCTCAGAATTAACGGATCGTCGGGCTTGCAGGCTAATGGAAATGTATAGACCCCGATTAACACAGCGCCATTCATAGCAACGTAATGGAGCGCTGCGATCAGGAAGAGATTCCTTGGTGATAGCCTAAAATCCAAACGTTCCTGCCGATACCCATAACTGGTGCTCGGAAAAGGCTTGCTTCAACAATGCATACTTCAGCCAATGATTACTGTCCAACAGCAACCAATGTCGATAGAGAAAGCATTGAGCGGTTGCCAATAACGTTGAACACATTGCGATACAGTAAGCCGCCTGAAAGTCAAGGTGTGGTTAAAGTACCTATTTTATACTTACAAATAGGTCTCTCGGATCTGTGATGTGAAACAAGAAACCATGGGCGCGGATGGCTAGCGTGGGGAGAAAGAATTCGGGCAAAGCACCGTGAAGCAGAAATTCCATGGAGGTGGCCCAGACCTTAAAATAAATGGATAAGGTTTACTTGGAAAAAGTTTCTTGATGTGCTTTTCCAGGCGTTTTAAAGGAATAAGGAAGCGCGCGAATCGACCTCGTATTTATGCCGGGTCTAGACAGAAACCCGACGCCCCAAAAAACGTGCATAGCCAGTGATGGTTTTTTCAAAGTAATTTTTGAAACGAATGTGCTAATGAGGGTAGCTTTTTGGGATAATTATTAGTTTTCGAGGCCTAGTCGGTAGGAAAGATGTTTGCGCTTACTAGTCCCCTTAAAGTCGAAATAATTTTGAAAAAGCGGAAAAAGGTTAGCGATACTTTGACCTAAAGAATTTCAGAAGCGGGATATGACTACAAGTTAACCACAAGATATGACTACTACTATGGTTTAAAAAGCTGTTTCGGTGACTTTTGGAGTATCTCGTAGTTTTCGAGACCTAGAGCATACTAGAGAGTCAAATTTATCGCACCTAGAGTGAGAAACCATGCGCTATCTCTCTCTCTCTCTCCTTCTCTCTCTCCCTCTCTATCTCTCAGGCTCTCTCTACCCCTTACGTCATTTTCAGTCCAAATACCTGATACCACGCCAAATGTCATCGATATGAATACGTCCTTTCCGCAGATTGCTTCACTACCAATAATAATAAAATTAGGTTTATCGGCGTCCCAATAAACAGCATTACATTTGAATATGTTGTAAACACCCAGGGCTCCTCGTAGTCGGGCGAAAACATTTACCAAGTGGTAGGTCATCACTACCTCCAGTAGACACGAAATTGGATACACCGGGGAGTTCCTCCTATTTTTCTGCGAAAACGTTGCAAATTCAGGGCCGTGATGTGTTTTTATCTAATTGCCGGTTCCGGGACAAGCATTTTTGACGTCCGGTACAATGCGCTACGTTCGTCTACGGCGGCACCCGTAATTTGGTACGCCGGGGAAAGTGGAAATGTCAAGAAGTTTCAAACTGTATATCGCGGAAATTATAGATGTCTCAGAAAGCGCCGAGCTCTGTTTCACTCTCTCTCTCTCTCTTTCTCTCCCTCTCTCTCTCTCTCTATCTTTTCCTCTCTTATCTCGACTTTCGAAAAAGAACTTGCACCACATATACGATTTTTACGCATAGCCCATAAATTTCCAAAGCTACGAATTCGTGCGAAATCAGCTTAATTGCGGGTCTCACGAAAAAGCAGGCCGCGTTATTTAAGGATTTAAGGAGTGTTTAATAACAACAAAAAACTATAAATTTTCTCGACATTTCGAAGCCTTTTTCTGGCACAAGAAAGTCAGCGTAGTATGGTTGGAATCTCGACGAGCCAAAAAACCCCACGAGACACAAAAAATTCAAAACAAAACAACAGCGCGGACCCAGCGTTTAGGAATCACTTGGTTGTCGGTGTTTTGGCCGTCGGCATTTTTGCCTTCCAAAATTTTTTCGCTTGACCATGTCTGTCGGCATTTCGTTGCTTTTCGGCTAACAACGTTTGCAATTGCCGAAATTTTAGTTGACGGCATTTTTGCTCCACTTTGCCTGTCGGGATTTCGACTGTCGGTATTTGGGATTGTCAACAATTCCTTTGCACTTTCAGAATTTCGATTGTCGGCATTTTCACTACGCTTGGCTATCGAGACTTGCGATGATCGGTATTTAGCTGTCGGCATTTTCGTTCCTCGGCGCCGTTAAAGCGCACGTTCAGGGAGGGGCCGTATACTCTGTCCAACGTATACACCCTATGGACGTAGGGAGCGCGCGCACGACCTGCCCGTGCTGTGACAGGCCATTCCCCTCCTTTGCGGCGTGGGGCGCCCCTCGCCCCCTCGCCAGGTTCTAACTGTGGCTCACTGGTATCCATCCGCACCTCCCGACCGGGGGGCCCGGGTTCGACCCCCGGCCGCGGCAAAAAATCGTTGCTTTTTCCAAAAAAACGTCCCTGAACGTGCCCTTTAAGTCAGTCAATTTTTTGTTTTCATTCCAATAATTTTCGCAATTTTATTTGGCCAATTTACGAAGCTATTGTTAAGTGCTTGAGTTGAAAGTTCGCGGGAAGAGTTCGAAAACGACAGAAGAGATGCCCCAAAGTTATCCGGAAGAAGCTGAAAACGCATTTTTAATGGTTTTCCGTGAATTCTTACCAGTGGTCGACGCGGTGCAAGTGCTGCAGGTCCCAGCGCAGTAAGCAGCTTTCTAAAAGGAATATAATTTTAGGTCAAGGGTACGCTAATTACCTGGGCTGCTGTGTAGAGCGCGCTTGAGCAGAAGCCGTTGGAGGCCCAGCTTTTGCAGCTAAAAAACAACAAGATGAATTCTTTAAATTTTTTAGTTTAAATTTCAAGGGTAAAATTTACATCTTCGGCCATAACCTTTTAAAGCTTTCAAATCCTACTTGGCATTGGTGTCGACGCAACCAGATGAGGCAGTCGTCGAGACGTAAGCGCAAAGTCCGCCTAAAAAACTTAAAATTCCGAGGGTGTACTGTAGACGTACAGCTGGCCGGGCAGTAGGTCGTCTTGTAAGCGGTGGTATAGAAGCTGCTCGAGCAAAAGCCGTTCAGCACCCAGTTGTAGCAGCTGGAAAGCGTTGATTGTTAGAATTTCGCAGGCTTGAAAGGCTTAAAAATCGCGACGAATTTTCACTTACTTCGACGAATTGTCGACGCACGCCTGGGCGGTGTGGAGGACTAAAAATAAGGTTACGAAAGGTTTTAGAGAAAATGGGCTATTTTCTAAATACTGCAATTGTGGGAGGCTTTGTAGACGTTGCCGGATAAGACGATTTTTGCGCGTTTTCGATATTTCAAATCAATTAAAAAAATGAGAAATGCTACTAAAAATGATATTTTGCATAGTTTTTCTACTAAATAAATAGAAATTGCGCAAGGATTTCGAATACGGTACCAAAAAAGGTACGAAAAACACCATTTTGGATATTTTTAGTTTTTGCAATTTAGTAAAACAGGTAAAAACTGTCTAACAATGTAATTTAAGCAATTGCAATGCGTAATTGGATCAAGTTTCGTCCTTATAATAAAAAAGTAATTTGGCTATTTTACACAATTTTAAACCGACTACGGTACGAAATAGGAGAGTTTTCTAAATGCCAAAAACCTACGGCAGACCGAGACGACGACGAGTTTTAGCATTTTTCTAGGAAATGCTTGGTGATTCGAGTGGGGCGGGTTCGAATGGTGGTATCGAATACAGGGCCAACTGCCAATTTATACCTTACAAAACTTCGGGGGTCCTGTAGTGGCCGAGGCCTGAATAAACAGCAGCCTCGACCAGTCTACGTTTGACATCATGTCGTCGCGTAGTATGAGGGGATGATGTGGGGGACGCGGCTAATTTTGCCAGGATTTTTTCCGGTATCTGCATGTTCTACATCGGGATGGCGAGAGGCTCGGGGTCCCAGCTTTTTGGAAGAACTCAACCCACGCGTTTTTGGTTCCAGCTGTGAAAACACTGAGCACAAAACTGTCCAATGCACTCCCGGTGGGCCTGATCTCGGCTTGCCGGTAGTTAGGCAAACTTGTACTGGATGTTGTCACGTATGCTGTACAGGGATGTTGAGCATTTTCGTGACGCTTTCAAGCCAATTATTTTTAGCGATACTTTTAAATGCCTTAATGCCCTAGGAATCTTAATAAATTTTGTTCTTTACGCGATCCCTTCACATGCCCGTAATGTGTCAACATGGTAAGTTTTTTAGTACTCCCAACACCCCGATTCTTCCGTGATGTATTTTACTTTAGTCCGTAGTTATTTGATTCCATTTAATACGTTTTAATAACTTTGACAAAATTATGGTACGCTGCATTGCATTGCATCAATAATTTTGGTAATAATGTATTCAGTAATTTTCGTGATATTGCGATTTGGTATGCCGTGGGAGAGAGAAGAGAGAGAGAGAGAGAGAGAGAGAGAGAGAGAGAGAAAGACAGAGAGACAGAGAGAGAGACAGAGGGTGAGAGAGAGGAGAGAGAGAGAAGAGGAGTGAGTGAGTGAGTGAGTGGTGAGTGAGTGAGTGAGTGAGTGAGTGAGTGAGTGAGAGATAGAAGATAGGGGGACGGAGAGCAGCGAAAGAAGGAGAGAGTAATTGAATACCGAAGAGGCCGTGGCGCCAAAGGATGCTTGATTTCTTTGAAAATTCGAACCCAAAAATCAGCTATTGAAAGGCTCTGACTCGTTTCTTTTCAGCTAGTATCTAATAAACAGGCTTTTCACTATAAATGAGGCTAAGAAGTTCTATAGAACCAAATAATTGTGACAAAACGGTGACTAAAGTTGCAAACTATTGAAGTTATAAACTATTGAAATTCAAAGGAGTCGAGATGTATAAATAAAGACGCGCGCCTCGAGAGGTACACACCTAGCCATTCACGGCCTAAAATCTCCAGCCCGGAAATGAAGTCCATTGTCGCCCTAGTGCTTCTTCTGGGCATAGTTAGCTCCGGTAGGCATTAAAGTTAAACCCGTGTTTTTATATAATTTCCTTCGTGTGGATTTGAAAGATTGGATCCCAACCTTTTCAGCTTCCATCGCTACTGAGCCGTCCGAACAGCCGGAAAAGGCGAACGTTACTTTTTCCGTAAGCTTGTCCAGCTTTTTAATTAATTTTTTTTAATTAATTTAATTTTTATCTTTTTAATAAGTTCTTTTCAATTCTCGTACTTTTAGCATGACTTTGTCTTCCTACACGCCGCTGAATTCTGCAAGTTCGTGTTTTCCAAAGTGATATCTAGTTAATCTTTTGTAGCTTGTCGCTTGTCCCGCTCGAAGTTGTGCTCGCTCTGCAAAGGAATTTCTGCAATAGTCACGAAGCAAAGCCCGAGTGTATGCATTAATCCAGTTCGCCCAATATCGTTGTTTCAGATGCCAATATTACCGAATGCTTCATAGCTGGTGGAGCTCCTCTCAATGCCCCTTTCGAACAGGAAGCCCAGAAAATCCCCTGCAGGTCGCATTGCGTCTAGCAGAAGAAAAACTGCTAATATTTAGGGATCGAGATATTCTGTACCGTAACTACATCAAAATCGCCTCTCGCAGCTGCCCCAATCCAGCTCAAACCATCAGAATCGCTGCCCAGGGAGTTATCGTTGAAGTAGGCCTGTGCCCTACTTGCGTTATTTAGCGTTAACTTCAGCTTTCACTCCGCTCGAGGTTCTCCCCTAGCGAGGAGGAGGCTGCATGTTACCAGGAACTAGCCAAACGCCTCTACCGTTCATTCCACGCGCCGGACCACACCCAGAGCTCGACTCCTAACTGGCCGAGCGACACGACAACCCCCAGCTTCCCGGGACCCGCTCCTACAGCCGAGCCCTACCCAGTGCCGATGCCGATACCCTGTGGTTCTGGACATTAAAATAAATTAAAATGTTGCGGAAATAAATGAATTTGAAAACCTCGACCTGAAAACACAACACCATGAACGCCTCAACATTTGTGGGGTGTGGAAAAACCTCCTTTTTATTTGCTTGCGCACCTGTTTTTGTTAGTTGGTAGTTGGTTCTGTTAGTTTTTGAGTGCTGAAAAATACTAGAAAAATTTCCACAGTGTCGAACTTTTTGTAGTAGTGGAATGTTTCGTACAACGTAGATTTCACTTAGCCGGAAGATTTTTTAGTCTTTTTTTAACCCAGGAGATGGTCTGTGTTGATCGAGAAAGTACTCTACAAGCTTTTTAGAGGGATTTAAAATCGACTCCTTTGGGCCGGTTTGTAAGAAAAATAGCTGTAACGTTTTAAAGCGGGCTCTTCAGCAGATTTGGAAAACAGATTCGGAATCAGCGTAAAATTCTGCACAAGATAGGCTTGGTCCTGAATGGAATTTCCATCCTGTGTGAAAACACTTTACGATAAGTCAAAGTTTTATCGATGTGTTTTGCTGCTCTAATCGAGGGTTCTTTACTTTGTAAATGCTTTCTTAATTTCAATTACATCTTGTCAAAACAAAGTGTCTTCTGTACCTTTGCTAATCTGTATAATGTTTACAAGCTTGTTTGGCATTAAAAATAATTTATTGTCCTTGTTTTGTAGACGATAGGCAATCGGAAGCTGCTGCTGGTGCGACGTCTTCCTAAAATTAAGATAAAATCAAAATTGACGATGAGAGCTTACGTTTTCCAGTCACCACATCGAACAGATATTCCCTATATGACGGTGTTAGGAAAAATAGGGAAACCGAAGCCATGGTGGTATGAGTGGAGTGGAAGCCAACGAGGAAATTGTTGAGGGCTGAAACGGCGATATTTCCGACTATTAAAAGTTTAGAGAAAAAAGGCCAGCATATCTACGTTCTATTAAAGGTATTTATTAAACTAATATACCTTGAGGTAATATAAAATTGAAAGTTGTCACCAAAAATGCGGCGAGATATGGAGCGCCCATCGAGATAAGCGGAATCACGACCTGAAACGGGAAAAAGAAATCAGCTACTCAAGAGTATTGCTATAATAATATTAAGTGATTGTTAACTGAAAAATATTTGTTGTACAGGTACTATTAAATTAATTGACTGGTATTAAATTAATTATTAAATTAATAAACTAAGCTATTCTATAATAGATCCATAATTTCGCCGTACTACATCTAATCGGTCCCCAAAATTGGAGAGAGGTGTATCATACCCTAAATAACCACAATCTTTAGTGATAACCCCGTCACCTACAATAGTTTTAGAAATACAACAAAAATAAACTTTACAATGTGTTTTTCATCGGGTTTTCGTCGGAGTGGATCCTTGAAATATTAAGTGAAAGTCATGAAAGGAAAGGCTTCTTTACCATGATAAATTTTTTCGACGAAAATTTAACAAAATAAAGGCTTATTGAAGCGTCGTGCAAAAAGAAGCCGAAAAAACCTTTAAAAATCACATAGAAAACAGTATTTTGGCTATAACTCGAGTGCCACTGTAGAGATCGGGCTATAACGCAGGATTCTGGTTATTTAGGGTCTGATACACCTCCGGTCAATTTTCGGGACCGATCGGACGGAATACGGCAAAATGCCGGAAGGGTGCTTTTTGAGACACCCCGTATAAACCCCCAAAATCTTACCCCGATCAGCAAAACCACTAGATATCTACGATGCATTTTCTTCGTTTTCACGCTCATCCAGGTATTCTGGCGGGATAATAGTGCGAACGAATGCCAGAGCAGCAGCATCGTCTAAATTTACATAATTTAGTACCTACAATACCACAAAATAACCCACAATAGGCACAATGTAGCAAATTAAAAACGCGTCGCAAAACATCAGCACATCGACGGTGGAGAAATTGACATATGGCCGCCATATTGGCACAATCTCACTCGCGCAGATCTTTGTAAGGTTTTGGAGGTAGAGAAAGGTGGGATGGGCCTAAGAGTATTTAAAATTACTATTAAAACTATGCTAAAAATACATTTAGCGTCTCTTGTAGCATCCCGGAGTTTACGGTGCAATCAATTGGCAATAGCATGAGCAAGAAGACTCCGACGACGTTTACAAACAAATAATGAAAAGCCCCGATCCAGGAGACGGTTTTTTGGCCATTTTCTAAAGGAAATATATCTAGTATTATTTTTTTCACAAATTGTGAAGTTTTGTTAAGATTTTCTTACTTGAAAATATTGTCTTCCGTCAGTAAAAGCCAATGCCGATAGAAAAAGCATTGAGCGGTGGCGAGAAGCATCGAAATTACACTAATCGCTAGCAACAGCTGAATATATTAGATTAATTTAGTTTTTTAATTTTTAGATAATAGTATAGTAATATATATATATAGTAAAACCTGTAAAACTTACAAGAATCGCACGAGCGCTCAAAAATTCGAATAGAACCCCGTGAATCCTGACGGCCAAAACAGGCAGCAAAATCTCGGGGAGTGCCGTGTGGAAGAGGAGTTCCATTACGATTGCCCAAAACTAAAAACATAAAAGTAAAACTATAGAAAAATATCTAAAAATTGTTTTTAAACCTTTGCAGCGTATGTTTTAAAGATCGAGCAATTTCAGACGCTAATTTTCCAATAAAAAGGCGTACAGAAATTTTATGGAGTCCCAAGGTACCGGAATTTAATAGGCTTTTAAAAATCGGCAGATTTTTTTTTTCAACAGGTTTGAACCATTTTCATTGTTGTCAAATTCGCTTTTGGGCTCCCATGGGGCGCCTTTCCCCTTGGCGGCACAAATTCCTGCCACCTCTCTTGTGCCCCTCCCTGCGGCTCCTCTCCCGTGTCCTCGGTAGTATAGTGGTGAGTATCCGCGTCTGTCACATGCGAGACCCGGGTTCAATTCCCGGCCGGGGAGAAACTTTTTGCTTTTTGCCTCCAAAGCCTGGATTCTCCTTTCGAACCTATAGGTTCTGCCTTTAACTTCAAAAATTACCTGATACCAAGCCAGATGCCATCGGTATGCGTTAGCCTTTTCAGATGGGTTTCGAATTATCAAGAGAAGCATGCCAATATTTATCGGGGTTCCAACAATCAGTAGTAAATTTGAATAGGTCTTTAAAATCGTCGGCTCCTCGTAGCCAGACATTGCATTTTTCTCCAGCATGCCCAGAATGGCCGTTTATATAAAGGATCAATCATGGCAGGTGGAAAAGTAATGTTTATCCTAGAAGTCCAAAACTACGGTAATTGTTGCCTCGCCGCAAAGGGTACACAAAGCTTTTGGGGTCTTTTGTGACCCTGGTTCACTAATATCTTCGGAAAAATATTTATCTCTGGAGGTGTTGAGGGTAGCAAAGTGTAAGGGAGAAAAAGTCAAATCTGCTAAAAGGCCAATGAAGGAAAACGTTAAAAAGGAGCTATTACAATTCGAAAAAGTAAAGCGGAGCTTTTTTCCTGACATGTTCTTAAAAGGAAAATTCGAAATTCCGAAAATGTAGAGACCCTTATATTGATTCTGTAGACGTAGTTGCGTTTATAAATGCGTTTATTTATCGAAATATCGGACTAAATATTATAAAACCTATCAAAACTTAATCTCCGTAGTCCTTGGACGGGCCTTGCATTGTTGGCGCGAGTGTCGGTGGTGCGGGAGTTGTTCTCACGTTCTCAACAGAGTTCAACAGCGCAATCACCGGCTTCAGACACTCAGCAGGCATTCTCCCGTTGAGTTGCGTGAGTAACTAGACATCCATTAACTCAAATGACATTATATATCCATTATGTTACTATATATCGCCACATTGCTCAAAAATTACCGTAACCTGCATCCGCTTTGCCATGTATATCCGCTCCTGCTCGCTGTGGCAGAACGTGGCTATGTTTAGCACCGTGCACTTCATCATCTCGGCGAGGGCGCTGGGAATTTGGGTTAATAGGTTATAGGCCGTTAGCAGAAGCCGAGGCCCTAAGCTAAGCCTAGCCAAGCCTAAGCTAAGCCTAAGCCTGACTAAGCGTAAGCCTAACAAGGAGTGCTTTTTGAGTCATTGGCCAAAATCTTACGAGGCCTAGCTCATTCGATAGAGAATTAAATTCTGAACAGAATGTCGCTGTTTATTTTTGCGGAATAGCCGTTTTATAAAATTGAAAACTAGGTGCCGTGTCTTACCATGAGTGCCCTTCGTGCAAAAAGAGGCGCTTTCGGCTGCAGTATCAAAATTTTATAAAATCAGGGATAGCCATTCGGCAAAAAGAACAGCCTAGCCTGGTTCAGAATCGAATTCTCTATCGAATGAGCTAGTCCTCGTAAGGTTTTGCCGATGACTCAATAAAAGCACTCTGTAAACCTAAAACCTGAACCTAGTCCGTAGCCAATCTCACAACCTGCATAACGAACTCCCGTTTGTCGGCGCGCAACCCTCTCTCATTGCCGGTTTGTTGAAATGTGTCAGGAGGCACTTGTCGATGTTTTCGACTGAAATCGGCCCAAATCACCCTGGAATTCAACGAATTTCAGAGCCAGCTAAACGTGCTAGGGTCGGGGATTTTAATGAATCGAACATTTCGTGCTAAGCGCCCACATTTCGGGTGTTCTTGCAACCATTTGTCGCAGGCTTTCGCAAACAGGTACTTCCCCGCTTCGATTAGCGGCCGGTTACCCCACTTCTGAGCGGCAGAGCTGAACAATCTAAAACAAAGCATTCTGGCAGCATGGCGGAGCTAAAAGGATGCACAAAATAGGAATTGGGGGTTCTGATCCGTTTGTGGGGGAGCAGGACGCGCACACCTCGTTCTTTTTCCGGATAGGTCATTAAGGGCGTATTTTGCCCCCCCCCCCACCCGGTAATAAACCAGTACCAGGAATTGTGTCAGACATTTCAGAACACTTACTTACAGTCGACTTTTCTAAACTGTAAAAAACCTTTAAAAACTTACTTACATGCTTCCGCCGGATCTTGTTTTTCGGGAGCTATTAATGTTTTGACAAAAACACTTTTCCCAAACTACCAATATAAGCGGCCGCCATTTCAACAAAAATCGATACAAAGAGTAGCATAGTTGGGAAAAGACAATATTCAAAAAATTTCGAAGAAATTTTGAAATAGAGGTTAGATGAATGACCTGTGGCGACGGATACGGAGATCAATGGATTTCGTACCGATTCGGAAATCGAGCTCAAAATTCAGTACGATTATGTACTCAGCACATTTTCCTTGGTTTGACGCGATTCGGGGGCAACGAAAGGTTTACGATTTCATAATTCATCTATAGGGTACGTACCATCTGTAACCAAAGAGAAAACTTAAAAAGACTGGCAGATTGAAACGAATTTTCGAGTTTACATTTGCACTGCACGCCACACCGACGGCTTTTCTGGAAGAGTATGATTATCCGTTATTCTCTCTCTCTCTCTCTCTCTCTCTCTCTCTCTCTCACTCTCTCTCCTTCTCATTCTCGCTATTTCACTCTCTCGCTGCTCTTTCTCACTCTCCCTCTCTCTCACTCTCTCGCTCTCTCTCGCTCTCTCTCACTCTCTCTTTATCTCTCTCGCACTCTCTCTCTCTTTCTCTCACTATGTGTTCATGTATCAAAGTCAATAATTTATCATTTATCAAACAATATTCATCTTCATTGAGCCGCAGCCTTTTCGAACATTGCCTCGATTGCGGGGGCACACTCCGCGATTTCTTCAGGGTGTTCCACCACGAGCCACTAAATTTGGAACAGTTTTCGGTTTAGTAGGTTTGTAAGTTTTGTGGGCGTCGATTTGTTTGTTTGTAGGGTTGTCGGTTTTCTCCATGCAAGTAACAAGCCCAAAAGCCTACCCCAATCTGCATGAATCGGGCCAGGAAGGCCATGTCGTCGGGCCGTCCGCAGACAGACAACGTGTTCTCCATTTGACAGTGGATGGCCTGGGCGGTGTTTCTGAAAAGGAGAAAACTCCCATTACGACACAGTGATCGATACCTTGGTTCTTTCGTATTATCGGGGGGGGGGGCGAATTTTTGTATGAGTCTATTGCGGCAATTGCGGCAATTGCGGCAATGCCTAGTAACTTAATAGAAAGTGTTTTAATATTGTTTGTAGCAAAATATAACTATATTAAGACAAGAAAGACTATCTAAAAACTTTAAAAAACTTTGGAATTTTGGTCAAAAAACGGTCATTTTTGGTCGAAAAATCAATATTTTAAATATTTCGGTTAAAATTTTCACGTTTAGAACTAGTAAAAACCACTTAGAACCACTTCCACTAGCCCCTTGTCAGACAAGCGGTAGGTAACTATCTACCGCTCCTCAAACTCTAGGACTCACTCGCAGACAGACTCGTCGTCGTCAACAACCGCCGCGCAACCCTTGAGAAGACGAGGATCCTCCGGGTCCAGCTCGGCAACACAGTTTCCAAGGTCATTATCTAAAAGCCATTACCCTCATTGGTGCCGGCTATTTTTCGAAAACGAAAAGGGCAAAATGGCACTGAAAACTCACATTTTTTGATGGTGTCACCGTCGGCGTCGCAGACGATGCCGGCTAGGATTTTGGCAACCTGGCGAACTTTTGGATCTTTGGCTTCTTCGGCGACGAGATGGTAGCCTCTGCATTTTTTGTAATTATTGATAAACAGAAATTAAATCCGAGATTTCTAGGAAGGTATTCATTACGGACAAATTTCGCGTGAGTCTCTTTTGTCGACCGTGGTGGTAAATTTTTAACCGTAACAGTAGCCTCTTAAACACAGAGGGAAGGCTGTACAATAAATTATATTGGCTATTAATTCTCGAACTTCCAAAAATTCTACTTACTCGCAGCTCCCTCCCTCAGCGGCAGCGACCTCTGGTCCATGCCAGGCGGGCCAAGCTAGCAAAATAGGTATAAACGAGTTAAATACCATTAACTTACCAAAAACTGCCCCGATAAGAAGCCCGAAAACGAAAACCGAATTCATTTTTCGTGATTTGATGCCCGGCCTCTCGAATTGCCCGTTTTATGCAGTCCATTATTATGGCTGTGTGCTGTCTGTCTGTGCTCGGAAAGTAGCGGAAAATCGACTAATTTGAATCCCCGACACCGAAATGATTCAGCTTGTGCTTTGGCTGTCCAAAAATGGCACTTTTAGATCAAAATTGTTTTTATTCTGGGAAGTTGGAGACATAACAAGAAGCATGAAATTTTAAGAAAAAAAATTGGAGCACAAACTAAGCACATTTTGAAAAATTATTAAATGCCTCAAAATCCGCGTTCCTCCGAAGGCCAAAATTGATAATGCCGTGAAAGGTGTCAAAAAATTTCGATATTTTGCTTTGAAACCAGGAAACCCAAAAATCCCATGAATTTCCCTTTAAAAATAAAAAAGTCATTTCAGAAAAAAAATTGTATAAATCCTTTTAAGCGCAAAAATATACTGTAGCTACATTGAATCCAGAGAACGAAACAGAACGTTTATTCAAAACAGAAGATTCAGTTTTTGGTCCCGGCACCCATTGCGTCCAACGCCTCAAGGGTTCCGTTCGTGCAGTAGTGCGGCTCGGATTTGAATTTCAGCGTGACGCCCATGACCAAAAACTAAAATTTTTTGATATCTACCCCATGCTGTTTTGGCCCAACATTCCACTGCTCCAGTCTGGCGATATACGGCTCATCCTTTGGCCCGCTTCCCGCGTTCGCCGCCACAGCAACGATACCACATTTGTAGGTACCAATTCGTTTCCTGAAAGTTTTGCTGAAATATTGCTAGCAAAGCCAAAATCCCTACAAAACTCCTACAAGAAAAATGCCGACAATTAAAATTCTACCAACGAGGATTTGGCAGCGAAGGTAAAGAAAAGCAAAATGTGGACAAACAAAATTCAAATAGAATTTATAGCGATGACCCAAATTCAAAAATGTTAAAATGCCGACAGCTTGAATACCGACAATGGTTATCCCGATAGCTAGAATACCGACATCCGAACTGCTGCAAACCCAAAAACCCGACAGCCATGGTGGCAACAGTTCAACTGTAAGTATCCATAACGTCGACAAACAAAAAACTGTCCGCCAAAAAATGCCGTCAACCAAAACACCGACAACAAAGATGCCCACAAATAAAAATGCAGAGTGATCCATAATGCCGACAGGAAAAAATGTCGAAACCAAAAAGAGCCGGGTTTTGGAATGTTCTTTGCCTGTGATTCATTCTTTTTGCTGTCGGTATTTTGGCTGTCGGCATTCCGTGAAAATGAAACATACTGGCAATCGGCGTTGACCGGTTCGTACTCGTAGAATCCGCAGGCGGCAAATTCGGCCTTACCCAGCTGGCCGCCGGTCCAGTAGTCGTAGATGGCGCCATCTCAATTATCGATTTTTACTTAAATTTTTCCTTACATTTTTCAATCGGTCGTCCTTCAAAGCAGCTGATATTCGTGAGAATCCCTGAGACGCGCGCCGCCTCGGTTTTGGGATATTCGGTGGAGATGCAGGAGAAGGACCCAAATTCCCATGTGATTTAATCCATAAATCTGTTGAGATGAAGTGTTAGTATAAAAATGCCCATAAGGTATTCATTAAATTATTAACATCAGCAAAAAATTTATTAAAAACTTACTCACACATCCCAAGCCCCTCCAGACATTTCCAGTCGCGATGGGTGCCCCTGGCTGAAACAGGGACCGGATATTTTGAAGATGACAAACTTCTGCTTTCGTTTTAATTTGCAAAAAAATACAGAATCTGCCTTCGAATTTGGTAGGCAAATAAAACGAATTACATTTAAGGTAACCAGAAAATGTTGATTTTTGTAGGGATTAGATTAAGTTTTCAGCTTTGCCTGATTTTAAATCCAAATCGTCGTATGACACGGTATGCGCCTTCCGGAACAAATCAGCATACCATGAGCGACTCCAATGAGAACCAAAGCGGTGAGGGAAATTTGGAGGCTCATCTTAAGATCCGTAGTCCGACCGGCCACCCGAACCTTTTATCTAACCCCATGTTTTGTCTCGATTCGAGCCATCGCTGAGTGGTTGGCTGCGTTTTATTTTTTTGCTTGGTTTGTTTTTGCATTTGTTAAAAAGGACAATAAAATCGATTTTCGTCGGCATCAAGTCTAAGCATCGAGATTCTTTTGGAATCTCATTAGGTTGGAAGGCTACCGGCGACCGGTTCCAGCAGACAGTGGGCATCCCATCCATCCTTTATAAGGTACGAAATGTAAATCGAGCTTTATTCAGTCCCTCCCTCAACAAGCATATCCAATGACAATGAAGCTTATGGCACGTTGCTTGCAAGGTTCTGCAAGAATTCCCAGAGCGTCAGCAAGCAGGGATGCGGCTCGCCAACATTGTCCATAGTGTCGGCAGCAATCTATGTGTTTTAGGTTGCAATCGGCCTGTACAGCTACATGACGCATCAACGCCGTTTCCGGGCGCTTTAATGTACCCCATTATACCTCAAGTTGAACGAGACGAGCGATGAACGGGACATCTTGCACGCCGCATCCATATTTCTTTGCACCGGCCGAGATGGCGCATTGGTATACGGTGACGTAAGGGCTGGAAAAATCTAGTTGGCGAGAGAGAGAGAGAGAGAACGAGAGAGGAAAAGAGAGAGTGCGAACAACCAAACCAATACCGGCATTCCGTCGAATTTTTCGGCTCCTCAAAGCCACATGCCTTGAATAGGTCCCGGTTGTCGTTGTCGGTCCATCCGTTCCAGAGTTTCTCGTCTAAAAGAAGTTGCGTGTTGAGCGTCAGGGTTACTTTATTTATCCAAATCAGGTATATGTGACTATCCCTTATTTTATGACTGGAATTTAAAACTTACCTCGGACCTTTTACGTTGCAAGAATTTAAGATAGCGTGTTTAAAAATATTTAGGCATATAAAACCAACATTTCACAATCGGGGAGCAGCAGCTCCCCGTTGCAGCTGGTGTTGCGCAGAAGGGTCGCGACATGGTCGGTGGCCGTGCCCTCATACTCGGTCGAAAGGCATTGCAGGAATCTGCGTTTTAGGTGTACTAATAAAATAGCATAAATGACACCCTACAATGTATATTGGAATAGAGTAAATGTAAAGTATCGGTTTACGTCGGTAAATTTAACTTAGAAATAACAATTAAAGTCCTCACACGTTAGTCAGTTTTGAAAGTTTTAGTGCGCAAATAAAGCATAAAACCTCGTTCTCACCGCGGAGAATGAAACCAAACATCAACATTATTTCGTAGAAAAACCTACTTGCACATCGGCAGACCTTGTTGGCATTTTCTGGGTTCATGTTGAGCTAAAAAGGGATGTTGATGTGAAACAAAATTTAAAATTTAAAACCTTAAGCTTCCTCGAATTGCTCAAAAATCTTAAAAACCGTTAAACCTACCGTACACCGCTCCAAAAACTAGGCAGACCAGGATGATTTTGAGGCTCATCTCCACGAGGAATCAAGGATAACCTTTCGGAAAGTTCCCTAGTTTTATAGGGCTGGTTATTTTGACTAGTGTCGAGCCCTTCTATTCACTAAATTGTAAGCCAGTCAGCCTATACAATTCGCGAGTTTTTCTTGTTTTATTTTTACAGCCCGGTGAATAGGGGTGCGCTATTCAAATTGCTTTTTCGGATCTTTTCAGCTATTTGATGTGAATCAACTCGTTTTTTCTTTAAAAAGTTTATTAGCTTTTTTAATATTTGACGGGTTGGAAAAAAGGCATCAAACAATAGAATGTAATTTTATCCAAAAAAAAAATGATTTCGGAGACGGCATAAAAGAAATTTGATCAATTACCCATATTGATCCAGCCTTCATTTTTTAGTTATTCAATCCCTCCGACATTTCTTCCAGCATTTCGATCAAATAGTCAACGCAGTTTTCAAAAACTTTAGGTGCAGGCTCCTTACCGTCAAGCAACTAAAAGTAATTGCCATTAAAGGAACCGTTAAAATTGAATTTACACTAACCACAACATGCGTCAATTTAGCGACGAAAGGCACATCCTCAGCCCCATCGCCGCACTTTCTGGCCGCGCGCTCGATGCGCTTTTTGAATGCGGCTCCAACGTCGCTACAAAAATTTTGAAAACTATCTAATGAAATCTATTCTTTTTTTTAAAGTTCGAGCCCTGATAAGTCTTAAAAGGACATTAAAGAGCCTTTCCCCTGACTAGGCGTCGACAGCTACGCACTACCAGTACTCCAGGAAACGGCGGTTTTTAATTGAACCTCCTGATAACGGGCAAAACGGGCTAAACATCAGTTATTTGGTTGTCGACGCCTACCCATCTTAAACTGTCGGTTTCCGGGCCTTTGATCATCCACTTACTTGCATGTACCGCTCTTGATTGGCCAAAATCGGCCCAACTGACGGTCGGGACTAGCCCAGCATTTGATCAGAAGCTTGTCTGGAAAGGCATATCTTCTTGACAGTTCAGAGTGTCGCCCTATCGAAAAGTTTGAATATTTTCGTGAGGGCTCGGTACTAAAAAAATACCGACATTTAAGAATTGTCAGTCCTTCAGCATCGCAAGCAACCTGTTGCATAACCTTCACCACACGTATCATTTCCGGGCTCTCAGACGTTTCCACGATTTTTTTGAAGCCGCTGGCATAAAGTTTGAATGGTAAAGAAATGCAAATCACTTGCAAATTCTGTTCTCGTCTTCGGAAATTACGAAGGGCACTGAAATGTTGCTGAGGTAGAGGTAATTCATGACATTTAGTGTCTTATTGCTTACCGCTCACCGCCACTAGCACACAAATCAAAAAAACTGGCAGCTGCGAAATCATGACAAAAGCCTAATTTCAAATAATAAAAAAAATTTCATCGAGGCTAGAGGTGTTTTGTCTACTGTCGGGGTTGATTCATTTAATGGAAATCCGAGAGAGAGAGAGAGAGAGAGAGAGAGAGAGAGAGAGAGAGAGAACTGGTGTTAAAATCATGACGGCTTAACTGACTGAAGCAGTGCCGCTTTCAAAGGTCTATTTGCGCTTTAAATTGGTGTCAAACCAGCCGATGTCGAATATCCATATGTGACTAAGTATTAGTGAGTTGCTTGCAGTTTCAGGTATTTACTTACCAAGCGCCGCCGAGATAACAAAAACGAAAACTAGGCACTTTGGAAGCATGGGAAACGTTTTTTTTGGAAATGGCCGAGATGCTGTTGCGACTGAATGTATTTTGGCTGCTCAGGACCTTGAGTCATTTAATGAAGGAGTTTGTCCGAGCCAGAGCGAGAGAGAGAGAGAGAGAGAGAGAGAGAGAGAGAGAGAGGGAGAGAGAGAGCTTGGCTTACTCTGCAAACCCGAGCTTACTTTGTAAAGCGTGGCGATAAACGGAAAAAAGTTATATTTATTTTTTTGTGTTTAGTTATCTGGTCTGCACAACATGGTCTGGCTGCGCACGGACCCACTTTCACTTAGTGCTATCCAAAATGTTTTCATGCAGGGCGGCTTTCTCGCCGGTATCCAAAAGCTCAGCCACGATCTGAAAGGGTTTATTTAAAGGTACACTAACGTCTCGTTGGTTTGGTTACCGGCCGGTAACCGTCCGCGGGATAGCAGACAGGGTTACGGTAGGGGCTCGCCGCGGAGCAAAACCGAACCCGGACCACTCGCCTGGGGCAAGCGCTTTCGACCACTAGGCCATGGGGCAGACGGGAGAGGGGAGAGGGGAGGAGGATAAGAAGGGTCGGGGCTTGCTGCGGCCAAGAGCCCGAATTCCCGACCACGGACCTAATTTTTGCACGAGATTTTAGTGTACCTTTAAGCTCGAATCTAGATTAAAAGGGTCATAAAAATAAAAATCGACAGCAAGGATCATAAAGTTTGCGCCAGACTATCTTAGTTGTTACATAGGTTATCTGAAACCTCTGTAATGTATTAATGTCGGTTGAATTTCGCGAGTCTTTTCCAATAGCCTTTAAAACCTCCAAGAAATCCAAACGTTATGACACTCTTTAATTAAACGGACACTTTACGTGCCAAATTTTTTAACGATCACTGAAAGTCCGACCAAACCACCTGCCGACACCTCGAATCCAAATCTTGTTTTCACCCCATAACATGCTTAAAAAAGCAACCGTTAAAAAACGCGGTTGATCGAAGCGAAGTTGATGGAATCGACCTATTCCACATGCACCTACAGCTACCCAAAATATTTTGTTTTATTCGGACATATTTTCCCGTGGTTTAGTGTGCCGCTCGGAATTTTTGTGCTCTATTTGATTCTCTGGCATTCGCCACCGAATCTACGAGAGCTTCGGATGCACCTATTTACGTTACAGGTCGAACGGCCGTTTCGGATCAATCAACAAAATTATTTTATAGACGATATCGTTGTTATTCGAGGGTCTAGTTTATCTTGTTCTGCCTGAATTTTGGTTTCCGAGAGCAACCACCCTCGTACTTGGGCCCTGGGCCAATATTTTTGGCTTTACTGGGAAGGAGGCTTTTGTGAGTTCTAGAGCAGGGAATCGAGAGAAAATATTGTATTTCCTCTAATATAGACTCAAAAATACAGCCCCCTCTACAGGGTGTCCCAATAAAAAAACACCCTCCTCTAACTGAGCGCAGTGTAAAATGGTGCTTTTCAAAAAAAGACGAGATTTGAAAATTGTCGCAAACTCGCGGTTTCAAGGCCTTTCTAATGGTGTAACTATCATTCCGATCGAGTTAGTGGGGGTGTTTTTTTTTATTGGGACATCCTGTAATATTCCCCCTGGAATTTTTCCTCAAATATGCACTCACGAGCCAAAAAACGCAAAACAGGGTGAAGATTATGCTTTACAATGGGTGTTTGAATGGTTTTGAGCTGCCTATAGGGGATAAAATTTGTGTTTCTGATCAAAGTCCAGTCATTTTCGCCCCGAATTTCGGGATTTCAGGCGATCAAAGCAATATAGGATGTCTTTATTATAACTCACCCCCCTCTAATACAACTCCTTCCCCCGAAGTGCTTGAAAAAATATATCCGCCGGGGCTATATTAGAGGGAATATGGTATTTTAGGTAGCTGGCACGGTTCTCGCAACGGGATGCTGTTCAGCCGTCTTCCAAATATTCTTTTATAAACATCAACGTCTGCTACGGCATGGTCATCCTCTAAGGTAGTGTTATCGGTTTACATAAGACCAGGGTCTAATGCATTTTCTCGTTGTAAATTCCATCAATTGGGGTTTTCAAAATAACGAAAATCTCAAAAATTTGATTCCGCGCCCCCGTTATCCTATGTGCTGCCTATCAATTTTGATCGGTTTTTGTTTATTTGATAATTTCTATCACATTATTGCGGGCGGAAATCAATTCTCTTAGTATATTTTGGGCGCTATGTCGAATGGCACTCGCAAATTCCCACAGTAATTGCAAATTTTATAATAATGAGTGCCCCCCGTTATTACCCACGTTATCCTATGTTTAACGTGTTACCATTCTAACAATCCATTATGATACCTTTTCAGAGCTGACAATAAAACGAAGATCTTAATCACGCTGGGTTTCTATTTGGCACAAGGTCTGGTGGGCTTTATGGCCGCCTGGAGGTTACCTATCCACCGGGGGATAGAATTACCAGCATCATCAGGCATTTCCGATGTACTTTTGGGTCGCAAAGCCCTAAGATAAGCCTTTAGCAAACCTGGTGCCTCCCCGACACGAGAAGCTCGCCAGACATTTATGTGTGCGACGAGTCGGGTCCTGAAGTTGTGCAATTCGCCTTGGCCGCATATTACATGATTTCGGTGGCGACGGTTGTGGTTAACTTCTTCTTCGTGTCGAGATTAGACAGTTAGGCAGTAACTATCATTGGCCACTCGTTGCACGTACTCGATCAGGATGTTTCTCATATGAGCGCGAGGACCAGGCGAATGCAGAAAGCGTTTTTATGGATACTGACTATGCAGGTCTGATAGGTCCAACCGTAGTTTGTGGCTGCTAAACTGGCTCACACAAGTTCAATAAGTTCAGCTGATCATCCCCTTTGCCTCAATTGGTATACCATGGGTCTACTATGGAGTCGTTTTAATCAGCCCAAATGCACCTTATTATCAAGGTAAAATTTTTCGCTGAAAATTCCAGATTTTTCCAAGCCTTTAGATTTAAACAATGGTCTCGTACTGACCTTTTGCTCTCATGGATTTTTCAATTCGTGCTCCCTACTCCTATGCAACAGAGCATACCGAAGTGCTGTGCAGCGGCTTCTATTTGGGTAATTTTTTTTCAGTAATCAATACGGCTTCTCGAAAGTGGTATTTTTAGCAAGAAGACCGCCAGTAGAGCTCGACTTCCAGCACTGATATCGATTACCAGCCGCTGCTAGATTGCCGGTCATTGCCTTTATTCCTCCGATTAACCTCCCTGACGCGGATCATTAAAAACTATATTACGGACTGACTACCTACCTACTGACTAAGCACTCTAAGCTACCACGATTCGTTGGAAATGCGCCCAAAAACCAAGGTTTCCTTAAAGGGCTCCGAAATGCGGGCGGCGGCCCTCGGCGTTGATTCCTGGCCAATAGCCAAATGCGACTCGACCGCTTCGCATGATCTTTTGCCCTTGTTTGGACGGAAAAACGCTTGAATTTGAAAATAATGGCGTTATTTCTGGAATGATTAATTTACTGGAAATTATTTCTGGATTATGTTTCGTCGCTTAATTATTAAAATTGGTAAGAGAATCATCGAGATCGAGGGCTTGGGTGCCTTACAGGGCATTACGAGATGTAATCGCGAGGGGGGGAGAGAGAGCGAGAGAGAGATAGCGAAAGAAAGAGTGATTGAGAGAGAGAGCACGGCTCACCCTTTCGACCTCAGCATGTTTTGTAAACCGCGGTCATACAAGGAAAAAGTATTATTTATTTATTTAACCTTCGCGTTATCTTCTTGCGCATGGTTCCCAATTTCATCTAGGGCATTCCAAAATGCTTTCATGCAGGGCGGATGTGGCTCTTTGTCGCCGCTGGCCAAAAGCTCGGCTGCAATCTGAAAAGATTTTGTTTAGGCTCGAATCAAAGTCATTAGGGCCAGAAAAAGTAAAGTCGACGCAGTACCTTGAATTGAACGAGACGGGCGATGAACGGGGCATCCTTCTCGCCGGAACCAATTTTCCTAGCTAACGCCGACACAGTGCATTGATAAGTGGCGATGACGGCGCTGAAGCATCAGATTTACGCTCTCAGTGCAACTTTTGAATCCAGGTTCAAGGTGTAATCTACATACGGGCAATCAGCCGGATCGTTCGGCGCCCCAGCTGTGCAACGTCCGAGTTCGCCCTCCAGATCTTGTTCTCCCCAAGCACTCCAGATTTTCTCGTCTGAAGAGGATAAAAAGTAAAAAAAAGGTTTATGTTAAATTTTTCAAGCGTTTAATACGTCTACCCACATCTCACTATTGGCAACAAAAATTTCCCATTGCAGCTGACGTTGCGGAGAATTGTGGCGATGCGATCGCCTTCGGTATCAGGATACGTTGTCGAGACGCAGGAAAAGTACCTGAAAGCCACCATAAAATCTGTGAATCGTCATTAACTTTTATATTCTCAGTTTGTAAACGTTGTAACCCAAAACTTACTTGCACATCGGCGCCGCTTTGTCGCATTTCGCCGGGGTGGGATCGGCTGGAAAATGGCATAGCATGGTTAAGGAATTTATGGAAATTTTGTAGGCTATAGATTTACGTTGGACTTTTCAACACCGCGACGCGCAACCTTACTGTCGCGCAACCTTACTGTCGCGCAATAAGAACCGTCATGAAAGAAAGTCAAGTCAAGTCAAGAAAGTCAAGAAAACCTGAAAGCTCTCATGTAGCGTACGCTTTGCGTGTTGTGGTCGCGGTAAATTCCGAGTTAATGGCGTCAAAGCTATTAAGACCTATACAAATGTATCGCCTTACCATAAGAACCGGCAAATACCAGAAAAACGAGAGCTTTTAGTCCCATTTCGAGGAGACTCGAGGACCTTTTCCGAGGTTGGCGGTTTTATGGGAACCACGGCTTCGTCTAGGTGTATCACGTGTTATTCATCCAATTGTACCCCCACCCGCCCGGACATTTTGGCGTATTTTTCGCCTGATTTGTACAATGGCAGTATCTTCGCTTTCAAATTGCTTCCCCCTAAGTCTTTTCATCTCGATTTCTATCTACGCGGAGCGAAAACTCTATTTGAAAATATTTTTGTTCGGCTGTTAATTGCAGGGCCACGCTGTTCCGTCATTTTGAAAACGTACAGGCATTTTAGCGCTGAAGCTAAAATTTTTTAACAGTACAGATTACAGGGTGAGGCATATATATGGTAACACCCCCAGACCATACTAAGTCGCCTGCTATCGGAAAACTAATTATTATTTCGGGGGTTTGGGTGTTTCCCATACAAGAACTTGTGTTTCTTTATGCAGGAGACAAATGAAAACGGTTGCGAATTTTTAATTTTTAATTTATAGTAGCGGGAAGTTTAGCGATTTTGTCGAAAAAGCGGCGTGTTGGCATCTTTACGGCACACATTTACACTAGAAAGCACCTCTTTCAATTTCCGATACGCAGCCATATCAATCGCCGCGATATTCGCAATCAAAATAGCATCCAAATACCGTAGCCACTCGGTGTAGTTTGTAGCGTTGAATTCGGCGCCGAGTCGTAGCAATAGTGCAATGGTATACGGTAGTGGTAGCGGCAAATATGGCAGCTTGACCTGCAAATATCGCCCGTCGAAGGAGAGAGCGAGGAAACGGCTGAAATTCGGTAATTTTTGGGATTAAAGAGGCAGGCAAGGCGCGGTTATTGATTTTTTGGTTGTGGATTCCACATGGATTCTCCCAACGGCCAAACGCAACGCGCACGCTCGCCCTTTCATTGCGTAATCGGTTAACGCCATTTTACAGCGGCCAAATGGCGTTCGCGTCGCGTCTTGCGGCCGTGCAAACTCCATAAAGGATCATAGCCTTTAAAAGGCCGTTCGCGAGGGGCGCGACCACTGCTTGGCACAGTTTTTTTCGACCCTGTTTTTTTGGCGCCATCGGAAAGAGCATGATCAAATTAGTAGGGTGGCGCTATTTTGAGAGTTTAAAAATTTAATTTTCGGGGTTAAACTGGGCGCTAAAGTTGCCGACCGCAAAAAATTATCTCGAAAGTTACTGGACCAAATCAGTCGAAAATTTTTGACTGGGCCTGATTTTGGGTACTGATCATATCTCTAATACATTGCGAAGCTCGAAAATGACCGGAACATAGGTGTACCGCGTTCACAAATTAGTTTTTCCGGAATTGCCGGAGCCTGCCGTTCGAGCGGGCGATGAGACTAGCATAGAAAGAGGCGCAATAAAATTCTGCATTGATTGATGTATTGCTCATGACCCGCCCGTTCGGCAGGAAATTGCTATAAAGCATTTACTGCGCCGAAAACCGTCCGAAAAAAGCTCAAAAAGTCGAAAACAGGTCTCTTTTGAAAATGTGAAGTATCAAAACACATCTAGAGCTCGAGCTAAAGCCATTGCAAAAAAGAGCAAAAAGAAATTCGCCTTCTGAGAAGATGCTTGTTTCGGGCAGGAATCGAACCCGGACCCTTCCCCTTCCCCTTCCCCAGTCGTGGTGTATTGCAGGTGTGTCGGCGTACCAATCCAGAGCTCGCGCCAGTTCAATTCCGGCCCCCTCTCGCTTCTCGCTCCCCTTGCGCATCTTTCTATGCTAGTCTCATCGCCCGCTCGAACGGCAGGCTCCGGCAATTCCGGAAAAACAAATTTGTGTACGCGGTACACCTATGTTCCGGTCATTTTCGAGCTTCGCAATGTATTAGAGATATGATCAGTACCCAAAATCAGGCCCGGTCAAAAATTTTCGACTGATTTGGTCCAGTAACTTTCGAGATAATTTTTTTGCGGTCGGCAACTTTAGCGCCCAGTTTAACCCCGAAAATTAAATTTTTAAACTTTCAAAATAGCGCCACCCTACTAATTTGATCATGCTCTTTCCGATGGCGTCAAAAAAACAGGGTCGAAAAAAACTGTGCCAAGCTATATTAAGGGTTGGTCGAGTCCCTCGCGAACCGCCTTTTAAGTCATAGAACGAAGGAACGTTAAGAAGCTCTGAACGTGCAAAATCCATTGCAAAGTGACTTCCCGAGCCCTTTAGAATGCGAAAGCTTACCCAAATGATACAAAGTACTGCGCAATCCGAATCCCGGCCGATAGAGCCCGCATATTTTCGGTCATCGTCAAGCCGAACTTGAACATTGCCTGCGCGATGTCGAGCAGCCATTCAACGCTTTCGGGGTTGCGGTAGGAGAATTCGGTGACATTTCTAGATTTAAACTTTAAAAAGGAGATTGGGCTTGGGCTTTACTAGGCTTTACTTATACCTAGGCTTCGGCTTAGGCTTAGCTTTAGGTCCAAATTTGGCTAGGGCTTAGGCTTAGATTGGGCTTAGATTGGGCTCTGGTTTGTGAAAAACTAAGCTCATACCTACAAGCCAATCCAGAAAATCGAATCGATGAGACAGGTGACCCCCCCTAGAAGCCGCGATGGAAGCGAGGAGAAGCCTAGGAACCGATCTTATAATTGCAGTCTTACACACCGAACTAGCAATACAATCTTTTTATTCGCCAACGAATAATAGACGCCCAACGGACTGACGATAAGGGTTAATAGATATATCTGGAAATTGCATTTTATTTTGGAGCTTATTTCTCGGATCCGAGCCCTGGAAATCCATCTAGAATGAACTTACAGCAGCTGTGCTCCCAAAGTATATCCCATTCACGTATGCCTCAAATTTGTCTTCATCAAATTTCACGTTGAATAGTATAAATCGGATGAGCCAGTCCGGAAGCACGCCCAGAATGAAAGTTATAGCTAAAATTTCGTTCGTTAATAGTCGCAACTTTTTATTATACCATAAACTATAAACCGGGTACTCAAAATATAGCGCTAAAATTTAAAATTTATACCTAACAATACCGTAGTTATCAGAATAACCTCTAGAACCTCTGGAAAATTCTGAAACTCCACATCTCAAGCGCAGTGAGCATGAATTCATACTTTAGGAACCCGGTGAATCCACAATGTTCAGAGTTCCCACCCTAATTTTGACCTAATCACCACGGCGTGTGTAGGTACGGCAATGGGTCCAAAATTTGCCTCACATCAGGGGCACATTTTGATCGGAAAATCCCAGAGTCCGACGTGATGGCATCGGATCGGTGATAGAGAGAGAGAGAGAGAGAGAGAGAGAGAGAGAGAGCAAGAGAGAAGCGTTGTGGAAAGCGCAAATTTTGCATTTATTCAATTTTCCTGCTATCTATAACTCGTTTTCTTGCTTGATTGTGTCGAGTCTGGCAAGCGCCTCCACAATCTCCTGTCGGCAGTTTCGAACTGCAGCTGGAGCGTTCGCGTTACCAATGACGTTTTCGTGCACCTGGAAGCCGCTCAAAAATTAAAAACAAAAACACAATATTGGCATACCTTTAGCTGCGTCAATCGAGCCACAAATCCCTGATCGGCCTCTCCGTAACCACATTTTTTGGCGTCGTTATTGACACGCAACGCGTACTCTCGGGTGATTTCGCTAAAAATTCGGAATTAATTTTTCAATAATGTCTTTGGATTTTACTCGCAATTCCCGCTAGCTCGTGGCCAGGGATTCCGCTCGGTCTCCAGCGCCCTCCAGCAATCGTGCAGCTTTTGATCTAAAATTTTCAGCGTTTTAGGGGTCCGAAAAACTCGGCTGCCGTTAATGCGAAGACACTACTTACAGCCACTACCCAAACTCGGGAATAGCCAGTCAATCAGAGGGGCATAGATAGGTTGGAGGGGCAAGAGGGCATCGTTGCAGGCACGAGTGCGCAAAATTTCGACGACGCGGACCTTGTCCGCGTTTTCGTCCGTTTCGATGATTTTCGCGAAGCTCCTAAAACCCGATCGTATGTCAAAATCCAAAAAATGCACAAATTTCAGGATTGGCCAAAAAACTACGACAAGGTTGAACCGAAAGTCTTTACAAACGAACTTTAGCAATTTCGGCAGGTTTCTGGACCGCTACAGTGTTTTCTTTTTCCCAGATCTCTGTACCCATAAAAAACTCTTCCAACAAAAATCAAAACCCAAAAATATTAAAACAAAAAATGTCCCCCCGCTAACAGTTCAGAACCATAAAAATTACAAGCTTGCTTCTATTAGATGAAATACGTCATCGAAACTAGCGTGTCGACCCCGGTCTGGCGCCTCACACAACACAATTAACTCACTCGCAAATCTCATTCTTCGGCTTCTGGAAAAGTTTATCCAGCAAAAGATACCAGCCACATCTAAAAACATCTCGTGAAACGTCCTACATACCCGGAAATGCAAATCGCAATAAGGAAGGTGAGGTGAGGACGCATCATGATGGAAATCTATTAGCAATGGCAGAGTTGTGTAAGGGATTGGGGAAAAAGATCGGGCAAAACGATCGCGTAAGCGAAATCTCTCTCCCCACCCCTCTTGGTCAGCAATGACCTCGTGCAAGAATGTTGCAGTTCTCTAATAGCAGCTTGCTCTGGTTGATTTTTAGCGATAGTTAGTACAGTTGGGCCGTGCTTACTTAGAAAGCTCTAGGTGGCCGGATACGTAGAAAACGCAAAAATACCGAAAAACACTGATTTTTGCCTAAGCGCAGGCTCATTTGCATCCGAAACCCAAAACTGTTGCCAGTAAGTTTTCGTTCTTCCGCTCTCTCTCCATCGCTCTCTCTCTATCTTTTTCTCACTCTCTCTCCTCCTCTCATCACGTCCTGTTAAGCGTGATTCTTCGATGAACCCGCCGGTGAGGTGCCGCGTCTGGCGTCGCATCAAGAGGCACTAGATGGTCGGCCCAACCACACCAGTGACGACTTCTCCTTGATCGTCGCCCTCTCCCCCCCCCCTCTATTGAACCTCATCAGAAGACGCTCGATTCTGCCCTTTCCCTATCTACAGTCACCCAATATGTGGCCACCGAGTTGTGTATTCCTCTTTCGAATAAAGTGTTTTGAGGGCAGGCTCACTGTTTCTTTGATTAAAGGGATGGTGCCAGCAAGGTGAAACATGTGAAACTGTGTCAAACAAAATTTCTTGAACTGACCAGAAAAATGTGGCTGATGCGCTTGGCCTACATTTGCTTCCATATCTTGGTATTTTTGTCCGCCGAGTCCAGCCATTTGCATAAAAAACCGGCAATTCTTTGAACAAATTCTTGATTAGAATGCGCACAAAAAACGGTAATTAACCACCAGATGGTTACAGTCGCTTCGCGACTGCAACCATCTGGCCTTCGGGCTACCCTACATGTCCCATTCCGGTGGACTTTCAGAATCTCTAAATTTCAGAATCTCTAAATTTCAGAATCTCTAAATTTCAGAATCTCTAAATTTTAGAATCTCTAAAAATCAGAATCTCTAAAAATCAGAATCTCTAAAAATCAGAATCTCTAAATGTCGGAATCTCTAAATTTCGGAATCTCTAAATGTCGGAATCTCTAAATTTCGGAATCTCTAAATTTCTTTGTAAAGGAGCCCATACAGAGTTTGGCGCAAATTGAAACTGTAATGCGCTTTTACCCAAAGACGCCCCTGAAAACTTTTTCTGGGGTAGATTTTTGCGCTAATCACGTAAAACGTAGATGCATTTCCATAGCGCCATTTTTTCGGGCTTGGTTACAACTGTTGTCTTCAAAACTTGGTTTTGCTATAAGCAATTCATTTTTACTTTTTGTGATTCGTGGTTACGTTTTTCGTGATCAGGGCAAAAACTACCCCCAAAAAAAGTTTTCACAGGCGACGTTGACTAAAACCGCCATACAGTTTCAATTTGCGCCAAAAACTGTATGGCTTCCTGAACAAAGAAATTTAGAGATTCCGATTTTTAGAGATTCTGATTTTTAGAGATTCTGATTTTTAGAGATTCTGAAATTTAGAGATTCTGAAATTTAGAGATTCTGAAATTTAGAGATTCTGAAATTTAGAGATTCTGAAATTTAGATATTCTGAAATTTAGAGATTCTGAAATTTAGAGATTCTGATAGGGCGGCGTCCCATTCCATCACATCCTTTCCCACCTCCATCAATACCCCCGATAACCGAAATCCCCTTCAAAAACTACCTAAATACCTTTCCGATGGCTTCAGATACCCCCCATGGCTGAAATCCTTTTAAAAAACGAAAATAACGACCGACCGGAGAAAGAGAAAAAAAGAAATGAAATCCCCCGTGAAAATTTTCATCCACGAAACGCGCGCCACCTGGCTCACTATGTCCAAAATCACCACAACTTCCCCTTTTACTAAGGAAAAAACTTTCAAATTTAATTTTAACCAGGGTTGAAAAGCCGCTTCGCGACTTTTCAACCCTGGCCCTGTCTAACCCTATGATGTTCTTCGTTTTGCATAATTGTGCCCAATTCTGATGACAAAAAAATGAAAAAACCCTCCCTTAGGGCCTTTATATAGGCTACTGCAACTTCCGGCGTATGCTAATTTTATCTTAACACAGTGGGTGTCGGAATTTTTAAGAAAAACTTAATTTTAATGTTGAAAACAACATATTTTACAGAATCCGATATGTGTGCAGTCATCTCCAGCCCATTACGCACCTAATGACGTATCAAACACCTCCTCAAACCCATCCCTTCTCGAGATATCCTCCGGACACCCTGACGGAAGTTGCATGCAAATGCACACACACACACGAACACTATTTTTTTATATATAGTAGGATAATTTAAACCAAGACTTTTTCATAATTTTTTTATCAGTTTGGGGGTTTCTGACGGTGCTCTATCCGAATCCGAAGAGAGCTCTAGCTCCTTTCCCCTTCGAGTTGAATCGGGACCGGACAGACAGACGGACGGACAGAGGGAGACCACAGCAAAATTATTATAGTTGATTTTCTTTTTGGCGCAGGGCCAAAACGAGCCGCCCGACGTCTTTTGCAAAGACTCTTGGTATGCAAAACACCTCAGATAAAGTGAATTTTTAAGTAAGCGCCCAGGTTGATGATCTCGCTTTGGATTCTGCTGTTTGCGATTGGTAGCTTACGATATAGCTGTGGAAGTGAGGTAAATTAGAACCCGCGAAAGCGAACGGGGTCGACTGGCTTGATGCGGGCCATTGGGCTACGGTAGGTTTTTTAGCTTTTTAGGCGCTATTAGGTTGAAATGGAAATTTTGGTTGAAAAAGAGCATTTTTGGGCAAAAAAATTGATATATTTTTTGTATTTTCTTCAATAAAAATTTGTAAAGTTTCTACCTTTTGGAAGCGTAAAAATGGTTTAAAAACACTTTTGCTATTTATAATCAAAAATTGGTTCGTAAGAATAAAAGACATGCACAATCTTCCCCTCCCCCCGATAATGCCCAAGAACCCGGAAACTTTGTTTCAGAAGGATGGCGATTGTCTGACGTCGGGTTGTGTGAGAGCGGCTGCATATTTGGTAACCCAAATCAGACCAGTTGCTCACGCTTGGCTCACTTAGCTTGATGCGACCAATCGTGATGTGAATCCGTGCGACGACTTCTATGAGCATGCTTGCGGGCGGTGGAATCGGGTACAAATTCTTACGCGTCACAAACAAAACGAGTGATTCGACAGAAGAGTGATATTGCGGTGCCGCCCCTGGCTGGCTAGACGCAACGCGCCCAGCTACAGAGTTAGTTTCCAGTTTCAGTTTTAGGTTCTTGGCTACTGTCGGGGGGGGGTCTTATAGACCAATTTTTTAACGTTTTTGACCATCCCTAAACGTATAACTTTACACTATTCGACTAAGAAAATACTAAAAATATCGATTTTCGAGCAAAACTACATCTTTTTGAAACTTTTTTCAAAGTTTTTAGATAGTTTTTCTAGTCAAGACATGGTTTTGTTATAACATTATAAAGACGCTCCCTATAAGTTACTAGGCATTTTTAGATGAATACAAAAAATCCCCCCCGATAATGCAAAAGGACCGGGACCGATTTTTTTCCATGGGTCCATTTTCAGTCGTGATTTCGATAGTGTATTTGCCAAACTGTGACTGTATTTCAAGTATATTTTCCGCTATTTGAGTCTAAAAATTAGATCCTACTAAAAAACCTCCTCCCCGCGATATTTCGACAGCACCCCAGTTTTAGTTCTCCTAAAGAGCGACAAGTCTGGCTCGCCGGCCATAGCTCAAGCTCAGAAATATCTGCGAATGTGCCGTAACTACAGTGCGGACGAGTTCGTCAGGTTATAAGTTCAAGGAACTGTCTGAAAGCCGCTCCTAGAGATGCCGTCAACTACACGAAGGCGCTCGGGCCTATTCCGCTGCTGGGGGAGAAGCTGCGGCCGGGGATGGTAGGGGAACCGGCAATACTGAATTCTCTGTCTTGTCGATATTGGCACTGGGCTGTTAGCGGGGGGGGAGGAGGGTTAGCAGTTCTGCACTTTACATCAAAAATTTGCTTAATTTCGTCATTTTGAGCCGGTTTTGCATGGATTTGACCCAAAAATCCCATTTGTTGAGTTTTCCTACAACAAAATATCAACCATCGTTTGGCATTTTACATAGTTTTTACAGATCAAAACAATACAAAAAAAATAAAACTGTTCGAAATTTTTTGACTTTTGATCAAAAATAACGAAAAAGACAAAAATTTTCGATTTTTCAAAATTAAAAAATATTTTTTTACGGCTGTCTAGCAATCAAAAGCTATTAAAACAATATCTAGCGAGCAGAACAAACGGTCCCTCCTGCTAAGCCACCCACCCCCGCTAACAGTCCAGAACCAAAAATGTCACTTTGCAGCAACTGCCAACCCTAACGGATCAGAATCTGTTCACCTCCATCTTCTTCTACAAAATACGCACCTCGGCGATCCCCGAGGTAAAACTCCAGATTTCACTGGCCGAATCCGGGCATTTGATATTTCTCAGCGAGCGCAGTATCGCAACCGAGAATATGACCCAACATCTTGAGCTTTTGTTTTCAGTGGTGGGCCAGCCACTTCCGGGAGATTTCGCACGTTTCCAGGTCACGAAGACCATTGTCACGTACCACGCTGGATTCAGCCCTGAAACTCCGGAAACCAAGCGGCAACTCGCGGAGTTGAGATCCATCTTCGAGCGGTTCTTTGTTGTAGGTATTTGAGTGGAAAAACAGCGAAGAAACTAACCAAATCTGGGCAATCTGGGCACAAGCCTCTGGAGGGGCGGGGCACCCAGTCAGACTAGATCCCCCATTTCCACAAACCCCTACTAACGAACCATAACCTTCAATTTTAGTTCTTCCTCGAAGAATCGCGTCCCGACGCTCCGATGACGAACATCACCCTGGACGAGCTGCAGGAATTGGCCCCAGAGGTCCTTCTCAAAACAGCAAAAAAATTTTCGATTTTAGTTTGATTGGCTGAAGTTTATTTCCGCCCATACGAAGGGCGAACAGCAGAAAATGCTGGGGCCCAGGACGCAGCTGAAGCTACGCGGCACGCCCGAAACGTTCGCGAGGGTGAGGAGGAGCCTCCCACACTTTCTCGCTCTCTATCGCTCTCTCTCTCTCTCTCTCTCTCTCTCTCTATCGTTCGCTTTGCTCATTTGATATCCCAAGCAATACTCATTCAGTACTCGATCTTGCTCCGAAGCTTGTCCCCCTCAGACCGCCAAAATCTCGTCTTCTTCCTCTGGCAAGCAGCGCTGCCATACTGGCAGGCCAGTCCATTGGTTGGGGTGCAATGTGATCGGATTGTTGGTGGCGACCGGCTCCTCACTACCAACGTTCAGTGGGTCGGCACGTTTACCAAACTCTCCGAACACCTTATGGTCAAACATCTGCGGACACCCGGTGACAAGGAGGTGATTGAGGTGGGTAAAAGGTATATCAAGACACAAATCAAAAATCAATTTCAGCACATCGGCCAAAATGTTCTCGTCTCGTTCCTGGAGGTACTCGATGAGAACCCGTGGCTGACTCCAGAGAGCCGCGCCATTCTGAAAAAGAGGGTTGGCTATCCTTGATTGAGCGAAACGGACCCTAGCTGATCAACATGCAAAACATGCTCGGCTACAACACGAATGCTATCGATCTACGAGCCGCCGAGGAGATTGCGAAATTTGTGGGACTCGTGAAACCTCGATCCACGTAAAGTGTTGCAGATCACGATTCCCGACGTGGCGACCCCGTTCGAGTGGCTGAAGATGACTTGGCGTATCCGTTGGGCTCACGAGAATTTTGTACCTAGAGTTGGAAACCGGACATCCGTTGTTATAGGACGTTGGGGATACGGTGGTCGATCGGGCAGGCACGTCGTTGACCGGCTTTCAGGCGGAGAATGTTCATTACAAGTATATTTGTAAGTTTTTGGATTGGGTAAGATCCCTTACCGATCTCGCACGCTCTCTCTCTCTCTCTCTCTCTCTCTGGCAATAATTCATTCCTAGATGTCCCGGTCGGTATCATGACCCCGCCCAACTATGAGCAGCACTGGCCCCTCGAGTTCCACTACGGCGGCCTCGGCTTCTTCATAGCGCACGAGATGACGCACACCTTCGACGATCCGGGTACGCTTTCGGATAGCCATTTCACCAACCATTACAGCCCGGATGCCACCTGAGAACTTTGACAACGACACCGACAAGTTCACCGCCAAGCAGCAGTGCCTGGTCGACCAGTTCGGCAACGTCATCTACGGCAGCGATTTTTACAACTTTACCGCTAAAGTGGGGACGCGGAGCAAGTAATTTTCGCTCGCACAACTCCAGGGCGACGGCGAAAACCAGAAGCACGAGACGACCGCCGACAACAACGGCATTCGTTCCGCGTTCAAAGTTTGCCCATTTTCTACCGTAGCTAATGAGGTTTAGGCCTACCGCAAGGAGCGCCAGCGTATTTTTGGGGCATATCCGCCACAGCTGCCTGGCCTTCAGAAGTACACGAATGATCAGCTGTTCTTTCTAGCGTCGGCCCAGGTTTTATTCAACTGAATGAGGGAGTATCATTATCCGCTACAGAACTTCTGTTCGCCCATCGATGAGCTGACGGGCATCGACGATGTTTGGCTTCGCTCGTAAGAAACCCTGGTTCTGGACTGTTAGCGGGGGGACCCCTATATCACCGATGTTTGGGAAGACTACAGATAACCCCCCGCCGGCCCCCAACTATTGTATCTCGGCTCCCTGTTTATCTACAGGTGTGTAAAGCATACCAAAATGTTCGTCTTGCTCTGCCGAGTATTTTGGTATACTTGACACACCTGTAGATGAACAGGGAGCCGAGATACGGTAGGTGGGGGCCGGCTGGGGGGTTATCTGGAGTGTACCAATGCTTACCTGTTGAAGATGTATAATGCTTATTAGTGTTTAGTAGTCTTCCCCCCCCCCCTCTCCCCTACCCCCTACTAACAGTCCAGAACCGAAACATTGGGCATAAAATTCCACAACAATTTTCCAGGGCCCATCCCTTCCATCCGGTGCGCTTCAACGGGAACATGAAGAACTTTGAGGAGTTTGCGACGGCGTTCAAGTGTCCTGTAGGTTCTTTCGCATTATCGGGGGCGGGGGCGAGGGTAATTTTAATATATTAATTTTTTGTATGGATCTAGAAATGCCTAGTAACTGAATAGAGAGCATTTTCATAATGTTTTCAGTAATACAAAACTATATTTTAACTAGAAAACAATCTAAAAACTTGGAAAAATTTCAAACATTCGAATGTTTTTGGTCGAAAAACGATATTTTTTGTATTTTTAATAAAAATGTGCACAGTTTTTTGCGTTTATGTATAGCAAAAAAAAACAGCTTAGAAATTCCGCTATTTATATTGAAAATTTGTTTCCTAAGAAAAAATTCTAACCGGCGTTACTCGCCTCGGTTTCATTCGCGCTAAAAGTTATCCTTTCGCAGCTGAACTCGCCGATGAACCCGAAGAACAAGTGCCGTGTCTGGCGTCGCATCAAGAAGCACTAACGAGCCGTGGAATCAAGGGCGGCGTCTAGGATTCCATAATCGACTCGACATTTTGATGCTTTTTTCCGTGTATTCATGATGCTGTATCCCCGATTGTCGTCCCTTGAGAAATAAATCTGATTTCGTGATATAATGCATAGAGCGATTTGCATACGATACCTTTAACACCAATCTCGAGGAGTAGATATTGATAGATCTTGAGATCATCAAAATTGGACACCACATGGCCGAGATATGGCCCCTTGAAATTCGGCCCATTTCTTAGAATTTTCCAAAAATAAGCTTTCAAAACGCAGAGGCTTCGGATGAAAAATAAAAATAAAAATTGTGAGCAGGTCCAAACCCTCGTTAGACTACCCAGACGCCGCCTACTACGCGACTAGACCACGAGAGTGGGGAGGTCTAATGAAGTCGGGCAAAAATTTTAAATGGCTGCAACTTTGTTGTATTATAATATCCGCAGCGAAAAGTTACATGAATCGATACGTTTCGACGAGCTCTACAAGATCATCTAACTTTCAACCCGAAATTTGAGGTTTAGCGGCGACCATGCCCTAGTCAATGCATGATCTATGATCTCCACAACCCAACGGTGATCTTCCGCCACCAATCTGTCACCAACTAGACGTCAATTTTTCGTCTCGGAACACTGCTCATCGCATTTTACAGTATCGAAAACACTAACAAACATTCCGTTTCCGTCTGACCCCACATATAACGGGATGGCCTCGTGTCACAACGGCTTCCTGGGCGTTGCCTTCGTTTTGCACGCTACTGTATGTATTTTTGTCTATTATCTGTATTTTTGCACCTTCGTAAAGAGGGGGTCCCAAATTTATTCAAAGCAATTCTCGAATTCTCGTTATTTCAATTTCATTCGCGAATAAATTGCATGAGAAGTGGCTGGCACTCGACGTGGATTCCGGTACGCGTAGCCTCGCGCTTAGAAATCCATAGATCGTACGGCGACACCATCACAATCCTAATTTGGCCGTCGGTGCGTGTGAGGCGGTAGTAGATGTACGGCTTGTGCCTCAACCCCCGATGGGGGTGTACTTCTAGGAAGGCCGGAGGCTCAAAGCGCAGCCGGAGTCCGCGTAACGGAACGCGCAAAAAAATCGATTTCACGGTCGCCGCGCAGCCATTCCTCGAGCACCGTTTGCGCGTAGGCGGCAAGAATCGCTTCTGTGCATCCGGACGGTTGAATGTACAGGCAGGGTATATTCAGCTGTGTATATTCTGTTAATGGGGCACTGAGGTTGATGCAGAGCGCTTCGCTCCACACGTTCAGCCAATCGAACAGCTCCAGGTCGGCCGGAATCTCTTTAATTTGCAGCCGTCGATATTTCCCGGCCGGCTTGTGACGCTTGAGGAGGGGCAGTAAGTCGGCCTCCTTAACGCGTAGGTTGAGCGTGAGGCCCTGGATATTCATGTCCTCCGGGAACCGCCGCTGTTCGGAAAATAGCTCCAATTCTCGGACAGTTGACCCATGGAAAAGGGCGTTGAAGATCTCCGGTTTCGGGAAGTGGGGCGGAGAGCGATCTACTATAATAATTTTGCTGTGGTGTCTGTGTGTGTGTGAAGCCGAATTCAACTCGAAGGGGAAAGGAGCTAGAGCTTAGCTCTCTTCGGATTCGGATAGAGCGTGGTCAGAAACCCCCAAACTGATTAAAAGATTATGAAAAAGTTTTAGTTTAAATTATTAAAATTAACTTTGAAAGTTTTTCCTTAGTAAAAGGGGAGAGGGACGGAGGTTGGGGTGATTTTGGACATAGTGAGCCAGGTCGCGCGCGTTTCGGCGAGGGGAGGGAGTGCAGGGGGTAGCCCGAAGTCCAGCCGCTTGCAGCGGCGAAGCCGCTGGAAGCGGCTGGTGCTCATACGGTTCCATGATATTCTTGGTGAAGAAGATCCGGCCATCATCGGACTCTATACCGACATTGATATCCCAGCATTTGCCGACACAGGCTGTCGCTAGCCCCACGGTGGCCTTGCTGGCGATCGCTGTTTTGAGGAAGTCATTCATATCCATCTTTCGCATGATGTTGTGTTGCACTTCAGGCGGTAAGGCAGGGAAGTCGATTTCCATCTGAATTTGACTTGATCGGTTGAGATTATCAAAAAATATTGGATAGGGTTTTGACAAGGTAGTCAAGAGAGAGAGAAAGAGCGAAGGAGAGAGCGAAAGAGAGTGACAGTCAGAGAGAGAGAGAGAGAGAGAGAGAGAGAGAGAGAGAGAGAGAGCGAGCGAGTGGGAGAGAAAGAGAGAATGAGAGGAAATGAGAGAGAGAAAGCAAAAACGGGAGAGAAAGAGCGAGAGATACAGAGAGACAGAGAGCGGGAGGGTAAAAGCTTAGGAAACCCCCCCCCCCACCCCGCCCCCCAGCCGGCACCAACTTTTGTATCTGGACGCCCCTTTGTGCTAGCGAGCTCTAAAGTGAAAGTAAGGAAAGTGAAATAGATAAATTAAACAAATTTTCTATTCTAGAGCAGAGGAGGAAGTTTTGAAGCCGATGATCAAAACATAGATCTAAACTAGTGATGGGGTTATTCAAATCAAATCTTGAGTCAAATCTGAGAGCTCAAATCTGAATATTTGAAGGCAAAAAATTTCAATTTCAAATCGGCGGATTTGACTTGAAATCCCGTGGACGAGTTCAAATCAAATCCTGAGGATTTGATTAAGCTTCCCGTCCTTCATCAAATCTTATGGAGATGCCGGCATGCAAAACATAAGAAAATCGCTATGGCCGAGCTGGCGCGAACCGGAAATGACCTCAATTATGCATGCCATCATAAAATTAGCATCCGCGTAATGAGCTATTGATTTTTTCGACTCCTTTCAAATCCTCGTTCAAATCTTCAGATTTGAACTCAAACCTCGAAAGTCCAAATCAAATCCATTTGATTTGAAGTGCTGAAACCTTATTCAAATCAAAGCGGCAGATTTGATTAGGCGGATACAAATTATGTTTGAGATTTGAATAATACCATAACTAATCTAAACATGAAAATGAATGCGAGTTGGCCAGCTGATTGTGACAAGGCATGCCTTTGCATCACGCGCAAGAATATGTGTAATGGGCCGGGGGGGCGTATTGACCTGACCTGTCAGAGATGGTCCCACAGCACGCCGTACTTTTGGCCGTTTGCCGCCTCACACCAGATCGGTCCTAAAACTGAGAGAGCGCGAGAGATAAAGTAAGAGAGAGAGAGAGAGAGAGAGAGAGAGAGAGAGAGAGAGAGAGCGAGCGAGCGATCGAGAGAGGGAGCGACAGAAGGAGAGAGAGAGAAATAACAGAAAAATTCGAATACTGGCCAAGCTCAGGATGGCTTTTCACATCCGGGTTACGGTATCTATCTAAAACGATATTTCACCCCTCGGGTTTAGCACCATTTTTGGCTAAAACAAATACTTATTCATAAAATACATTCAACACAGGGGCCGAGTTCAGCAGGTTTGACGAGCTCTTTTTCTTTGTCTTGCTTGGCCACCTCGGACTTCCGGGCCCGGTTTGGTTTGGTTTAGTTCCAAATTTTGCGAAAATCTATGCGTGTTTCTATCTCGATTGCAAAATCTGGCCAACTGGGAAGCCTTATAGTAGTCATAAACAAAAATTTAATCAAAAAACGGCCCGGAGATGGGCAGACAAATCAAAACTTCGCGACCCCGGCAGTCAAAATTAACAGACGTCGACCCAAAGTGGTCTAATTGGATTGTGAAGGGTGTCTTAGAAGACGCTTGACTCACCTCGCATAGACAAAACCGCCCTGTGCAGGGCATAAAAGATGTGCGACTGGGGGAAACCTCACTCGTTCGATGATGAAGTCGTCTCCTGTAATTCTCGCTCTTTTGCTGGGAGCCGTTGTTGGTGACGTGGCGGCCCTTTCTGCTCTTAATCGAATTTTTTAGCCGTCCCATCTTGGCTCAATGTTGCTTCGGTAGCAGGTGTCGCTGAGGATTCTTGCGAGTACGGTGCCTCGAAATACAGTAACGCCTTTATCGACCAAATTCCTGCGGCAAATACCGTATTTCTGGAATAGCACCCCAGTGCTGATCAAGCACCAGAAAGGCCTTATCTAAAAACTAACAATCCCAATTTTAGGTAGTTTCCGTCCAAAAATCTAGTTTCGTAAATAGGCCATTCCAGAACATCTAAAACCGGATCCGAAATCAGATCAAAATCTTACAAGAAATAGGCTTGGTCCCGTTTCGAAATCGTTTGCCATCGCAGAGTAGCGAAGGAAGATGGCAAGAAAATTCGGCTTTCAGGGCGTACCGCGACGCAGCTGCGTCTGGCAAAGACCAAAAATTCACCGACATGGCGGCGCGTCTCGCCAAGATGGCTTGCGAGGAAGACGGGACAACAAAGCCGAAATGTAAGTCGTTAAAATGGAATTGAGCTTGTAAGGATTTTTTTGGCAAAATGCCGATGTTAAAAATTTCGATGGGGAAACCTTAACTAAAAATTCAGATGAAGAACTGAACAGCTGCCTGCGGCCCAAAATGGCCGACACGGCCTTGGCAGCGAGCTGCGTGCCCGGGACCGCGGGAGAAACCGACATTTGCAGGTGAGGCTTAGGCCTCGGCTTATAGTTAGTGTTAAGTGTATGCAATTGTCTGGGTTCAGAAAGGTCGAAAGTCAGGTGATTCGACATTTGAAAATTTGGCAAGTTTGAAAATTCGGTATTGTGAAACTCGAGCTTCAGATTTTCAAGATTTGACAGATCCCCGGCGGCCTGGCCTAAATGATTTATTAATTAAACTACCTAGTTAAATTATTTAAGTTTAACCAAAATCAATTTAAAGCCAACCCCAAACCTGAGCGCTTTCAGGAAAGTGATCGCGGTCACGAAGTGCCTTCTCGAGACGGCCGCATCCGCTTGTGGAACTGCCGACGACCTCATCTATGTCGCTCTCCGCGACCACTACGCCGTGGGTTTTGAGCGCTAGTTTACCTAGCTAATTTCGAACCCAATATAATTTTTATATAGAGCTACGAAGCGGAAATGCCGGCACCAATTGAGAGGTGCCGTGAGCAGCTCTTTGAAATGCACGAAGAACTCCACCACTAACCAATTTTGTGTTGATGTTTAAAGGAATAACATTTTTTTCTTCTCTTTACGGTACTTTACCTAAGCCACGTGTTCACGCCTTTCAATTAACAAAAGAATACCACAATGCTCAATCATTGCTGCAAAAAACTACAAAATCGTTCCTTGTTTGGCTAATGCCTTTCCTGAGAGAGAGAGAGAGAGAGAGAGAGAGAGAGAAAGAGAGGGAGTGAGAGAGGACAAGAAAAACGTCTAGTGCGGAAAATGTTTATTTTCATCTTCAGAACAGTAGAAATGGCTCGCAACCTTTTCTTTGTAGCCTTTTAGAGGGTTCTTAACAAAAAACACTAAAAATTGTTATATTTTAGCGGCAATCTGTTCCATCGCATCCCAAATGACTTTGAAGCACGGATATTCGATTGAATCGACCGTCCGGTTGCCCAGGTTGGCTGCAAACTGAAAAAGCGAAAAGTAAGAAATGATGAAGATTACGGCAGCGTTCATAGTTACTGTATTAGGCCCTTTAATACAAGCATTCTCCATACCTCCAATTGGCTATAGCGGACGACATACGGCAAATCGGCTACGTTGCAGCCGCCGACCTTCTTGGCGACGGCCGTCGCACCGCACTTGAACGTCTCGACGAGTTGACTGGAATGAATACTATAGTCTATTTGCACCTGCACATATGTTAATGTAGTTTTCAGCGCGATTGCTATAGATAAAACTGGCGCCGGCGACTTGCCAACAGCCTGGTGATCATTTTGCATCGAAGAACGAATTTTTTGACGGATTTTTTGAATCTTAACCATTTTTTTAAATTGATATTTTCCGCAGCACTCTTTTGACCAAAAAAATGTAATTTTTACGTTACACTACAGTACAAAATTTTCCTAAAAACGCCCACCCGCAATCCGTTAAATTTTTCGGCCACTCCCCGTCGCATCTCCGAAAGTCCTGATCGGATGTCTGTGCCAAAGCGTCCCAAATTGGCGTGTCTAAAAATATTTTTTTTCGTGATATTGAAATGAAAGCTTAGAAACCTGGGGTAATCTTTAAAAATTAATGACTTCCGGCGTAGGCTAATTTTCTCCTAACAAAGTGGGTGGCCGAATTTTTACGAAAAACCTAATTTTAATGTCGAAAACAACGTATTTTACAAAATCTGATATGTGTGCAGTCATCTATAGACCATTACGCATCTAATGATGTACCAAACATCTCCTTACACCCCTCCCCTCTTGAGATATCCTCCGGATACGCTGACGGAAGTTGCATGCAAAGTGGCACACACACACACACACACACACACACACACACACACACACACACACACACACACACACACACACACACACACACACACACACACACACACACACACACACACACACACACACACACACACACACACACACACACACACACACACACACACACACACACACACACACACACACACACACACACACACACACACACACACACACACACACACACACACACACACACACACACACACACACACACACACACACACACACACACACACACACACACACACACACACACACACACACACACACACACACACACACACACACACACACACACACACACACACACACACACACACACACACACACACACACACACACACACACACACACACACACACACACACACACACACACACACACACACACACACACACACACACACACACACACACACACACACACACACACACACACACACACACACACACACACACACACACACACACACACACACACACACACACACACACACACACACACACACACACACACACACACACACACACACACACACACACACACACACACACACACACACACACACACACACACACACACACACACACACACACACACACACACACACACACACACACACACACACACACACACACACACACACACACACACACACACACACACACACACACACACACACACACACACACACACACACACACACACACACACACACACACACACACACACACACACACACACACACACACACACACACACACACACACACACACACACACACACACACACACACACACACACACACACACACACACACACACACACACACACACACACACACACACACACACACACACACACACACACACACACACACACACACACACACACACACACACACACACACACACACACACACACACACACACACACACACACACACACACTATTTTTTTATATATATATAGCAGAATTACAGTGCTGAATGCCGCCCGGAGTATAGCAGCTGACTTTCAGCAGCTTCCTGGCGATCCGCGGCAATTCCGTGTAGTCCTGATAGCTATCGACGATGCATTGAAGACGGCTAAAATTTTAAGATTTTGAAATCTTTAATATTAAAACTAATAATACTACTAACTCCCGAAAAAAGCTCTAAAAATTAGATAAACAACCCACTAGCACATGTCAAAATCTTTCCGGCATCTTTGATCGGCGGCCACTAAAAAAATCTTTTTATCAATATCCCGAAAAATTCGTTTTTTGTTTCAATACGGCTCCGAGAAATGTCGACATATTTAGTTTCTTAGGCATTCTAAAGTGGAAACCCACCGTAACCAGCTAGAAAGGCGAGTAAGAGCGCGACGAATTTCAGGGCCATTTTTGCGTATGATAACCCGCTATAGAAAGTTTCAATTTTATAGATGTCGCAAAATTTCTTAAGATTTCCGCGTCTATTCACAGATATGTAAGGTCTATAGAATTTCCTGGTTTTGGTAAATTTTATGAAAATGGATGAGTGAATCAGCCGATAAGGTGATTCAGAACTCCTTAGAAATTTTTGGGTTTTTCGGACACACTGAAAATAATAGATGAAACCAATTATTATTTCTCTCGCTCCCCCTCTCTCTCGCGCTCTCACTCGCTCTCGACCTCTCTCTGCCTCTGTCTCTCTCTCTTTCTAAAAAATTTATCCAAGCCTTCCAGGTGTTTTAAAACAAAAAACGTCTATCTGCTTCTGTCTCTCTCTCACTCTCCCTCTAGCTCCCTCGCTTAATTTTACTGTGTTGTTCTAGCGGTTTCAAGGCGTCGCAAGATTTATTTCATTTTTGCCCCGATCTCATCCATAAAAGCCATAATTTGCTGTTGACAATTCCGAACAGCCTCTGGCGTCCCTCGGTTGTCGATGCCTTTTGTAAACAACTAGAAAATCCAAAAATGAAAACTAAAAAGTTAAACTACCATTAGTTGTGTAATTCGCGCCACAAATCCCTCATCCACCTCCCCGGCCCCGCATTTTTTGGCGTCTTTTTGGATGTGCGATTTGTAGGCGGCGTTGATTTCACTGGAAGTGTCATTAATGTGTAAACATTTGATTGTCTTGATGCAAGATATATTGCACTTACTCGCAAGTTCCACTAGCACGCCGCCAAGGCTTCCGCTTGTCCTCCAACTCCGCCCAGCAATCAAAAAGTTTTTGATCTGAATTATTAGGAGTTGGTGATAGATTCATAAAAATCAGATTATCTGTCTGCCATTTTCGCAAAGCCCCCACATTTTGGTATAATTATCTCGTCATCTTCACAAGCGTGTTTCCGCAGAATCTCGACAACCCGGACTTTGTCGGCATTTTCGTCGGTCTCGATGAGGTCGTTGAAGTTTCTGGAAATCATAAGATATATAAGTTTTCGAAAATTAAGGTTCATTATAACAAGTTTGTTCAATTTGCAAATAAAAGCTTGATAAAGCCATTTTCTGGAGATTTGGCATCAGAATGTCGATATTTATCTTGTCCAAAAATAAGAGTGTCGAAATTCTACAGAATTCCATCGAGGAATCTGTAAAACAATAGATTGCGAGATTATGAAATTTCGACGTTGGGAATTTCGGCAGTATGAAATTTCGATAGTAAGAAACTTCGATTCTTCGACTTTCGATATATTGAGATTATATTGAATTTAGATGTTTAGAATAAAAGTTCCGAATCATTTAATTTTAAGCAACTTACTCGCAAGTCCCCGGCTCCAAGGTAGCAGCAGACCCGCCAGCGAATGTGTAATAATAAACCGTATCGGATTTGGAACATTTGAAACGCACTTACCGAACAAGGCTGAAGTTATGAAGATGACGGCAAAGGCTACCTTCCACTCCATAGCAATTGAATCGATACTAATGCTGAGGCGACTCCTGTCCAGCCTAGGCTCTGGTGCGGGCATTTTCGGCCCGCGGCTAATTATGGCGGCGCTGATTTTGGGGCTTCAGAGGGCACAAAATGGTCAGAGGACAAGCTGTCCGTTATAATAAACTTTTTTGCGTTGTTTTCTGAACCATAACAAACACGCAATTTCTCTCTCCCCCCCCCCCTCTCTCTCAAGCAACATCGAGGGTTTTTTATTTGTTTTAATTTATTTGGAATTGCCATCAATCACAGAACCGTTGTCAAGCGCCTCAATCAGCTCAAAGATCTGTTTCTGACAGCTTCGAACGGCTGATGGGGCGCCCCAGGCGTCGATGACTTTCTCGAAGAACACAAGTTGCGTCAACCGGGCCAAAAATCCCGGATCACCGCATCGCTCGGAGTCTCTGTTAATTCGAAAACGGTAGTCCCGGGTAATTTCTCTAAATAATGACAGTAATCGTGCCTTAAATATAGGCTAATCTCACTCGCAGGTCCCACTGGCACGGGGCCAGGCTTTTCGCTGTTCGTTCAACGCTGACCAGCAGTCAAAAACGTGCTGGTCTAAATTTTAGTGGTTTTATAACGTAGCAATTCTAATTTATGACTTTTCTGTGGGGAACTGGTTTGCATAGCATGAAATATTTGTCAGAAAGTGACTTACAATAGCTTACGGCGACGCCATTGGCAAAACAGGCCCGTGATTGCAAAATCTCGACAACCCGCACCTTGGCCGCGTTTTCATCCCCTTCAATGATTTTGGCATACTGCCTGAAAGCCGCAAAATATGTGTTTGATGTCTAGCTATGTCTTAACAAACTGGCAGATCCCGATCTTCTCCTCTGTCTCCTTCCGGAGACTGTGGCGAGAAAGACCTGGGAAATAGTGGGATCTGAACTAGGGATTGGACTTACAATGTCCGAGCCAGAGCAAGACAGGGATGTACCAAAACCTAGATATCACACGAAAAAGCATCGATCGGAAATTTGTATAAAGAAAGGGTCTGGGGGGGAGAGAGCGCCGGGAGAGTGTTGTGACGGGCGTCAACCTCGTCAGAAAGGGGAGAGAGAGAGAGAGAGAGAGAGAGTGAGAGAGCGAGAGAGACAGATGGTGAGGTGCTGACAGTTAATGCTGCTTCAACTATTTAATCAAATGATTCAAGGGAAAAAGTCAAAATACCATTAGCGGCTCTCAGCATCCATTTGAAATTTTAGTTCTGCTCCCAAATGTATTTTCCAATTTTATTTTGGGCTATTCTAATTGTGGCGGTCTACGGTAGGTTCGAAAATTGCGAAAAAATTGTTTTTTTTAGCCGGTGGCAGAGAGCGTCGAGCGCAGAAGTTTCAAGACATTTGCAAGCAAGTCAACAGCATCGTAAATGGCTTTGAAACTAACGTGACATTACCACATTTGCTTGCAGAGGCTTTTCGCAAGCCCTCGAGAAAGAGGAGGATGAGCGGACGGCGCGTGGCCTGGAGATTTTACAGCAGCGCGTGTGCGACGATGAGGGGAACACCATACCAAAATGTATGGTCGTCAGATTCGAGCACAGTATCCGCTTCAAATTCTAGATCAACAGTTTTTGACTGCTGCTTGGAGCTGGACGAAGAGCGCAAGCCTTGGCCACGTGCTGCTGGGACTTGCGAGTGAGTTTGAGCGGCCAAGAGGGAAAGTGAGAGTGAAAGCGCGACAGAGAGAAAGAGAGATAGAACGATAAAAAAACTAACAGAAAGAGCTGAAAATGCTAATTTCAACCCAGATCTTTAGCCAAATCGGCGATGCCTTCAAGCTGCGCATAAAGAAAGATGCCAAAAAGTGTGGCGATGGTGAAGAAGACGAGGCATTTGCCGCTCGCCTGACCTATCTTCGCGTAATTTTAAGCCACCAGTTTCCATCCGACGACCAAAAATCTAGTGGCTTATCGACAACGATCGTCTCCCGGAAGCTGTAAAAATCTGCAAGGAGGACTTTTTGGCGATGCTCGATGCGCTTGACGTTAATTGAAATAAATCTGGCGTATCAAAGTGCTTTGACAGACCATGAAAAAGAAGCCACGTCCTTTGTATTTGGATTTTCTCAGCGTTTGGCAACGTCAAAGGAGGTTAAGCAATTTTTTATGAAATGAAAAAACAGCTAAAAAATTTATTGCGCACCCTTGGTCTCAAACATTTTCATCAGGGCGCCGAAGCAGTCTTTCAGTTCCGTTGGCAGCCCATTCTTTCCGAGAAGCAGCAACTAAACGGAGAATTCCATGCTTTTAGCAATTTTCGTACGTAATAAGGCCAATTACCGTACCCCGAGCTGCATGGTGCGGGCCATATATCCTGCATCCTCTTCAGCGGTACCGCAAATTTTGGCAGAGTTTGTGATGGCACACGAGAAACGCTCGGTGCCTTCGCTAAAATTGCTTTCATTTCCCTCTCTCTCTCCCTCGATCTCGCTCTCTCCCTCTCCCTAGCTCTCGCTCTCTCGCTCTCTCTCCCTCTCTATCCTTTTTAACCGTCACTTACTCGCAAATCGTCATGTTCCCCTTGGCGGAACATCCCTTCATTTGATCGTTGCCCTCATCGGCCAGGCACTTGTCGATTTCCGCATCTACAGTAGAATCTTCAGATCCTTTTTGGTAAGAAAATTACAATGCTGCAGTTGAAAATCCCCGTCACAGGCAATTTTCACTAAAATCCCAGCCACACGGGCCACATCTTTGTCTTCAGAATTCCTCAAACCGGCCAGATTTCTAAAGTGGACAATTTTTTTTTGGTTTGGAGCACCAGCAAATCAAAAAACGTCAATTTATGCAATTAAAGTAAGCTAGCGAGGATTACTGGAAGAAACTATACCCGCAGGTTCCGCTTTCACCAATAGTATGCACCGAGAAGACGCCGGGAAATGCTTAAGGAACAAATTTCTCCTATTTTTACAGAAAAATCTTACCATATGCCGAGGTAGCAAAAAGCGCCACAAGGAGCAGTTTTGAAAGCATGATTTCCGTTAAATGTCAAGAACTTCGCTGCGAAATTGCCTTTGTGAAGCGGGTGTTTTGTCTACACCCTGCCATCCAGTCATTTCTGATTGTGGTTTCGATTACAGATGCGAAAAGAAGCGAAAATGCAACCGGAATGAGGATTTAGAGAGGCAGAGGAGAGAGAGAAAAAGAGAGAGAGAGAGAGAGAGAGAGAGAGAGCGAGAGAGAGAAAGCGAGAGTGAGAGAGAGAGCGCGAGTGAGAGAGCAAGAGAGAGGGGTGGGTGCGACATAAATTTTTTTCATGGAGCAGCAAAAACCAGGACAATTTACAACACCTCCGCTTTAGATTTAGATTTAAAAAATCGGATCCTAAGAAAAAAGTGGGTTGTGCCCCCCCCCCCCGATAATGCACTAGATCCCGCGAGCAAAAAATCTGAGACAATATCTATAAAATCGGGCTGCTAAGTGGAGCTAGCTGTAGTTAAGTTAACACGCGACGCACCAAACAATCCCGTCAGCTAATCGGAAAATGCTTCTTTTGGTGTTTTTGGCCCAAACTGTGAAGGCAAAGCCCTACCGAAAATCCAAATTCAAGTCTGGTCTTTCATCTAGCTATGCGATTCCGGACTTCCCCCAAGCGCCAGACCTACCCTTTCACATCCCCAAAAAACATTCCCACACCCCCCAGATTTTGTTCCAGATATTTTTGTGGCGGCTGATTTATTACAGCCGGCTGCCCCATGGGGGGAAGGCGCGCGAAAAATCGAAAATGTGCCGGCGGGGAAGCGACTGTCGACGTCAAAAAACAGGCCCTGGCGTGTACTACACGTGGATCAAAAATGTGCGGGATTGGGTAGCCGCGTTAGAACCGTGGAGCGATCTTCAAAAGGCGCCCGACTAGGGGGAAGTTGCCGAACTTAGGGAAAAAGTGGGTTCTGGATTGCTGCTTAGAGCTATGCAAGGGCTAGACCAAAGCATAAAGCTAAGCCATACCTCAGTCACCTGTTAACTGAGGCTAAGCCAAGTCTACGCCTGGGCCAGACCTAAGCCAAGTCTAAGCTAGGCCCGTACCTTAGCCCATCTCTATGCCGAAGCCTATCCCGAAACCCATGTCTAATTGTAAGCTTAAGCTACACCAAGGCTATGACTAAGCCAACTCCATGCCTAAGCTATGTCTAAGCCTAAGCCCAGGCGTAAACCTACGCCTAATTCTATGCGGAAGCTTATGCCTAACCTAAGAAAAAGCCTAGACCTAAGCCTAAGTCTAAGCCTAAGAATACGCATAGACAGAAGCCTAAGCATAAGCCTAGCCCCCCTATTCAACTTTTGGCTTCCCACCACATGCCTGCCACATTTCCAGAAAACCCACTCCGATCCACAACTGCCATGTTGTATGCTGAGCGCGAAACTGAAATGCGGCTTCCCGGACTTTTTTGCGGCGCCTTCCGGGAACTTGAGCCCCGTGAGTTGGTGCTGACCTATGGGCGTTTCGGGTTACGGTATCTATGGTAGTTACGGTATAATAGTCAAGTCTGGGGGCTGATCTTCGGAATTTGGTCTAAATGGAACGGGAAAATCGGACTGCTATCGGTTTTGGAGGGCAAGTGCGGATCAAAGCAGAAGGTTTTCGAACGTCTCAAGCTTTTTTTAACCGTAATTTTGTATACAGCGGGATAAAAAAATTGAACCGCGCGTTTTCGTAGGGTTTCAGGATGGTTCAGTGTTTCATCTAATTAATTTTGTATGAAAAATGTCGGTTTCGAAAACCGCTTTATTGACACGGGATAGGACCTCTAAAATACCTACGGTCAACGACCTTACAAGCCTGTACTTTGCGTACCCTATGGCCCCGCCACTTCCTGCTAGGAAATTACCGTGCTTTGAGAACCCCGAGCTGCTTGCCAAAACCGTGCCCTGATGTTCCAAGACGGAACCCCGGGCAGCAACACCCGTAAAAGCGCGCTTCGCCAAGTTCGCTGCCATGCCGGTGTGTAGATCTGGGAACGGTGGCCTTCCCATGAATTTTTCAAGGTCAGGAATAGAAAATTTATACAAGTAAGTCCCGGGTTAAGTCTAAGCAAAACCTGAGCCAAATGATCTAAAACGAGCCAAATCTGCAGGCTAGCTTCGTCCAAAAAGAACCGCGCCGCCGTTCAGCAACCCAGCCATTCTTGCCCCAAAAAGCAAAACGTTTCGACCACGGAAGGATTCGAACCTTCAATCTTCTGCTCCGTAGGCAGACGCGTTATCCATTGCGCCACGCGGCCATGGAGTGGGTCGTGAAGGAAGGGGGGTCATCTCCCCCAGGTGCCAACCCTGGCAGGTCAGTGGGGTCTGCCCACCAAGTCGCCCGCTCTTTGACACTTACCCCAAAATGGCGCGACAGCTCCAAGATCCCGGCAGGAAAATCTGGACAGGCAAAATACCATTAATACTGAAGCTCGCTACTGAACAGATTCAAGCTTCGAGCTAACGCCAATAAACTGTCAGGAATTTAGCTTTCGGCATTTTGGCTGTCGGGATTATGGCTGGAATCCAAAAATGACATCTCATCACGTACCAAACCTCTTAAAATGACAACAAACATCCGTGGAAGACCCTTGAGACCCTAAGTAATCGACCGTCCATCTAGTTCACAGGGGAAAAATCAGCACAAGTTCGCGAGTTCCTTCTGACATCTTTGCACATTGGTGTTGAAAATCCTTGCAAAATCCTCAAGGGCAAGGATAATTCCTGCAATTCGCGGCGAGTTCGAGTGACCGCCGGGAAAGAGAGCACAGAACTGGCGCTTCCCGCCGCGCGAGAGCAGCTCCCGTTTCCGGCCGTGCGTTCCGAATAAGTTCAGGCTCCAGGGAAACACCACGCGTAAAGCGTGAGGGATCAAATTGTTACTTTTCGAGCAGAAAAATGTCTTTTAGGCGAATTTCTACCAAGATAACCCTGCCTTAGAAATCGCCAATAACGAGAAAATTGTTTTTAGAGAACGCACATGCTAATTTTCAACTGCGTTTGATTTTTCCTGATTAATCCCTACTCCCGGTCGGAAATCGGCTAAATACGGATAGGAATAGATGGGATTTCTTCTGGGGATTTGCTTTCTCTAGATTGCGCGGTCAAGGTTTGCTTTTGCAAAGAACGTTTTATTCATCTACAAAATAACACTGAAAACCCGATTACGGTATTATAATCTGCTAGAGTTCACCGATTTTTCAGTTTAATTTCCATGTGATCTCGACTCTTTGCAAAGTTTTCGACTTTTGGTTCGAGAAATTCGGGTTTTTCAGCTTGTAGTCTGTAGCTTTAACGTTTATTAAAGGTATCTAGATCTCCTTTTCTTACTTGGTCTTTTAGGAAATTTTCAGACTCCTGGCTTCAGCTTGCCGACCAGTAGCCCCAGAGCTAAACCATCGACCATTGGCAGAAGCCTCGTGCTAACCGGGTGCTGCCGGTGTGGCTGACCCAACTTTCCCCCGGCTTCTCCTGCTCCTGCTCCTTCTCCGGCTTATGAAACAACCTCCTCTCCTCTGTCCGGCGTACCAACCGCAGATGCGATCTCCATGCTGCTAGAAGGGGGATAGAGGGATGGTGCCATCGGATAACTAGCTTTCAATATTCCACACGCCCATACCCTCTTCTCCGATCCCTTCCCCAGGTCGACGGGAGGAGACCAACGACATTTTCGCACACTTTCCCACCCGGCTGTCTTCAACAGGGAATTTTTGGCTTTTCGCTAGGGCCACTAGCTCTTCCAGCACGGGCTTGACTAGCTAGCTAGCTTACTGTAAGCCAAAAATCTTATGTAATTTCGCAAAAATCCCTGCATGTTTCTCGCTTCTTCGACGAGACAGCTTTTAAAGCTTTAAAAAGTTTAGATTTTTTAAGCGACGCTTTTTCTATATTTCTTACAGTTATTAGAAAAATCCGTTTTGCCCTTGCGAAAATCTAGTGTCCCTCAAAAGTCTCAGCTAGCTCACCACCAATCTGCAGTGCACGCTTCTTAAAAGTTTAAAGGGACCAGGAAGCGCGACAATTGACCCTTTCGGAACACCGGGTCTCCCCAGTTACGCACCACTTGAAAGCCGCCAACAGGGCTTTTACGATCCGTTCAAACGTAAATTCGTGTGTTAAGCAAATGTCGATACCTAGGGTATCCCACGGGTCGATTTTCGCATTTCTCAACCTAGCAGACATTCTGAAATATTTTTTTGATCTTGCGGGCAGCCTAGCGAAAATCAGCCCGCTGCCAGCCAAAGGATCCGAACCCTCGATCTCATTTGCTTCCGGTCCAATGACCCGCGCCTTTTCCTGGGCGGCTGGACGCGATCTTCAGAACAGAAATTATTGCGAGCTGGCGCACTCTCTCGCTCACTCTCTCTCGCTCTCTCTCTCGATTTCTTGGAAAAGATTTTCAGCTCATTTACCGTAAATTTCCAGACAATGAAAGAAGACGATAATGACGACTTCTCATTCCCCACCTGCACCATTTTCCTATTCCTTGCCCTCTCCGCTACAGTAGCCCTTCAGACATATCTCGCCGATCATGAATTTTCGCATCAAACTCGAGAGATAGAGTGGGATTTAATAAAGCGGTATCGGGCTGAGGTGACAATTATTTTTTATGTTACATCGAACATTTTAGCGCGGTACTTTAGAGACGCAGAGGACGTTGCGAATAAGACGACGGTTATGTAATGGAATCCAAAATTGTAGTATAATACCTCCATTTATTGAATATGAAAGTCGACAAATGGTGGGTTGAAAATGGTAGCTAAGCCTGAACCTTAGTCTAAGCCGAAACCTAATCTAAGCCTAAAGCTGAGCTCGTTGTTACCATTTTTTTACGTTGTATTTTGAAGTCTCCAACATCCAGGTCTCTCAAAAATTCGGCATCTCCGCCTGTGTCATCTACAAAAATTTCTCTACCGTCTTGACGTCGATCATCTGCTACTTGTATGATACTCTTCAATACGAGGAGAATGTCGACAATTTGATAGAGGACACTTACTCGGTCAGGTTGTTCTAATGATCCTATTAATAGAAATACATTTAGATTTTGCCGCGGTAAAAACGAGTACAACTCGTTAAGGATTTTTAAACATATGAAGCCCGATGTGGACCGGTTTGTATTCAGTTTATTTAAATGGCAAAGTCTTTAAAATAGGCCCTGGACTCATATCGTTCTGGTGAGAGAGCCGACAGAGCGTTTGGTTTCCGGCTTCATCAACAAATGTCTACAGTACGGTAGTTTGGACAAGGAGATAAAATTTGGTAGATAAATGTGTATTTTCAATCTTGAAAAAATATGGCTCTTAAAAATCTTTCAAAATGCTAAAATTTGGCATTTTTAGTGGAAATTTTTTTCAAACGTTTTGAAACAATACAAAGTCTTGTTGTAAATGCAAACCCGCGTGAAAACAATATCTTTTTGAGAGAAAACCAACGCGTCAATGCATGTTACGGATGTCGCCAAAATATTACATGTTTTATGGAACGTCAATTGGCTAGTCTACAGGTAGCAAATCTATTCTAAAATAAATCTAAAGTAATTTTTTGTTGCTTATTACGTTCTAACAACAATATCTTTGACCATTCTCCCATTTCTAGCAAATCATTCGTGGCGAAAAGCTGTGGCACACGATGGAAGATTCGCATTTTGCACCACAGAATTGGTAGCCTAACAAAACCAAACATCATAAGGCATTTCAGGTTCTGCGAGATGCGAGAAAACTACAAAAAATACACCTTCGTCCACTACAGCTCCACCGATTCGGTGCCAATGCTAGACAGATTGTTGGCGAAATTTGATAAACTGGACGTTCCGCTAAACGTCACTGCAGATATTAGAGAACAGGTGGGGGGAACGAAGCTTCATCGCATTTTCTTGGCTCTAGCAAGCTGCTTTAACTCCTTAAAAATTGATTTCAGGTCCTCGGGCAGCGTACCGGCCACGCAACGTACGACTCAGCAGATCGAATACGTTACCTACGTCAAATTCAACAAAGCCCATATTTGAAGCGGTTGATGGTCCAAATGTTCTACTATGATTATCTACTCTTCCACTATCCCCTCCCGAATTTAGGGGGCGAGAAAACGCCCGGAATGTGATAGTCTAAAAAGTCAAGCTCAGAAGTCATTTACCTACCAAAAAAATAGGTATATTAAACTTAATTGAAGTCATTATCATCCTTATTAACTAATCTATCCATTACTTGAAGGAAAATGCCCCGAATTCGCTTTTTACACCCCCATTCCATGCACATTTGGCGACCCTGCCAATAACTTTGCCACTTCCCCCCATTTTCCCATCCTAAATTGACCGCGCTTCACGGGTACCCACGGGTCATTGCCAAAAGACGTGCGACTTTTCCGGTACACCACACAACACTAGGAATAAATCTTTTGTATTATATCGGAAACATGTGGATAAATCTCTACGTGTAAAGCTACAAAATGGTGCATGAGTGAAGGAGACTAGTGAGCAACAAATAACCGGTAGTGATGAATAGGAAGAGGTAGGTCAATGCACAAAACTGCAGAAAATGAGATTAGGCGGTCAACGAGAATGTGTGCGTGTGGAATTTCTAGGATTTTGTCCTGCTCATTGTCTCGTGGCCCCACGCTTGCTGGGTGAGTCGCTGGGAGGCGTGTTGCGTAGCGTGCGCCGTAGACATCATGAAGTTGCGGTACTAAAATAGAATTTTTATGGAGAAAAATTACTGGTCATACCTTTTTATCTCGCTTATTGGGCGGTGGCCGCTCCGGGCTCGCGGGAATGCGGTCCGCGTCGTCGTCGAGCGGCTGGTTTACTAAAATGAAAATATTCTTCAACGAATTAAAAATTAGACCCACCAGCCCCAAAATCCGTCTCCATCGCCAAATCGTTGTTGTCCGGCACCCAATCGGGGCTGAAAAAAAAAGTTTAAAAAAGTGTATTTTCGAAATACCTTATACAAGGAAAAGCACTCTGCTCTGCTGCTGGGCTTTTGCTGGAATTCAATCGCATCGCTGAGACGCGATTTGCCGTAACATTCATCGAGTGTCGTCGTGAAGGGGGTGGTGTAGCGGATAGTCCTGAACAAAGCCAAATTTATAGTTGTCTAGTTACTAAATTGTACCTCGTTCAATGATCGGCAGTTTTGGTGACATTGACTTCATTTTGACAGATGACGGCCCTCTAAACAAATAATTTTAAAAAAATTCGATTAACTTACGCTACTTCCGCATACATATCCTCGAAAGGATCGTTAAGCACCATTTCGTCAGCCGGGCGAGAAAACGAAACGCCCTCCCTCTGCTCTTCTAGCAGGACGATTGGCTCTCTAAAATGCAAAAAATGGAAGTCCATACGTTCATTACCTTTCAATCTCAACAGCTGATCGCTTGTTTCCTTTAATCAGCGATCTTCTCGGTTCTTGCTTTGAGGTCGAGGGCTCGTCATCAAAGCTGTCGTATTCCTGTTCTTCGACGACGCCGCCAGGTTGTGTTGGAATCCGCTCCACCTGCGTCGTGTCTGCATCTTCCGTATCTACATCAACTGTCGATAGGTGGAACTCGGCATCGTAGGTAATGTCACCATCTATCACAATGATAAGTGGCCTAAAAAAACTTTTTCTTCCCAAAAAAAAGGAAATTACTTTGAAGGCTGATCAAAATACAACGTCACATTGGCGCCCTGTTGGGAAGCGAAAGAAAGGATAGCCTGAAAAAGAAAGCATTCTTTGCATGGAAAATCTAACCTTAAATTCTTTGGCGCTGAAATTAATCTCGGTCTCGCGGCGAATATTCATCGAGTTGAACTGGGCGCTCATCCAGGTGGCCTCGGAGATGAGCTTTGTGCGCTTCTCTAAAAACATTATATTTTTTACTTTTTAAAAAGTCGTACCTGCTCCATCTCGTTGATAGTTCTTGAAGTGGATCCGCTCCCTTTGCGCATGCACCACGAGCTCGTCACTCTTGTTCCGCATCTGCTCGATGATGGGCAGTAGCGTGCTAAAAATACATTAAATTTTCGGAGATCTCAAATTACTCTGGGGAGCAGCCGAGCTTATTCGCCATCTTTGCCTTGTCCGCCGACAACTTTTTCGGCATCTGGCGCTTGTTGTCACAGACTCGAACGCGATACAACCGTTTTACATCTAAATACATAAATTCATTTAATTTAAAAACTCCGCTACCGTTCACCAGCAGCATCTCCATTATAAAGTTGTCCTTCTCGGGGTGTATCCGCATGTCGACTTGGATGTGCGTCTTTTCCGTAAAATTGGCCGACTTGAAAGCGACGAGTAGGGACTAGAGAAAATAAATTAAGGAAATCAATAAATTCTCACTTTTATAGACAGTTTCACGGAACTGTCCTGCTCCAAATCGATTTTTCCCATGTCCAGCGCGGAGAAAAAGTGCTCGTTGAAACGGACAATAAAGTAGGCGGTGGCCAACGGGTTTAGCGCGCGGATCGTTAACTAAAAGAAAAGTTATTCCCGGGAAAACTGCGGTTACCCCCTGTTTCGTCGGCTCCACCGATAGCGTGGTCGAGATTTTTGCGATGGCATTGATGGCCTTGTGGAAAACTAAAAAAAAAAAGCAATAAGTCACAAAACCTCAAGATACCTTTAAAATTGGAGGCCTGCAGCACAAATTTCGCGCATCCGTCGCCCTCTTCAGGAAAGTCCATGGTGAGTGTCTTCGACTTTCGCACGGCACTACTCATTTAGCCCGCCCACGGTGGGGCACAGAGCCTGCAACATACACGATCAACAGTGCCGCCAAAATGTGCGAAGCAAAAAACAGGAACAGAGAGAAAACATTGCGTAACGAAGGGGGGCGAGAGGGAAAGACGCAGGGTGGGGGGAGGGGGCGGAACGGGGGAGGCTCGAGCTCTCCCTCTTTCCATTTCTCTCTCACTTTCATCACCTGACGTCAGTTCCATGCTGAGGCTCTTACGCACTGGAATTGAGGATACGTGATTTCGGGAGCTTTTCTTGATTCTAAAAGCCAAATTTTTATGAAAAATAGTCCGGTGATTAAAAAATGCAAGTTCTAAAACGATCCTCTTGAAATTTTAACCGATTGTAACAATTAGATCAATAAAATGAAGCTTGATGTTTTTTATAGAAATCAAATCCGAGATTACGAAAATCCATTCCGTTTATGTACACTTTACGCTCTTCGTTGATCGGAGCTCTACGTAAATTTCCTTTTCGAAGTTTTTTAAAATTTGCAAACCTAATCGAATTTTTATAAACTTTTATATTAACTGCGGCCCCTGACGTGTTGATCACGTTTTTAGACACTAATTGTTTATTTTTCCTCCCACTTGGACCTTGTGTTATGCGTCCTCCCTCACATACGCCCTTCTGATAAGGCCCTAACAAGGAGTTTGTCAAAAATAGGGCTCACTGTTTTTTCTTCTACACTTCCGTTCCCGTGCTATATTTCTCGCGCTATGGGAATGGAAATCGATTTCAGGTCTATGTTAGACCAAGCGGAGCCATTAATTACACCCGAATCGCCACCGCCGCTCCCCGCCGCTTCGACGAGGGTGGGAATTTTTTTGTGATTGATAAACGTGGTAATGGTTGTTTTTAGAGGTCTCCATTCTCCGAGACGCGAGAGGTTAAATTTACGACGCGCGAGCTGAAAGGAGTTGGCGGTGATGTTGAGAAGAAGCTACTTTCGAGGGGTGGCGTTTCCTTTGCGCAGATAGCCGAGCCAGAAAGTAAGACATGTAGTTTTCAATAAAGAAAAGTAGTAGATAAGTTTTATGGTATCGAATTGCGTCTATTAAGTGTATAACCTGATTAATTCAATACTTTTCAGGCACCATCCAGTATGACCCGGCCATCATCACCAACGAGGTGATCATGAAAGAACTCCAAAAGTCCGGGATCGATGCCCGACTCCTCGGTGATAATTTTGGTGGGTATTTCCCCTTCTTCCTTTCTTCCTTTTCTGCTTTTTGCATCTTCTTCCTGGGACCAGACGAGGCTTATCAGCCCCTCACTAGTTGTGCATATGTCCTCAAAGAATTCCCGTCCAGCCCTACGTACTCGTGGATTGTTCTTTTGCTCTTTTGATAGTTGCGCGGATCTATAATTATTATTAAACGGCTGTAATAATTATATTTTCAGTTTCCCTGTCCAACGACATGGCCAACAAGAAGCTGGCGCTGATCAGCGTCGATGGTATGACGTGCATGTCTTGCGTCCGAAATATACAGAGTACAATCGGGGATAAGGCTGGCATTTTTTCGATTGAAGTCAGCTTAAAGGAGAAGAAAGGTGAGAGCTTTATGGATCTGTTTTAATTTTTTTCAGCATATGCCATCTTCAACCCCACAATTCTATCAGCCGCCGACGTCGCCGAGGCGATCGATGATATGGGTTTTGAAGCAAAGCTTATATCAGAGTCTTGTAAGCGTTTTTACCCTTAATTTACCTTATTTTAGTCGACACCAACTATCAATTCGAAACTTCCACCCCAAAGGCTTGTAAAAAGATGCAAAAATCTGAAGACGCGGTCCGCTTCAGCAAATTACTCGCCCAGGATGTCGAAATACCACTGGGAGATCGAAATGTAATTTTTTTGAGGTGTTTTATTTTTATTTCAACTTTAGGAAAAAGCCACCGCAAGCGCCAAGGCCAGCTTCGCCATCGAGGGGATGACGTGCGCGAGTTGTGTGCAGTACCTCGAGGGAAATATTGCTAAATTAAATGGTAGATATAATTGAACGATTTAACCTTTTTTTAGGGGTTCGCGCGATCACTGTTGCGCTGATCTCGTCGAAAGCGGATGTAACTTTTGACCCCCGGCTGGTCACGGTAGAAGAGTTGGCGGAAAAGGTGCAAGAGCTCGGATATAAGTGGGTCATCTTCCTTTTTTAAAACTTGCGTAAATTTTAGAGCCACTCTTCTCGATTCCTCGCTCTCGCGGGAGAACAAAATCGAGCTGATCGTCAATGGGGCTTGTACGCTTCAAGATGCAAATAGGATCGAGTCGTACGTGATGGCTTTGCAGGTTTATAGCTCTTTTTTACTTGTAAAATTTCGTTTAGGGAGTGGAATCCTGCAACTATTCAGCTGCCAATTCGATAGCCGAGGTGGAATTTGAGCCCACCGTGACTGGGCCTCGTGATATTATCACGGTTATTGAGGTAGTATTGCATTTATAGATATTTTATTTTATTTTAGTCTCTCGGCTACACAGCCGAGCTCGTCTCGAAGGAGAAGCGCATCCAGCAGCTTGACCACAGCCACGAGGTGGCCAAGTGGCGAACCGCCTTCTTCATCTCGTTGATTTTTGGGATCCCAGTGATGTTGATTATGGTATTAGATTGGTTTTGGATGTGTAAGAATATCTTTAGATTGTTTTCCACTGGATTCTACACACGCACATGCATGCCGAGAATCAGATTCCTGTTTTTACGCCCGCGCTGTCGGTTGACAATTTGTTGCTGCTGCTTCTATCGACACCAGTGCAGGTATGTATTGAAAAAATTCCAAAATTTTTTTTCTTAGCACCTGAGAACGTTTTTTAGAAGTTTAAAACAAAATATATGTTTTGAATTTAATAAGGTTGTACTTTACATAGTTTATTCTTTTAATTTTCTGTTTTTCAGATCATCGGCGGTCGCTACTTCTACGTGGCGTCATGGAAAGCCTTGAAACACGGCACGATGAATATGGACGTGCTCATCGTCCTGTCCACAACCATCGCCTACGTCTACTCCCTGGTCGTCCTGCTAGCCGCAATTCTTCTGAAATGGGAGGTGTCGCCGATGACCTTCTTCGACGTGCCGCCGATGCTCATCGTTTTCGTGGCGCTCGGCCGGATGCTGGAGCATAAGGCAAAGGTATAGATGGTCACTTTAAAAACTTCAATTTTTCAAGTACCATTCAATCTCGGAAAAACGCTAGTACTTTCAGAGACGATTATCCTTTATTATATTGACGTGAAAATCGTTTAAATTTGTGATCTAATTTGCCAAAAAGATTGGAGCGTGGCGCTACGGGTTTATTATTTCGGCATTGAGAATTTTAATGTTTAAGTCCACGCTTTTTTGCTAAATCTTATTTTACAATTTTTAGGGCAAAACATCAGAAGCCCTCTCCAAATTGATGTCCCTGCAAGCTCGCGAGGCCATTCTCGTCACAATGGAGGATGGGCGGATCACTTCGGAGCGCGGGATTGACATTGAATTGGCAAGTATTACTATTTTAGCTTTATTTCCGTTTTTAGGTGCATCGCGGTGACCTAATCAAAGTGCTCGCCGGCGGGAAATTCCCGGTGGACGGCGTTGTTGTCGATGGGAAGAGTGCTGCCGATGAAAGCTTCATTACCGGGGAGAGCATGCCGGTTGTCAAGCACATTGGTGAGTTATTTCTGAGCATTTTGAGCGGCAACGGATCTCTGAAAAAGAAAAAATTAGCGGATATTCCTGAAAAATCTTGAAAGCGGGCAGAAATACATGTAATTGAGCGAGCCAGTTAAGGGCAAACTAGCATATTTTTTGCTTGAGGATTCTCAAAACGTCCTTATTTTTTTCAGATAGTGCGGTCATCGCCGGCTCGGTCAACCAAACGGGCCCGCTCGTTGTCCGCGCAACACATGTCGGCAAGGACACCACCCTTGCCCAAGTTGTCCGCCTCGTCGAAGATGCGCAAACGAACAAGGTATTGGCAATTTTTTTAGCGTTATAATTGCTAATTTAGGCCCCAATCCAACAAAAAGCCGATCGAATTGCCGGGATTTTTGTCCCATTCGTCGTGCTGGTTTCTATGGTCACCCTGGTCGGATGGATCGTTTTCGGGTATTGGACCTGGGCGGATGATGCTATTGTAAGTTTTTGAGGGTTTATATAGATTGCATTATACTACAGTATATTTATTCGTATTTAGACCGGCACCGCCAAGTTCGAGGCGATCATCAAGGTGGCATTTGAGGCGGCTATCAAAGTGTTGGCGATCGCTTGTCCGTGTTCTCTTGGCTTGGCTACCCCGACGGCTGTATGTTTATTTTTTGTATAAAATAAGCTGAAAATAGGATAGAAATAATTTCAAAATAGGGGTTGATTGTAAGAACACTGAAGGTAACGCAGAATCACTTTTTTAATGGTTACGCCGCCTTAAGAGACATTCGCAAAGGTCTAATAATAAAATATAAGAACGGTGAAAAATAAAAATAGCAAATAAATGTCTAAAATGACCCCTGGATAGACTTATTTTAGGTAATGGTCGGCACAGGCATCGGCGCCGTCAACGGCATCCTGATCAAGGGCGGCGAACCCCTAGAAAAAGTGCACAAGGTGAAAACGGTGGTCTTCGACAAGACGGGCACGATCACGCAAGGAAAGCCGAAAGTCGTCTCGGTGCACGGGTTCTTGACCTTCTCCAGCAAGACGCTCAACAAGGTGAGGGTACGGATGATGAATAAAAGTATGTAAATTTAGGCGCTAGCTGCTGCTGGTTCCGGAGAAGCCATGTCGGAGCACCCGATCGGCAACGCCATCGCCAGCTTTGTCAAAGAAGTATCTAAAACCATTTTTATTTTTCGCAAAAAAAATTGAATTTAATGTTTAATTTTTGCAAATATTTTTAGCTGCTCAACGCCTCAGAGTGGGCGACCGTCTCGCGGTTCTCGGCGTACCCGGGCAGCGGAATTTCGTGCCGGGTCTCTGATGTCGATGAGTTCATCGCTTCGTCAAGCCCGGATTCGGTAAGGAATTTTCTTTCTGCATATTTTGAATTTGCACTAGTAATTAATTTATTAATTATTTACTTAGCTATTCATTATTTTATATTTTGATCCGATTTTTATTTATTTTAGCGTTTCGACTTCCGGTCCGTCGACCACCACCATGAGACGCTTTTCCCGAGGACCGACGCTCGCTACATACAATCCGGAGATAAAGATGGTGATAAAAAATTAAGATGAAATAAAACGAGATTTTAGGCGCTAATGTCTTCGCCACCCAAGATTACAAAGTTCTCGTCGGGACCGTCCAGCTGATGGAGAAGCACGGGATTCCAGTAAGCATTCCTTGCTCAATTTTTGAATTTCTGGCTCCTTCAGGTCGACGGCGAGGCCTTCTACACGCTCCAGGAGCAGCAGAGCAAGGGCAACATTGTCGTGCTGTGCGCGATCAATGGTATGTTTTTCAATTGCAATGGAATTGGATAATATTACCTATTTTCAGGTCAACTCGCGTGCATGTTCACCATTGCCGACGAGGTCAAGAAGGAGGCCGCTCTGGCGGTCTGGGCCCTAAAGAAGATGGGCATGAACGTCGTCCTGTTGACGGGTGATAATAGCAAGACGGCTGTCGTTACGGCGAAAAAGGTTTGTTGAATTTTAACTATTTGAGATACTTTTTACATTGTGTTAAACTTTTTTTCACTACGACCAGTCTCTTTCAAACCTTTTATTTAGGTCGGCATCACTGATGTCTTTGCCGAAGTACTGCCTAACCAGAAGCAGGAAAAGATCAAGCAGTTGCAGGTATGTTTAGCTTTTTAACTTTTACTTTTCTAAGTGACATAGAATATTGATTAATTATTTAAATTAAACTCTTTAGAAAGATAAGACCAAGGTGGCCATGATTGGCGACGGCGTCAACGACAGCCCCGCCCTCGCCCAAGCTGATGTCGGCATTGCCATCGCCGCCGGGAGTGATGTGGCGATCGAGAGTGCTGGAATTGTGCTTGTTAGGGTGAGCAATTTATTATTCCGATTATTACTAATTCCTAATCTTTAGAATGATCTCTGCGACGTCGTCGCCGCCATCAAGTTGTCGAAGATGACCACAAGGCGTATCCACCTCAACTTCCTGTTCGCGATCTGCTACAACGTGATTGGGATCCCGATCGCTGCTGGTGGGTTTTTGAATTTTGAACAAAATGTTTTCGAAAACCACTTTTCCCAAAATAGCCATTTCGAAACCTACAACAAGAAACGAAAAACGGCCTCTCGAAATTTGTAGTTTCCAGATTGTGGCTTTTGAAGAAATGACCTTTCGAAAATCCGGGGCGAAAAAAATCGCATAATTTTTCAAAAGTGTTTACTCCTGAATTCAGGTCTCCTCACCCCGATCGGCATCTCCCTCGAGCCCTGGATGGCCGCCGCAGCCATGGCGATGAGCAGCGTTTCCGTGGTGGCCAGCAGTCTGCTCCTCCGCTCCTACAAGTCAGTTTCATTTTACTAACCGCAACTTCTGCTCCAGGAAACCATCTCACGCCTCCCTATCCAACGGCGAATTCAAGAAGTACAAGCGGATGCTGGAGCGCGGAGATTTTGAGGTAGTTAGAGAGACCGAATTCAATTTTTGGGTCATTTTAGGTGAACATCCACCGCGGGCTGGACAACGGCGTCTTCATGAGGGCACCGTCGAAGATTTCGCTGCTGGGCAGCAAGATCACGTCGGCGTTCGGCGACTCGATCAACAGCCTCGTTGGCGCGCAGAGCAAGAATACACAAAGGTTTGTAATTTTCTCTTTATCTTGCCCTCTCTCTCTCTCTCTCTCTCTCTCCCCTCCCCCCGTCCGTCCCCCCTCTCTCGCCCCTCGCTCATTCTCGGTTCTTTACAAATGTGACATTACCCTGGTTCCACTCGATGTTTTTTTGGTCTCTTCTCTCTCTCTCTCTCTCTCTGGTCTTGTAACTCCCATTTAATAAAAACCTATTTCCAGGCGCCAAACCCTGCTCGAAAGCGGTGGCAGCGGCTACGAGTCCGACGAGCACCTCCAAATCTAATTTCTATTATCGATATTAGGCCCTTTTCTCGCTTTTCTAGATGCCGATATATTGTAGTGTCTTACCACCGTTCCTCCCAGACATTTCCAAAGTGTGCTACATTCACTTTCCCAGAGATGTGCCTCCCCCCAGTGATAGAGATTGTGATCCTTCGTCTTACGTGTCCATATAACCCTTCGCTTCTTTCACTTCATTTCTTGGAAAGTAGTCCCTGTAGTTTGGAGGCGGCTCGGTTTAACATGGTTTTTTGGTTTCCCAAACATTGCCCCCAACTACAGTGACCCGGCTGAACTTCTCCCCTTCTTACAGGTGCCCTTAAAATTCGCACCCCAATCAAAAATCCCTCTATACTTTCAGGTACTTCCTGTCTTTGGTAATCACAAACAGGCCTTACCTACCCCGTGTGCTAACATTTCAAAAAAAACCCCTATACTCTTCGACTATGACATTTAAAATGAGCATTTCCTCAATGGCCTCTGCTGTCCCCGCTCCCAGGTATTTTCCACATTTCCGGTTCTCGATGGGTCCTGTCTAGCCGTATTCTTCCCATTTCGCTAGCTTTTCCGTGTTTAATGACTAATACGTGTTAATAAAAAGTTATATCTTGTTGCGTCAGATTTCGAGAGAGGGCGAGAGAGAGATGCATAAGGAAGCGAGGCTAGAGCTACAGAGAGACAGCGAAAGACAGGGCGAGGAAACGAACGTTCCCGCCGATCCCCTAAAATCAGCCCCGTTTTTAAACGATATAAAAAATAAATTCACGAAAGCCTCTTTCGCCGGCATTTTTCCAGATTGTGTTCAGGAAGGTACTTATCCCATCTCCCGGCTTGATGCCAACTAGCTGCTCACCTGGCACCTCACCACCCGGTAATTATCCTCCCCCTCCTCCTCGTCGCTCTCTCTCTCTCTCTCTCTCTCTCTCTCTCTCTCTCTCTCTCTCTCTGCCTGAACCAAATGTGCAGCCAGATCTACACGCCGATTACCTTCAGGCCCCGAGCGTGTCGAAAACGAAGTTGAAAACTTTGATGATTATGAGGCATACATCCGCGATTTCCTGGAATCGGATTTGGGCCCAACTTCCTGCTGCGTGGCTTCCGGGATTTGCAGGGTTAGGGTATTGAAAGTTCGGGGGTCGTTTCGAGGCAGAGAGAGAGGGGGAGAGGGAGAGAGCACAGTAGCTTGGGATTACGATAATCCGCAATGAGTCAAAAGTCGAAGATCGCCAAACGTTAAAAAGGGGGGAAAACAACGCACGACAGCCGTGCTTATAGCTAGCGGAGGTCTCCTCAACACTTTATTAGAACGTGATGGGTTTCGTGATCCGTCGCAAGATAATTTGCATAAACATGCGACCGCCGGCGCAAAGTTGCGGCGGCCGCTCCATATGGTAAACTGTCATTGGGACAAGGCTTTACGGTCAGCCAGGGGTAGAGGGGAGGCTTTGAGGGCCTGACGAAATTCGCTTAATTCTGCAAGAGATTTTATTGTTTCCTTTCTTCTGAAAACGAAAAATCATATGGCGCCATTTTTTAAATTGATTTTCCAGGTACAATGTGCTCGGAATATAGCCGTTAAAAAGGGTAAACAGGTACAAAGCGCAACCACGCGAATCTCCGGGAAAATGCATAAGTTCAGCGGCTAAACTTCCGCCCCGCTCTTGTTTACCAATTCCGGGGTAGATGAAACTGGGGGAGGCGTCAGTTTTGAAAGGATGTGCTCCCATGAGGTACCGTATCCTAATAAGAACCTCTCGTAATCCCTGATAGTTCTGGTTCGTGAGCGGAGGGGGGAGTTCATCGGGGAAAAAAAACATTTTTTGTCAATAGTTCTCTTGTCTATCTCTTAACTTGAATTGCATTGTTTTGAGATTTCCATAAAATTGTTGGTTTCATTTTTATGCTCTATCCAATACCGCTTACAGAATGTCGAAAAATATCGAAAATCCTGACAAATCGCTTATCAGCCGCATTTTCCGGGTTCTTTTGCTCTTGTTTCTGAAATTATAGTGTCTTATTTAGAATTAAAAGTTTATTGGGTTTTTTGTTACTCTTCGGCGGCCCTGGGGGGGCACCCCGAGGGGCTTCTCCCCTGCCCGGCCGATTAAAGGGGGATACGTTTTTTTTTGAAAATTTTTCTGCTGGGCGCTTTTTTTTGTTTTTTTTAAGACTGTTTTTACTCTTTTTTTTTCAATTTTTGGGAAAACAGTTTAAATTTTTTTTTTTTTTTCTCCTCCTCTTTTGTGTTCTCTCTCACTTCGCCCACAATCTCACTATCTCACTATCTCTCGCTCTCTCGCTCCCTCTCTCTCCCTCAAGGCGGGAATGCATGCCAGCTTCTGGCCCCTAGACCTGCTAATTTGTTACAGAACGGCTAGCGCACTTACCTCATACCAAATTCCGCTCATCCCACCATTTTTGAGTCTAGGATGAAACTTTTATTTGGCTAGAGTGCGCCTAAACCAGCGAGGTGCCGACAATCAAACATCCCGCAACACCAAATGCAAACAAATTGGTATGCTTGAGAGGGGGTCCAGCCGAACCATGGTGCTCCCATTTTGTGTCTAGTTTGCTCACCAGACACCCAGCCCCATCCACCCCTCATTGCCATGAGGGCAGATCTGCTCATACACATAACCCCCCACACCTATCTTCTTTCCCACCCTTGAGCCAACCCATAATATACACCAATTTCTCTCTAGCTGGCTTGCTCTCTTTCTCTCTATCTCTCTCTCTCTCTTTCTCTCTCCCGAGAACACCACCCAAACATCAACAATCATTTTGCTTTTTGGTCATCCTCCTACTTCTAACTCGTCCTCCACCCTTATCGCGCTGGTCCCCTTCAGGTGTATGCAGGTGGGTCAAACTTTATGAAAAGTTTTTACCGTATTTCCTACCCTCAAAAAGCTCTAGCATTTTTGTTTTTACGCCGAAAAAACAAAGCAAGCGATAGGTCAATTTTTTTGCCCCTTCGAGCTTTTCCGGGGCATACGCTGGTTATGACAACTTTGCAAACTGGTGCTCCCTAGAAAAAGCTGAAAATATTGTTTTTATTTTGATTCTATGTCAATCATTTTGATTATTTAGTAAAAAAAATAGCGCTGGTAACTAATTTAAATTTTTAAATTAACCGCTAGTTTCAATCAGTCTTGGCAGTGTGTAGTACACACTCGAGCTTTAATTTGTTTATGATTCCAGTGTTAGCTTTTAAGTCTTCGGCTTAATCCAGTCTTTTTGGTAAGACTTTACTTTACCCCCCCCGTTGCCGAAGTGTCTCAAAGTTTTCGGTATTTGAGCTTATTTTGTCGGGATTTTTGCAACGCCATTCAATAGAGCGTCGAAAAATATACTAACAAGGAGTGCCTTTTGGGTGTCATCGGCAAAACCTTACGAGACCTAGCTCATTCGATAGAGAATTCGATTCTGAACAAAACCCGGTTGTTCTTTTTTGCAGAATGGCTATCCCTGATTTTATAAAATTTTAAAACTGCATCCAAAAGCCTATCTTTTTGCTCGAAAGGCGCTCGGTAAGAGACGGTCACTAGTATTTTAATTTTATAAAATCAGGGATGGCCATTCTGCAAAAAAGAACAACGGGGTTTTGTTCAGAACCGAATTCTCTATCGAATGAGCTAGGTCTCGAAGGAATTTGCCGATGACACCCAAAAGGCACTCCTTGTAAGAGCTTTAGTTTGAGCCTACAATAATATAAAATAAAAAAGTTATAGCCAAACCATTCCGGCTGGGCGGGGGGTCAAGTAAAGTGTAGCCGTCTTTTTCTTATCACATTGCACGCTAAATTAAAATGCCGCCAGTTTAGCCAAACTTTGCGCTCATTGCTTTTTAGACGTAAGCGATTCCCCAAATAAGGTATCACCAGGCTTGAGTGATACCGTAGTTGGAGTCTGGGGTAAGGTGCAGCGATCAAGATTATAACGCATTAATAACGCGTAAAATAACGCATTAATATGAAGCTGGTATCTTATACCATTTTCCGAATGGCAGCAGGCACCACCGCATAACCTAGTGTTTCGCTCCCTTTAGCCGTTTTGGTCCTTACAGTAACCCCCGGCCATATGACAAAGCACCCTTACATCATTCCCCAAAGGGGTATTCCGAAGTCACGTGTCGCTTGATTAGTGTTTATATGGACCTTGGTGCATTGGTGCCTTTTCCTGATTTCGTGATCTGCTGCAATGGCACGTGGCTTATTTGTTTACATTCCTTGGGCAGTCATCTTGGGCTAGGCCCGAGACGGTCGGACACAGAATTGCACACGCATCGCATGGAGGGTTTATGCAAATATGACGCCTCTCATCAACGAGTTCGGGGGTTCCCAATGGATCCGCGCCAAAGACCAGAATCAGAATTTTTGCAGAGAAGATGAGATCTTTTAAAAGAGAGCGAGAGCGAGAGTGGGAGAGAGCAAGAGAGCGAGGGAGAGAGAGACGCCGGTGGCCAGTACAAGAGATCTAGTCAGTGCGAGCGTGAGTGATAGAGAGACCGTGGCAGCATCTAGAAATTCTCAACTCTTTGATCATCCGGAAAAGGTTTTTACTGCCCAAAAATCAACTCTATTCCGGCCCGCTCCCCTATTGAAAGACGGAGACTAATTACTTGTTTACTGACCACCGCAAAGTCCAAAAAATGACGCACAACCTATCACAGAACCGACTCTCAAAAACTGTTGGCGCTCGGCCAAGTGGCGTTCCTCGCATACGATTTGACGCGCGGGCGGGAAGCCAAATTTTGAACTAAAAAATTCTAGCCTCGAAAGCTATCTCACCCGACCTCCAAAAAGCCGATGCACAGCCATAACGTCGATTTAAAATCTGAAACGGTCGCTAAAAAATGCCCGGATTTTGCGGAACTAGACGTGGCGGTTCGCTTTTTTGTTTTTTTTTTTACGTAAATTGGCGAATTTATAAAATCGAATTGAAAAGACAGATTAACCCGGGGAAAACTGCTCTCGATCGGCGGTCAAAATGTTACAAAGATTAA